ACAGTGAGGGTTCTGTCTCAGAAGCTCCGAGAGCCGACAGTGCAAACTTGGAGTTCGGGTCAGAGGTTGGCATCGTACTTGGCGTGCACCACAGGTTACGCAAGCAAGGTGCATGCCCGAGGTGACAAGCTTAGCATTCTTGAGCCTTCCGATCCTGGTGGAGCGCGTGATGGAGTTATGCTGGAGGTGTTCTGTGATGCAGACTGGAGCGGCAACAAGCAGAATCGCCGCAGCATGAGCAGCAGCTCGTTCTTTTTGAACAGCTGCTGCGTCTATACTTCCTGCAAAAGCCAACGCTGCGTAAGCCTCAGTTCTACTGAAAGCGAATTTTACGCCCTGGTCTCCGCGGCGTGCGACGGCATCTACTTGAAAAGAGTTCTTGAATACCTGCTTGAACTACCGGTAGATCTTTTGATGAGGACTGATAATGCAAGCTGTCGCCAGATATCTTTGAAGCAGGGTGTATCAAAGATCAGGCATCTTGATGGAAGGTTCCTCTGGGTGCAGGAAAAGACTGCAGATGGAACACTGAAAGTTGGCTCAGTCGACGGGCGATGGAACCCGTCAGATCTTGGAACCAAGGTCCCGGCAACTGGGAGTCGCTTGAGAGCATTGCTTTGCATGCATGACTTCGTTGACTGTGCCGGTGATTGCATCCAGGAGGTAGGCCGTGCCGACTATGATCAGTTGGTCGAGTCGTTGCAACACTGCAAGGACACAGCCCGTGTCAGGCGACTGATCAACAAGTCGCTGAAGACCAATGGTTTGAGCAACAGCAATCTTGTTTTGATGATGGTGAGCTTGATTGCAGGTGCAGATGCAAGTGGCACAAGGCGTGATGTGAGTGTTCAGACAGAACCAGAGACAAGATGGTTCAGCGTTTGGGTGACCGGTTTGGTCATCCTCGTGTCTCTGCTGGGTGTCATGCTGAGCCTTGAGCGGCTGCGGGCCGATCGCCGCAGGGACGATGCAAGCGCGTATAGGACCACCAGTGCCGAGCCGAGCACGTCTGTGCCAGAGTATGGGCGATGGAGTGTGATCGCCGCAATCCTGTGCGGTGTGCCTTCGCTTGTGTGCTTGATGCTCATGATGCAGCTACGCAAGTTGAGATTCTTGCTGGTGACAGAAAGGCATGAGACCGATCGTTTGCAAGGAGTCATCAATGAAATGGACTATGACCGCATGATGTGGGCAGAGCACCATGCACGAGAGGGTGCATCAGCGTCATCATCAGGTGTACCGTTGCAAGTTGCATCCACCAGTGGGCGTGTGAGCAATGCCACAGTGCCAGGGCATACGCCAGAGTTGCATGTTTATTGCACTGCAAGGCGAGGCAAAGCTTACCATGCAAAGCGCGGATGCACATGCTTGAACAACGCTGATGAGATCCTGCGACTTGGCTTAGCAGAGGCCAAGGAACGTGGCTACCAGCCATGTGGGCGATGCTTCGGAGGCAATCGCAAACAGAAATGAACGAACCAGCATTTTCTTGTGACGCTGGTGACCCACTTGAAATATGCTCATGATGCAGATGCATTGGTCATCTTTGTACATAGTCAGCGGCGTGAGCCTTCGGGAACACTTCGTTGACGGATGATTGTAGATAGACTACTTGAGCTTGAACGGATGTGGGGGCCAGTGTTCTTGAATACCGCAGCGATGCATTTGTGCATCACGTGCCAACACAGCATTTTGCTGCCAATCTTGGTCATTCCGGATCAACTTCGATGGCTGTGGAGCAGCCTGAACCCGCATGGAAGTATCGTGATGAGCTTCCTCACGGTAACTAGGCCGTGAAAATCTTCAGAGTGCTATCTTGAAGAGAAAGCACATGTGGGGCGCAGCATGCGCATTAGCCCGCATGAATGGCGTCCTCTTGCGTCTGTCAAGAAACATTTCGTCCCAAGCTGACCTTAGCTTGTGGATGGAGTGGTCGCGTAGTGTACAGTTGAGCCTAGCAGGATGGCAACACGCCATAAAACCTTTAGCTACTTAGGTCCGCTACTGCAAAACGTACTCGTACTGTTGTTGATGCAAATACGAGTGCTCAGGTGCAACACGCATTTGGGAGGGGTGATCAAATTTTGTGTTTGTACTCGTACCCTTATTTTGATTGAACAGTTTGGTAGCTTTTGGACATGTAGCTTTGAGTGCATGGAATAACCATGTTACGACCGACGTATGCAGGCTCAGAGTTTGCGTGAAAGAGGATTGTTTTCAGATTTAGACTCCGCTTGACCTGCATTTTTGTGAGTGCAGTGCGAACATTTGAGTTCTGCAGTATTGGCCGAGGATAAAACATGTTTTGATCATGTCATGAAGTTCATGTTGTGTTCTTCTCGCTTTATCTTAGATCGAATGATGCTTTAATTACTTTCAGCTGCTGTTCAGGTACTTCGGAGTTTTGACGTGCACGGTGGACTGTCCGAAGCTCCTTTTGCTCGCCATGTCCTCGCTTTACTGGGCTTGCCCAGTTGAACTGTTGTAACCTTCGAATTTTGGGCGGCCGGGCGGGAAAAGATATTTTCAGTTTTGAGTTTTTCCTAGTTTCCGTTTTCAGCTCACTGTCTCTCAGTTTGTCTCAGATCCTTTCAGTTCTCAGTGAGAATCCGTCTTTCCGATATGTTTAGGCTCAGTTTTAGTTTTTGGTAGCCATTTTGGCTCAAGGCTCAGTTTTAGTTTTTGGTAGTGTGGGGCAAAGGCTCCATTCGGACGTAGATGTCATGGCCGGAGCTGCAAGGGCAGGAGCTTGCACTCCTTAAAGGGGCATTCGCGAACCCCAGGCAATTGCACGCAGCCTTTGATGGTCGCGAGGAGGCGGCTGAACTAATAGAGGTGTTCTTGCCAGGCATCAACAGAGATGGGAAATATCAGAGAGCCGACGTTCTTGTGGCATGGGCGCAGGAAAATGAATCAGCAATCAAGCGGCAGCGAAGGGAGTCATTGCATGGTATGTGGGAAGTGCTACCACAGCAACGTGTGGTGCCGAAGCTGACGGACACATTTGATGAGCTGGCAAGGAGCAACCCACTTGTCCTGCTGCCGGCGCTGCAGCGGAAGAGGCGCTTGCTTAGAGAAAATACAGACGCTACACAGCGCGCAAAGGAGGAACAGCTGGCAAGGAAGAAGTATGCCTTACAATTGGCCGAGATACTTAAGGAAGCGAAGTTGCCACTGGTGCAACAGCTGGAGGGGGTGGACCGGCCTGAGGAAGTTTGGCCACGGATATTTGGAACCCGCAGGAGCAAAACGCTGCGAAACCGCTTGAAGGCTTGGCAACCCTTCAGGACGTGGCTGCAGTGCGTCCATGAGGTGCAATGGCCGACTAGCGTGCGGCAGCTGATTGATTATAGCAATGAGAGATTTCGAAGTGAGTGTGGCAAGACAGTGCTGAACAGTTTCCAGGCATCGCTGGCTGTCTTGGAGCAGGTGGGAAAGGTCGCTGAGACACAGCGGCTGTCGAGCGATACAACTTGGCTGGCACACTTGAAGTCGTTGACTGCAGATTTGGTGGGTGAACAAGCGCCCGTACAGCAAGCACCAATGATTACGGTAGCTATGATCATTTCACTTGAGCTGCACATTGCGAGGGAGGATGAGCCTGAGTATATACGGGCAATGGCCTTCGTTGCACTGCTGGCTGTGTATGGTTCCATGAGAATGGACGACTTGCAAGGGATGCTGCCGGCTACCATGCAGCTTACTGCACAGGGCTTCAGAGCTACGCTTGGACGCACCAAGACGACGGGCGCAGACCGTCGCAACAAGGAGGTCTCGGTCTTCATACACAGGCAGGCAGGACTGTCCGGGTTTGATTGGCTGGGTGAGGGCTTTGCGCTTTGGAAGAAGTATACTCAGCCGAGAGACTTCCTTGTCATGATTGCCAGAGACGATTGGAAAGGGCCAACTAAGCACTTTGCTAAGAGCGAGGTAGTTGCAGGCTATGTGCGTGAGGTCTTCAAGAGGCTAGCAACGCCGAAGTTTGAGGATGGGGCCTATCGCCTCAACTTGCAGAGGTACCTCTTGGTGGAAGGGGCCCAAGGCTTCTTCACGGGGCATAGCCCACGCAATTGGCTTACTTCAGCAGCCGCGGTGTTGGGATGGTCTAAGGATCAGAGGGATTTCTTGGGTCGTTGGATGATCGGTGGTTCGGGTTCTGCCGACTACACGCGCACTGCAAGGGAGGTTGTGCATCGCATACAGATTGGAGTCTGCGAAGCAATTGTCACCGGCAAGGGTGGCGAGTATCAAGAGAGTGAAGCTCTCGAAGAACTAAAAGCCTTTGTGGACGAACGTGGAGGTTCAGGTGCATTGGCAAGGCGGCGGCATGATCTACTTAGGACTGTGGAAGGCGTACGCTGCTTGGGCAGCAAGTGGCCTGCCATTGAACAGGACGATGCAGATGCCAGCGAAGAGGAGGAGGCACCGGAAGCGATGAACGTTGAGGGTAGTGCCACAAAGTACTTCATTAGCATCAGTCGTAAGACGGGCCATCGCAGGCTGCACTTGAATGGGCCGTGCCATGTTAAGCCACATCATTGCAATAGGGTCGAGTTTGTCGAGCGTGTCGCATTGGATCAGATCGACAGCATTTGTCGTGATTGCAAGCATCGTATGAGGGAAGATCAAGGTGCCGAGGACGATCAGGACACAAGTAGCGAGAGCGGGTCCACAAGTGACTCGAGCAGCGAAGAGGGGTGAGAGTACGTTCGAAGCTTGGCGACAAATTGTGTGTTGCGGTAGGAGTGTGCTGTGTTCGAGGTGCGGCATGTACATGGCTGTTTGCATGGGTAGGTGCTCGCTTGAGGGAGTTTGGCTAAGGCAGCTTCGCAGGACCGTCGGCATGTACGTGATTGTGAGTGATCCACGAGTTTCAGTGTCAGTCGCGAGTGCATGCAATTCTACAATTACGGAGTTAGGAGCTGTGTGATTTTCAGTTGCCATGGGCTACCGCTGAGAGTGCGGTTTCAGTTGCACAGCACGGTGCTGTTTCAGATAGCATGGCGTTGCCTAGTGAGGCGGATCAGAGAGCAGAAGTGGCAAAGATGGATTCCGACTTGCAGTATGTGCTTCAGGAAGCCAGTGCGTCACTGGCCACGCAATATCAGGTTGCGCGGCTCCATCAGAGTCGAAGGCGATTCCAGGCGATCGCCGATAACCGCGAAGGTGCCCGGACAGCTGCGCGTGATTTCGGGATTAATCCTGATACACCGGCGGGCCGTGTTGAGGTGGCAGCTATAGTGGCTGCGTGGGAACTTGCCAAGGAGTATGCCAGTAAAGAAATCGAGCTACGTGCAGAGGCGAAAGTTCTAGGCCATAAGAGAATCTTGCAAGTGCAGGAACGCCAAGCTATGCTGAAGGCAGTGACGGATGCATACGGGAAGATGAATGAAAGCGAGACGCCAAGTGCAGAGTACTTGGCAACAAAGGCCGAGGAGTGCGAGAGCAATGAGCCTCTCGCAAGTTCGCTTGATCGCATCTCTTCAAAGAAGGATTCGCAGGTGGAGAGCCTCCAGACTAGCATTGATCCCACCGGGCATGTTCGGGTGACAAAGACGATGCAGAAGTTGGAAATGCCACATCACTCAGAGGGCTATAGACGCTTGATGAAGGTCGAGGCACATGCATGGCTCTGCATGAGTGCACGGTTTAAGGCAAAGGCTTGGTTGCAAGGGCTTCAGCTTGATGATTTCACTAAGTTTGTTGAGTACATCTTGGGGGATCGTGTTGGCAACTTGAAGTTGCCCACTGCTTCAGGGCAAGAGACGCAGTTCAACAGGCCTCCATGGAACATCGTCTTGAGTTATGAATATAAGTTGAGGGTTGAAGCTTTCAAGATGATCCTGGAGGGAACCGCCACCATGGCAGAGGCACTTCGGGCAGTGCGTGAGGATCCATCGCTGAAAGAGGCTTACTTTACAACACCTCTGGCATTGCACACAGCTGGTACGCCTACCAAGTTTCGGAAGGGCAACAGCAAAGGAAAGGATAAGCAGCAAGGGCAAGAGATTCCACCGCCGCCAGCGCCGCATCAGAACGGTCGTGGAGCAGGGAAAGGCAAAGGCAAGAAAGGCAAGGGCCAGGTTGTCTTGTCAAATGGGAAACAGCTTGCACTTGTGTCAGCGACTCCTGACGGCCGTCAGTTGTGTTATGCATACAACCACCAGGGCTGTACTGATCCGAAGTGCGCACGTGTGCATGCGTGTCGTGTTGCAGGGTGTTTCGGCGAGCACCCGGCCTCGCAGCACGAAGCCGCGACAGCGGGTAAGTGACAGAGTTGCGCTCAGCAGGGGGCGCATGGGCACCATCTGCCGTTGCTGTCAGGCCAACCTGTGGCATCAAGGGTGGTTCATGTCTTTGCAGATCCTGCTGAGCGCTTTGATTGGGCACCGCATCTCAGCAATAGCATGTCGCAGCCAGAATTCGTCGCTTTTGGATTTGATGCAAACAACCTGTTTTGTGGTGATGCTTGGGATCAGTTGTTTGAGCTTGTGAAACAACCGAAAACCGTGATCTTGATTTCGCCTCCTTATGATACTTTTAGTCGGGCGAGGCATAAGCAACCTGGGCCCCCGCCACTCCGCAGTGACAAGTGGCCCAGAGGTTTTCCATGGCTTAAGGATTCGTCTATGCAGAAGGTGACTTCTGCCAATCATTTTATCGACCAGTGTTTGAAAGCAACAGTTTTCGCGGCCGAGGCTGGCAATTTCTTCATGTGGGAAGCGCCGGAACACTTCGGCCGCACCGCCGATGGCATTGTGCCGAGCTCCATTTGGGTTTGGCCTGAATTACTTGACTGCATTCCGCGTTTTGCGGCCACTACCTTTGTGCATTACTTATGCGAGTTCGGGGCGGACTGGGCCAAACCAACACGTTACTTGAGCAATTTGCCTTTCTTCCGTCACTCCCCAAGGCCCTTGACAGGGTTGCCGGTGCTGGATGCGGATCACCGCTACGTTGGGCCGCTGCCCGCGTCGTGCCCACATGGGGGTCACGCGATTAGCACCGGCAAATCACCGACTACGCAACAGTGGAACTTGCCGCGGGCCCGCGGCTGGCCCCCTCAGTTGTGTCAATTCATAGTAGCAGCCATCGACTTCTCGCTGCAAGCAGATGGGGAATGCAAATCCTCTAAGTCGAAGGTTCCTGACAAGGCAATTAAGGTCCCCGATGTGCTGGGTGGGCACGCTAAGGTTCCTCCCGTGCCCGTCGTTTCAGGTTCTGACCCATCCTCGCCTTCAGGTTGCAGTGCCGCAGCTGCCCCTTCTGCCGCAGCTGCTCCTTCTTCCCAGTCAGGTTGTAGGTCCCCTAAGGCCACGGCGGTTCACCCTTCCCGTTCGGGTTTCAGTTCCTCTTCGCTTCCTTTGAAGTCCGCCTGCGATCCCGAGAGTGCCGCATCACAACTGCTGGCGGCTCCCGGTCCGCTAGAACGTCGCCGTGTGTTAGAGTTATTTGACATGCTTCCCCGCGAGGAGCCGCCCAGGGAATCGACTTCACCTGCACCGGGCAGGGCTTTCGCTACGGGCGCTTACTGTAAGGGTGGCTTAGTCGGTTTGAGGCATCATTCAACCGCGATGCCTATGTCGACGCGGGTTCTAACGAAGTACTTGCAGCAGGTTGCACCTGGCTTTCAAGCATCCGCTATCGCGATCTTCGATGATGTCAGGACGGGTGTCCACCGTGATGCTCGGAATGCACACTATCCGAACATGGTAGTGCCGTTATCCGACTTTGAAGGTGGCCAGATCTGGCTGGAACAGCAAGGAGGCGACGTTTGGGAGACAACGCCAGAAGGGCAGAGACCGGGTGTCCTCTTGGAGGTTTGTAAGGGTCCTGTAAGCTTCGATGCCTGGCGGTCGTACCACGCTACGCGGGCGTGGAAGGGCCGTCGGGTGGTGATGGTAGCATACATGACCGACAAGCTTGGCAATGTTGAGGCTTCCGACTTAGTTCACCTTAAGGCATTGGGCTTTGAGTTACCACTTGACTTGGACGCATCGAATGGGGAGACTTCCGAAGCTCTGGGTACCGCCGAGGGCCCAAGCACACAAGACACAGCACCACCCGTGCCGTTCAGACCAGAGGCGTGCGGGAACCGAGGCAACCCCATTCGCGTTGAGTGGGAAGGTCAGGAGGCTGACATGACAGATGGGTTCGGGTTGTGTTCTCCCTCGCGATGGAGGCCGATGGATCGGGGGCATCGCCTTGGCCCAGCGGCTACTGCACATGCACAATCCATGTACCGGATGCTTACGAGCTTCATCGCCGAGCATGTACCTGATCCCCGGCGCTTCTGCTTGAGCCTACTTTCAGGAAAGATCGAATCCTCTCCATTCGCTGGGGAGAAGTTGGAAGCCCTGCGTAAACAGTGGGCCAAGGTGCTGGGTGCAGAAGACAGTCCCGACGTGCTTGAGATCCCGGATGCGCAGCCCTTCTTGCTCAGGGCCTTGTCACTTTCGGCCGAAAGACTCGAGGATCCAGACTGGGAGATTTTAACGGAGGGAGTTGACTGTTTCTGTACCGGGGTCCCCTTAGGTCTTAATTGCGACATACCACACTTGCCGCAGGTGTATGAAAGGAAGTGCCAGTGGCGTAAACTTGATGAGTCAGAGTTGGATTTTGACCGGGAAAATTATAAGAGTGCCGAGTTGAGCTCCGCCGGGCTCCTCGAAAAGTTTCGTGCAGAGGAAAAACTTGGACGGATGAAACCGACAACGCTCGGAGCCTTGCGCGAGGAGTACAGTGATGACATGATCCGCGTGGCCTCAATGGGGGCAATCCTCAAACCCGATGGCAGTGTGCGGCCATTACATGATGGAACGCACGGTGTCAATGTCAACAACCAGATACGCTTGGTGAATCAGTTAGCGGTTCCAGGTCCGGCAGAAATGTCATTTTCAGTTCGGCAATCAGGTGCTATGCAAGAGATTCCCTTGGCCGCAACCGCGGACGTGAGTGCTGCACACAGGTTGGTCTTGCATCGGAAGAGTGACTGGGCCTTGATGTCATGCAGGGCAGAGCAAGGGTCTGACACGATTTGGATCAATAAGGTAGGAACGTTTGGGCTTAGCCCAGCTTCCTTTTGGTGGAGCAGGTTGTATGGAATCATAGGCAGAGTGGTCACCCGTTGCCTACTGCAGCACGCCTTTTACCACTTCGCTTATGTGGATGATGTGCATCCCACTTTCTACGGGAAGCGGATGTACATCAACTTCTTGGTTTGGCTGATCCTTCAAGAAATGATAGGGGTGCCCTTCGCTTACCATAAGTTTAAGGGGAAAACGCTTGTCGCTTTCATAGGATACGAGCTTGACTATGGCGCCAGACTGGTGGGACTTAGCGAAGCCCGAGGTGCCTGGGTGTGCAACTGGGTCGATGAGGCACGGAAGGCGCGCTTCGTCGTCTCTGTCAGGAAGTTTGCAGAGTTTCTCGGGAGACTTGGGTTCGTGTCTAGGGTTGTGTACTGGATCAAACCACATTTGGCCCCCTTGTATGCTTGGTCAGCTGCGGCTTCGAAGAGCCATGTTGCAAAAATGCCGGACACGGTTATTCTGACTTTGCTCTACTTGGAGGCAACGCTTAAAGACATCAACTTCAAGGTCACACCGGGCCGACAACAGGAAGAGAAAGGGCATCTCTTTCACACGGACGCGAAATGCGATGATGGTTATGTTGTCCTAGGAGGTTGGGACTCTAGCCAGGACCTTTCGGTCGCGTCTTGGTTCTCCATAGTGGTGAAGCCTGCGGATGCTCCGTACCTTTTCGACGCAGCGGGAAAATCACAATGGGCATCAGCATCAGCCGAACTTTTAGCAACATTAGCTGCTTTGTGGTTCTTCGGACACCTTAAAGAGAGTAGTTCGCAGAGGCGACTCCCCGTCGCCATTGCCGGGGCCACTGACAATCAGAGTAACGAGAAGCTTCTTAAGAAACAGTCCACTACCAAGTGGCCGCTCATGCTCATCAACATGCAGCTCTCACATCTCCTAAGAAAGGCTTGTCTGAGGCTCAGCTTGACTTGGAAACCACGTGACGGAAATAAGTTGGCAGATGCTCTGACAAATCAGGATTTCAGCTCTTTCAGTTCCGAACACCGTTTGGATGTCAGTTTCAGCGAGCTACCACTTGAGCTCTTGAATCAGTTGTGGTTGTCGAAGTCCGACTTCGATGCGTCTCGTAAGGCGCTGCAGTCTGCAAGTAATTTTCTGCCTCATGTCCCGAAGAGGAAGCGCGAAGGCACACCCTGGTGACTCAGGGAGAGGGGGCGAGGCTACGCACACCAGATGTGCCTGCCTTCCCTCCGACGAGGGGACATTCACCACCATCCGAAAAAAAGAGTCTTCGTCCGAGTGCTTGAAGGATTGAATTTATATTTCCTTTTTACTTATGACTCTGACGTGCATATATTCATCCAAGTTTGAAGGAACGATTTTAGTAGAAGGTTTAGCGTTCGGCTCAAACCTCAAAACAAGAAGGGGAAAACAGGCAATGCCGGTTCTTGAATGATAAGGCTGATCATGAGGCCAACTTGTGTCGTCTGCGACGTGCTTCGGGCTCCTTGAGGGAGCAGTGGCACGCTCAGAGAGAAGTTGCTTGTAAGTGGGAGACGGATGCAATACATGCTTCTGCTGCGTCTGCCAAGATCCTGCAGCAGCACATCGCTGATTCTTTGCAGCGGGTGCAGCCTGCACTGAGTGAGCCGGGCTAACTTGTGGCCCTGCTCGTGCTGTTGGTGAGAGGCAGTTTCCTGCCTAGGGTAGGGTAGGGTAGGCCGCAGACACGCGACCAGGCGCCTTGCCTGTCGAGTTGAGTAGTTTGCAGACTCGTGATGGCCGTGTCACGACTAGGAGCCTTGTTTCACTGGTTCACAAGAGGAGAGTCTTTGAGTGGGACTTCGGCAAGCTCATGCTCTTCCATGTGTGCATATGTTTCTGAAGCCTTGTGGCCTTTCGCTTGCTGTACAGCTTTCGCGATCGCTCTTGGCTTCTGGTGTTTCTCACCGAAGCGACGTGCTGGTGTTGAGGACTTGCTGGGGCGAGCCTCTGCATCCCAAACAAAGTCATGAGGGGAAAACAGGCTTTACTGGGCTTGCCCAGTTGAACTGTTGTAACCTTCGAATTTTGGGCGGCCGGGCGGGAAAAGATATTTTCAGTTTTGAGTTTTTCCTAGTTTCCGTTTTCAGCTCACTGTCTCTCAGTTTGTCTCAGATCCTTTCAGTTCTCAGTGAGAATCCGTCTTTCCGATATGTTTAGGCTCAGTTTTAGTTTTTGGTACCCACCCAACCCACCCTGTATGGGAAGGGGTCGGACCAACCTTGGTCTCACCGGGGGCGAGGCTACGCACACCAGATGTGCCTGCCTTCCCTCCGACGAGGGGACATTCACCACCATCCGAAAAAAAGAGTCTTCGTCCGAGTGCTTGAAGGATTGAATTTATATTTCCTTTTTACTTATGACTCTGACGTGCATATATTCATCCAAGTTTGAAGGAACGATTTTAGTAGAAGGTTTAGCGTTCGGCTCAAACCTCAAAACAAGAAGGGGAAAACAGGTTAATCGATAGCGGTGCACACTTTAAAAGGCGTGCGGATGAGGTCGGTCTCAGCAGTGCCGGATGGACGATCCTTCAGGCCCTTGGCATTACCTCTGTAGGTAAGGCGGCGTACACCATCACGTCGCCAGGTGAGCCAGTCACGGAACCCATATTCCGAGATTGGGTTGCCGACAATGCTGCAGGTATGACTCTGGGTGATCAATCATGCTTGAAAAGGCTCGTGTTCGAGTCCCAGACTCTGGTCGTTGCTGAGTTGCGCGACCAAGTATCCGGGTCTCAATCATCTGCCCCTCGTCGTGTTCCCGAGGCTGAGCGCGACCGAAGACTGAACGATCTTAGGGCGGCCCTCCCAGGCATCACGCTGGAGGGCGTGAACATGCCAAGCAATGCCCTGTTGGATTCATGTTGTCAGCAAGAGCGAGACAACTTGCTTAAGTACATCCCGCCTGAGAAAGCCACGAGCCGCACCCATGAACTCACGAATCCCAGACCGACCCATCAGGCGCTGCAGGTCGAAGCATCCAAGATAGTTCTCAAGAGTGACGCTGATGCTGTTGAGTATCAACCGGTCAATGCGCTCCAGACCATGGAGGCCCTTCGGCGACGAGGTTTGGCCATGGTGTTTGCACAGATGATTTCATATGATGCCTACGATGTGACACAATTGGTTAACGCTGACAAGCAGGTGTTTGCACTGCTGGCCGAATGGGGTGTCAAACCAAGGAGGGACACCGCAGGCGAGTATCCCCTTGACCGAGAGATGCACCGCGCTTTGGAATCCTACGAGGTGTCCATTGCCCTCATGCACCAGGCTCCCCAAGGCAAGTTCCCGTTCAAGAATAACCGCAAGCGTCATCCCTCTCGGCCTTCAACCCCCGATCCTCCTACGAAGCTCCCTAAAGGCAAAGGCCGAGGCAAAGGTGCCAAAGGTGGTCCTGCGATGCCCAAGGAGCTTGTTGACCTGAAGGCAAATGCCACCACACCTGAGGGTAAGAGCATCTGTTATGCGTTCAACTTGAAGGAGTGCAAGCGCACTGACTGCCCTCATCAGCATGTCTGTGCCAGGTGTTTCCAGCCGCACTCGATCCGCAAGTGTGCTGCCGCCGGCGCTTGAGCGCCTTCGATCCCCTCTGAAGCAGTTTTGCATCGTGATTCACTCTTGTCTGAGCCTGCCTCGTCTCTTGTCGCAACTGCAAACCTGGCTGATGCATGCAATCCCATATCCCCTCCTTGTGAACAGCACGCCCAAACCTTGCTTTCCCGCGGTGCCTTGTGTGCTGAGGATGTGTTGGGCTTGGTCTCTTTTCTGCAACCCGAATCACCTCGCTTCCCTGGTGAGTTTAGTTGGGCCACTGGAGCCTATGTGCATGGCGGCATAGTCGGCCTCCGACACAACCTCAATCATTTTCCTCTTTCGTCTAAAGTCTTGGCGAGCTTTGTTTCGAATACATTCCCACAATTGGAGTTTACCTCCATCGTGGTTTTAGTTAACACCCTCACCCCTGCGCACCAAGATCTCAACAATCATTTGGGTTTCCCCAATGCTTTGATTCCGCTTAGTAAGTTTGAGGCCGGTGGCCTTTGGATCGAGGGAGCTGGTGAGGAGGTTTGTCCTGACCCAGGGCATCCCGATGCCAAGGGACATGTTCTGCAACTGCATGAGCCGATCCAGTTCGATGCGCACCGGCTGCATGCGACATGCCCGTGGACAGGAAATCGCACTGTGCTAGCAGCTTTCGTAATCAATGATTTCCACAAGTTGGATGCTCAGCACCGCCAGCTTCTTCAGCACACTGCCTTTCGCTTGCCAAGCCTGTCTACTGGCGAGCTCCTGCCTTTGCGCCCAAGCATCGCTTCACGGTTCCCAGTGGTCCTTGAAATTTTTGCGGGTACAGCTCGTGTGACCGCAGCCTTGCGTCGCTGTGGCTTTGTCGGGGCCCAAGGTGTTGATCACGTGGTCGTGGATCATGCTGCCTGTCCTGTGCTGTTGGCCGATCTGACTACGCAAGAGGGCCAGCGTTTAACGATGATGTGGCTTTCCAGCCCTCATGTTGTCGGTGTCTTCATCGCTCCACCGTGTGGCACCAGCTCTCGCGCCCGGGAGATTGCACTCCCTGAGCCTTCTCCCGCCCCGTTGCGATCACTCACTTTTCCCGACGGGCTGCCCCATCTGTCTGGTCTCAACCTGGTGCGCGTCAACAGGGCTAATCAGCTGTACCACTTTACGACTACCATCTGTGCTGAGGCCCATCACCGCAACCTCATCATTGCCGTGGAAAATCCGCGGAGTAGTCTCTACTGGTCCACCAGCTTCTGGGCTGCTGCGGCCTCCTTTTGTCCTATGCATACTGATTTTCAACACTGTGCCTTTGGCGGTCGCCGGCCCAAGTGGATTCGCCTTTGCCACAACCACCAAGCCTTCCATGCTTTGCATCGCGTCTGTCCCGGCGGTGCCTGTGCTGCCCAACATTTGCCGTGGGGTCGTTCTGAAGACGGCTCCTTTGCCACCGCCAGTGAAAGCGCTTACCCGCCGCAGCTAGCCACCGCCATCGCTCAGTGCTTCGCTCGAGCAGTTACTTTTCTGCCTGAGGCCGAGCCCTCCCTTGCAGCCATGAGGGCCACTTCCGGCCTTCAGCCCAAGGCTTCTGCTGTGCCGCCTCTTGTCCCCGAGCACAAAGCTGTGCTTGTGATGACCGGCCCAAGTGATGCCACTTCCTTGCCGACCCTTCGCGCCCGACTGCCCGAGCCGTGGTCTGACTCGCGCTTCGCGCCTGCTGGGCCCGTGCCAGCCCACAGTCAATTACTCCGAGCGGATAAGAAGGGAAGTGATCGACTTGAATTGGCTTGGGGCATATCTTGGTCTCCAGAAGAGTTCATACATAAAGCGGTTCAAGCGGGACATCCCAAAAAGTTTGACTCGCTACTGCCTTCCGCACTGAGCCACAGCATAGACGTGAATGCAAAAACAACGCCGGCCGATAGAGCCGGCCTCAGAGCCGAATGGTTTGCAAAGTGGACCAAACGTGCAGCTGAACTTTCGGGGGACGAAAAGAAGCTCAAGAGCTCTCTCCCCGAGTACGCCAGGAAGATCGTCCTTCCAAAAAGGATTTTATTGTGGCGTGAGATTCTAGAGGATCTCCAATATCCTGACATTGGAGTGCTGGACGAAATGCTTGAAGGAGTGCACTTGACAGGTCAGACCCCTTGCACAGGGGTCTTTCCTGGGGCCTTTAAGCCAGCAAAAAGGACTTCGGAACAGCTGCGCTCCAAAGCTGTGAGTCCCGCCAGAAGATCATCGATGCGATCAAATCGCAGGGTCACCTGGATGAAGCGCTAGAGCAAAAGGTCGACGAAGAAGTGGAACTCGGCTGGCTGTCCGAGCCGATAGACCCGGCCGATTTGCCGGAAGACGCCACAATCAGCAGGAGGTTTGCGATCGAGCAGTCAGGTAAGATTCGCTTGATAGACGACCTGAGTGATAGTGGTGTTAATGGGTCTGTCCAAACCACCGAGAGCCCCAAACCTCAATCCCTCGATGTGGTGGCCGCCATGGCCTTGGCCTGTCTTAGACAGCTGCCTGGGATAGGGAAGACGTTCGACTTAAAGAGCGCATACAGGCAAATGTTTGTGTCTCCAGACGACCTCAAGGAAGCTTACATTGCATACTTCAGCCACCGCGAACGCAAAGTGATCGTAAGGCAAATGCTTGCGCTCCCATTCGGGGCGACCAGAGCGGTGTTCTCGTATTTGAGAGTGGCGCACTCTATGTGGTACATTGGGTGCTGGGCACTGAAGTTGATTTGGTCACATTTCTTCGACGACTTTCTGAGTCTGACGACTCAGATCGAGGCCAAAGCAGTTGACCTGGCAATATCATCATTGTTCAGGTTGCTAGGGTGGAAAGTCTCGGAGGACAAAGACAAGCCCTTTGCTGAGAGTTTTGCTGCGCTTGGGGTACGGGTTAGCTTTGAACGATTTTTGCAAGGGGAAGTCCTGTTCCATAATACGGACAAGCGCATCTTGGAGGTTTCGGCCACGCTGCGCCATGCAGCTGATGATCCAGCTCTCACCCAGAAGGACCTGTCGCGCATTCGGGGTCGCATGGTCTTCGCAAGGGGCCAGCTCTTCGGAAGAGCCGGCCGGCTATGCGTAGCCGCCCTAGCTGGTGAAGGTTGCTCGACCAAGGCAAACCTTAGCAACGACGCAAAGCAAGCCATGCTTCAGTTTGCCGACCTGCTTGAAGCCAATTGGCCGCGCGTGCTGAGAGATGTGTCGGCAGATCCAGTGTATATCTTCACTGATGCCTCGTATTCCGAGGTGAGTGGAGGTACTTTCTGCGGCATAGGCGGAGTCTGCTTTGACCACAAAGGTCATCCCCTTGGATTTCTCTCCGAAGAATTGTCCTGTTTCCAGAAGCGTCTACTAGGAGAGGGCAGGTCCAAGACCATCATCTTCGAGGCGGAACTTGCAACAATCGTGATCGCTTATGTCTTATGGAAAGATTGGCTTAGGGGAAAACCTGCTGTGATTTTTGTGGACAATAACTCCGCTAGAGACGTGTCAATCAGTGGCACATCACGGAATGATGTAGGCAAATCGCTTGCATCACTTCTTTTAACAGTGGAATCCTTAGCCAAAACTTTTTCGTGGTTCGCTCGTGTTCCGTCACCAGCGAACATCGCAGACACGCCTTCGCGTGAAGTGCTAAAAAGCTTCACCGTGTCAGGCTGCCCCGCCCCTCACTTCCCGTGCGAGGACATCGTGTCCGAAGTCTTGGGCATCCTAGTCAAGTAATACATCGGTTAAGAAGGGGAGAATTCTTGATTTCGGTTTACACATCCTTTTGCAGGCGATGTTTGTTCCGCCAGCGATGACGTTCCGCCATCCGTAGCTGCAGGTTTGAGGCTAAATGCCTCATTGCACCAAGGTACCCCTTGTCACCGCTGGTGAAAAACGACAGAAGCTTTCAGGAGTGCTGTGTGTGTCGTGTCTCTCTTGAGTGTGAGCGTCGCAAGCCAAGCCGCTAAGCCTTCAAGTGCGATCCCTAAATCGGCAGCCGTTTATGCTCAAGATATTAAGGAGGCCGTCAGTGCGAGCGCTGATAGTCCCTTAATATCTTGAGCGTGAATTTTCTTGAAAAATCGGGCCTGGATTTTTAAAGAAAAATGGCTGCCAAAAGTTTTCTGTAGTGTGAGCGCCAAGTGTTGCTATATTGCATCTTCTTGTCACCCGCGCTCGTCATCTCAAGGCATCTCAAAGCCGGTTTTGCATAAACGTCAGCGACACTATGCTGGACTCCACTGAACAAGCCACAAGTCTTGCACATGTAAGGTTGCAGAAATTTTTCTTTCCCCGCCCACCCACACCAATTGCATCTCAGACCTTGCGGCGAGTGACGCCCCTGCAGCCGAGTGCCGCATGCGTGAATCCAATCCCTTTGCACACCCCAGCCGATCCGGTCAGCGCGACCGCGCGTGCTTCGCTCATAATGCGTTCTCGGGGAGAATTCTGGATTTCGGTTTACACATCCTTTTGCAGGCGATGTTTGTTCCGCCAGCGATGACGTTCCGCCATCCGTAGCTGCAGGTTTGAGGCTAAATGCCTCATTGCACCAAGGTACCCCTTGTCACCGCTGGTGAAAAACGACAGAAGCTTTCAGGAGTGCTGTGTGTGTCGTGTCTCTCTTGAGTGTGAGCGTCGCAAGCCAAGCCGCTAAGCCTTCAAGTGCGATCCCTAAATCGGCAGCCGTTTATGCTCAAGATATTAAGGCATCTTAGCTTCTCACTGCCAATACTACTATAATTTACCGCTCTACCATTTCGCACATATTAGTGGGCTCGCCAGAAGAAAAGCTTTGGACAAACAACAACACGACCAAGCCAAGACCCCAAAGACCGAACAAACAACAAACAACAAACAAAATAAACAGTGCCAAACTAAGACCCGGGAGCCGGAGATGTCTGGATCCATGAATGCTGGCCTGGTCCGGGTGCAGCCCCAGATCTTCAGTGCCCAAGCCGCCCGATTCAGTATGATGATAAGCCAGGATACAAGTGTCAGCAGCAGTGGCAGCTCCAGTCGTATATCGTTCCAGCAAGTGTTTTCTGAACTTGACCCCAGCCTCCTTTCGATATTCAGCGTCTTCTCTTTCAGCTGTATCGTCCACACAAAAACTTGTTTGCTCCAGCAAGCGAGCTCTCTTCAGACTCATGGACAGTCATGACGGCGAAGCGGTGAGCGTTCTCGTTTTGAGGATTTGGGGCGCTCTGGGGTGATATACTTCATTCAGAAAGCTTCAGGATTTTGGGGTGAAGGACTCTTCACAGTTTCGGTGGCGACATACTTTGTTCATCAAGCTTTAACACTTTAAGGCTTAGGGTTACAGTATGGTACGCCCTGGCGGCGTGTATTTTCGTGTGTTCATGTTTTCACCTGCGTTCGCAGATGGCAAGCTTAGCAAGCTTTTCACTTCCAACCACATTGTTTTAGATGCATACAAATACGACGTGTTGTGAATTGTTACTTTGAGTTTCCACGAAACCATTGACTTGACCGAATACTTGTCCGAGAGATAAAGTACAGGACAATCGCTCAAAAGAGATCCCGAAGGTGGAGGGCATAAGGGCACGGCCTTAAGGTGTGGCTGTGGGCATGGAGGCCTGGAGGCCTCTCGGGGGGGGGGGGGGGGGGGGAGGGCGCAAAAAAAAAAAAAAAAAAAAAAAAAAATTGGTGGGCTGCTCTCTGGTATTTTTTTTTTTTTTTTTTTTTTTTTTTGGGCCCCCCCCCCCCCCCCCCCGCAGGCAGGACCTTATGGACGGACATCCGGAGGTAAGCAGGGTATGTCTGGGGCCTTCGGCCTTTGGCATTCCAGTTCCCGCACTACGCGATCATCTCAAGCTTTCCAGTGTGCCACCAATCCTATCCTATCAAATGAAACATCCCTCCATGAACAAGATTACGCGTGATATTCTTGTCCACCACTGGGAAAGCGGCTCCCACACCTGAAAACGGTGACATTACTTACGGATGACACTTATACATGACAAAAGTATGATGGGTAGTACATTCTACACGTTAAAAAGTACGATGGGAATGACGTCCTTGTACCTCGACTCATGGTGACCTGGTCTCGACACCCTCAATTATGATGGTCCAAACCGTCTAAGAAGATGACGGGTGGCGAACCCACAACCCTACACTGAAAGTCATGCTTGGCTTCCAACATTCCAAAACATCGTACAAAATGTTGGGCCCTCATCCGCAAGCTCGGACAATGAAAGATAAGTTGCAAGCCACAACATACTTGTGACATTTGGGGTGGAACATAGATGCTTACCTACAAGCCAACCTTGGTAGACAGATGTTAGTTTATACCTACATATATATATATGTATATATGTGTATATACATGTTGATATATGTGTATAGGTTTGATATATACATGCAGACATACATACACACCTACATATGGATGTGTATGTGTACATACCCACATGCTCATGCCTTTCCAAAGCTTATAAACACATACATATATGTATACTATATATACATACATGGGTACATACATATATATATATATATGTATCACGGAAACATGTGCATTGTTTCCGGAATATACATGCAAACATATGTATATGCAACGGGTAGGCATTTAGGCAGCTACAGGCTCAAACAAGAAAATGGACGGCCTCAGGCTCCTATCCCAAATCCCGCAGCGGCATGGTGGGTGAAGGATGGCGAATATCAAGTCTGTGCGTAAGCACGGCCTCCATACCTGTACATATATACAGCTACATACACAAATATACGTTTAGACAGAAACACACGATGCACTGTGGAAGCTCATGCATACCTATACCATACGCATGCAAGTTCGTGCACTTTGGAAGCCCATGCATACATACACACAGATATGTGTGTATAAATACATGTCTTTATATATATATATATATGTCGAGGAATTTTATGTGATGTACATGCGAGTACCTGTCTATGTAACCGGGGAGACTAATGCAGTTACACTTTCAATCTAAACTGGAGCCTTGGAAGGGTATCATGGGCGGATGAGTTTAAATATATACATACATACATACATACACACACGACTTTCCGTGCATCACGGAGATAGGTAATTTACTCGTAATTGGGTGAATGATCGCGAACAAGAGGTTTTAAATAGAACGACTGCAAAACATGCCCAATTACACCGAAAGCCAATCCCTAAAAGGTGTGGCTCCCTGCCAGAACTGCAAATCACAATAGGGACACCGGAAAAAAGAAGGCCAGAGTCTGAAAATTTTGGCACATATCACGGGCGACATTTATCCAATAAAGATATATGGTGACTAGCAAACCCAAGTACCCAAAAGGATGATGTGTGTCCAGAGCATCCAAACTCTACTGGAAGATATTTGGCCGAAACCGAGGCCAGACAAGGATGTGATGGGCCAATGCCCCTGAGGAGTTCGACGAGTGGCGGAACCACAACTGGATCCTCAAATCGGTCACTGTTTTCCCAAATACACGCAGCTTAGGAGATGTTGCACTTTCAATCAAATGCTTCAGTGAACTGAAGAAATGACGGGTGGCAAACCCAAAAACTCTTTCAAAGGTGGAAAGCCCCTTAAAGCTTGACACCTGTCGGAATTTAGATATCCCGTTTCCCACGACTTCAGATGCGGTATGCTGCAGCCTATGCCACAATTTCATTCCCCAGTGCAAGACATGATATATACAAGAAGTTGCAAGTCAACATTAGTATGCACATACAAATATGGGCCTGTAATGGGTCCTACTCTCTTTAGATATATGTATGTATCGTATGATTTTACATGCTCGTACAGAGTTAGAATCAGAAAATGTGGATGTATAGTTGCATCCATGCAGGAGCACACATGTACTCCTATGCGACATGTCAGTCTGCATATACACATTGACATATTGACATAATTACATACCTATATTCATACACACATATGTATGGGCTAGGTCTGCATGTAGATAATATCCGCAACGAATGTTCTTATAACCGTTTATCCTGATCTTGATATGCGGCGTGTTAGGGGCGAATGGTAGAGATGAAGAATTGCGTGCATGTCCTTTTCGGTCCTGAGTTTAGTGGAGCTAGACAGCTTTCGCAGCAGTAAAACCATCTATTAAAACTCGAGAAAAAACACGGGATTCCTCGAAAATGCACGCCGCCACGGCGTACCAGTCTCTAGGGTTAAGGGTGGTGTTTTTAAGGCTTAGGGTTGAGGCTTAGGGTTAAGGGCCTTAAGGGTTGAGGCTTAGGGTTAAGGGTGGTGTTTTAAGGCTTGGGGTTAAGGGTGGTGGTTTAAGGCTTAGGGTTAACTGTGGTGTTTTAAGGCTTAGGGTTAAGGGTTGTGTTTTGAAGCTTAGGGTTAAGGGTGGTGTTTTAAGGCTTAGGGTTGAGGCTTAGGGCTGGTGTTGAGTTTAAGCGGCATGAACTCTTGGTGGCTCAGCTTCGGGCCTAGATCTTCGCACAACATCGACCAAGGATCCTCCGATGACTGCTACAGAATGTCACTTGTCGCACAGCACTGAATGTGGCTTCAGCTTTCGCAGGCTCGGGGATTTCACGAAAGAGCTTTGGCTTCCGGGCTTTGAGGTTTCGGGCGGGGGTTTGAGGGTCGCTTCAAGCTGTGGACATGTTTCCATCGGACACTTCGGAACGGTCGCCGGTAACTATAGCTAGTGAAGCTGGCACAGCAGCAGGTGTTGCGATGCCGGCGCAGGTTCCTACAGTAATTATATATAGGCTTTAGGGTATAATAGGACTCGGGGAAACAGTAGCAAACTATACAATAAGGAACGTTCTGCGTGAGGATTTGGGGGCCCTCCTGCACCGACAAGCTGAAACCTAATCCTGCATTCGCACCAGCCTTGTGCAAATCGAGATGAGCATTGCAACCGATTGTTTGAAGCCAGCCAAGCTCGCACTTCGAAGTTCCGGGATTGAGGCGGGGCTTGGGCTTAAGGTTTGGGGTTCCGGGTTGAGGGTCCAGGGTTCAGGGTTTAGGCAAATTGCAGGGTTGAGGGTTTTGGGTTTCGGGTTGAGGGTCCGAAAAAAGTCAGACTATTTTATTCCGGCCTACAGATGAACAGGTCCAGGGTGGTCCAGGGTTTAGGCAAATTGCAGGGTTGAGGGTTTTGGGTTTCGGGTTGAGGGTCCGAAAAAAGTCAGACTACTTTATTCCGGCCTACAGATGAACAGGTCCAGGGTTGAGGGTCCGAAAAAAGTCAGACTTTTTTATTCCGGCCTACAGATGAACAGGTCCAGGGTTGAGGGTCCGAAAAAAGTCAGACTTTTTTATTCCGGCCTACAGATGAACAGGTTCAGGGTTGAGGGTCCGAAAAAAGTCAGACTATTTTATTCCGGCCTACAGATGAACAGGTTCAGGGCTGAGGGTCCAGGGTTCAGGGTTGAGGAATAGGAATCTCCGGTTTGTGGTAAGTTGAAGGAATTTGGGATCATGTCGGCCAGCAATAACAATCGGCGACAAGCGGTTCGCATCGCTCAGCCGCCCGGGCTTAGCCGGGTTGCCCCGATCGGGCTGAGCACATTCCCCATACCAGCAGTGCATTCAGCAAGGGTTTTCGGGAAGCCAGGATTTTATTCGGGATGCAACGACTTTTGGGGGAGCAGCTACGAGTACTTCAGGATTTTTTCGGGCGTGGGTTGATGCTGTGCGGGTTCAAAGACTAAGACATTCCAGCTGCTATAAGCGCTAAACCCTAATAAGCCCTAAACCCCACACCCTAAACCCGGCTTTGAAAAAAACCCAAGCTGCAACACTGCACAACCCCTCCAGCTGAGGATTTCGATCACACAGACAGCGATGCTGCGGAGGCCGATCGCTTGGGCGCCTTCTTTTTCGACTTCGTAGAAGCCTTTGAAGGGGTGCCGGCGGCAGCTTCAGCTTGAGCATCGGACATAGAACGAATCTTGCTTGTACACTCGGACATCATCGCAATCTTCGGGCCCATCTGCAGACAAAACTCGCACAACTTTGAATGATAATCTAGCCCGTAGATCTTCTTCAGCCGAGAAGTCTCCTTGGCACTCAGTGCCGCGATCTTCATTTGGCCAAAGAACTCAACATCGGCGTACATAGCAAGGATCTCCGTTCGGAGACTCCGATACTGCTGGACGAAATCCTTCGCCCAACTCCAAACAGCGGGGTTGGCACTCATAGAGGATGCTATCTTTGACATCACATTGTCGCTTTCGGCTTCCAGGGCTAAGAACTCTTTGACTTCTCGCTCCTTTTTGCCGGTGGGGTTGCCTGCACCTTTCTTGGGCCTCTTAGAAGCACCCTGGCCTTCATCTCCATCTCCCCCAGAGCCAAGCAGAGGATTCTCATCGTCAGGACCCTGAGCACCATCGCCGGATTTCATAGCCTTAGCTTTGCCCTTAGCCACCACTTTAGCCTTGGCCTTGGGAGCAGCCGGTGCAGGTGGGTTCGCGGCCGTCTGCTTCGAAGCGGAGCCATCGCCACCAGGTTGCGGGAAGGCCGCTGGAGTGGACTCGTAGAGCTTTGCAAAGCCCTTGACTCCCAGTGTCGTCTGCTGTAGCATTTCCAAAGTGACATCTTTGGGAGCACATTGGTATTCCACAGCATACACCCGTACAGCCTTGCAGAACTCGGCTTTCTCAGACCAGCTGCCAGAAAGGGGGTTCTCCGACTCCACCGTCACCTCATTCATCCAGGCAGTCTCGGAAGCAGTAGAGACCAAACTTTCCACCCACAGATACGTGTCGGCCTTCAACCAATCGTTGTACATGTAGCAGAAGGGCTGCAGGGCATGGAAGCTGGCTTTGTGGTTTAAGGGGTTGCGGGTTTCGTGGTTTAGGTCTAGGTTTTGGTTTTGCGAACATAGCAAGTGTAGGGCTGGAGGGGGTTTGGGTTTAAGGATGTCTCAGGGTTTAAGTTATTTTGGGAACAAAGCAGGTTTAGGACTCAAGTGGTTTAGGGCTTCAGGGGTTTAAGTTTTTGGGTAGGGTTTTTTACCATAGAGACCCAGCCTTCAAGTCCGGCCGAATGCACATGTTCACGTAGTTGCTAGCCTGGAACACAGCCTCGGCCTTGTCCGCTCCGCCAAGCAGCTGCTGGAGCTGCAACTCCGTCTTGAAGACACCGATGTCCTCCTTTCGCCGCCTGAACGTGTTCGTAGTGGAGCGGCCGGCGGTTGTAAACTCGAAGCTTTTCGTGCATGACCATGCTTGGCGAAATGCGATCTTTTCCGAATCCAAGAGAACCTGGTAGAGTTCGCGGACGTCCGGTCTGTGCTTCAGGGCTCTTTGGAAAGCCTGCCCCGTGGCCGAACGGGCTGACACATTCGTCTTCACCGTCGCCCAGTGAACAGGACCCTTCTCAGAGCCCTTGATCATCTCCTCGGTGACCTGCTCGATCGTGAGGCCGTGGTGCTCGGCGTAGTTGGTCCTGGCCTCCATCATCGCGGAGTCGGTGAGGATCACAGGCTGCTTGGCGGAATCAGGGGCTTCCGGAGAGTTCGTTCCAGGCTGCTTGGCGGAAGCAGGGGCTTCCGGAGAGTTCGTTCCCGGCTGCTTGGTGGAAGCAGGGGCTAAGGATTTCTCAGGGCTCGAGTCCGAAGCAGAGGTCGAAGGCGTTGAGGTCGGATCGGGATTCGAACTAGGAGGAGGCGAGCTGACTACTTGGGTCGCAGCATAGGCATCCAGGGACACGGTCGGGGCTGTTGTCAAGGCCATGGCAGCAGCCACTGCTTCGCCGTCCTGAGGCCATTGGGATACCTGGGTATCCAAACTGTCTGGCTGTGCAGACATTGTCTGCTGATCCTACAGCTATCGATCGAGCTACTCGTCGGCAAAATGCCAGCAGCTCCTTCGCCTGCATTTGAGCGTGGATCGCGACAGCCGCCGGCAGTCTTCAACTCCGGAGGGGTACTATATCTATGAAGCCCATATACTATATATATATATATATATATATATATATATGCTAGGGATACCCATAATAAACCTTGTTGATGCAGGACCTGGCCGTCAACGACTTCTTCGCGCAGCCTTGATGGCTGAAGTTGGAGCAGAGCTCCATGTGAACAGCAGTTGGCACGTACAGGTTAGTCCAGAGGACAACGTAAGCCAGCAGTTGCTTTGTGTGCGTAAAAGACGTAAGTCCGAGTGCTGAGCCATGGTTCTTTGAAGCTGCTTTTCTGGTGATTCTGGAACGAAACTGAGAAGATTAGCATGGACTCTGCAGACGGCAATCCCAATGCACAGGACGTCCCAGACGTCCAACACGATTCCAATGTTCAACAGGTTATGAGTAGCCCAAGTGTTGCTACTGCGCAAGAAGCTGGAACGCAAGGCGCCCCTCGGGTGCTTAACGGATTCCTGCCTCCTATTCGCGGAAGTCAAGACATTGACGGTGAAGTGCTATCAGCCAGCCTTCTGGCTGAACGTGCAAGCGGTCCAGCTGAGACAGCTGGCCATCTACTGCAACCGGTGGGTTCTGGAAGTGGTACTGTGGCGACAGCTCAGATGACATCTGGGATGGAGAGAGCCATGGACCCCTCCTCTTCTGCTTTACATCAGGCTGTGCCTGGGCTTCAGGCCCCTCCGACGGGGGTTATGATTACTGAGGTTCGGGGCCAGACCCAAGTGCAAGGAGCAGGATCGGGAGGTATGTTCTCTGGAGTTCTGAGAGCAGTCCAGACACTGCCCACTGCAGTGGAGAACTTGATGGCTATGTCTACGACTGGAAGATGGGCCCAGGAGCCCACTGGGGTTCATGATAGCGTCGAATATGGCTCTGTCAGATCTTCGGTGGGAAGGACTCAAACTTCCCCTCCGTCGGCTACGCAGGTTCCTACAACCCCGTTGTTGGATGCTGCTACTTTGATGAGAATGCGGCAACTTCAGGAAAGCGCTCCGTTGCTTTACCCGGAGGCGTCGCCACTGCCACCGGCTCCGAGACCGGAGTCCACTTCATCGAGCGACTTGCAGGCTGAAGTGAGAAGACAGTTGACGGAGCTGATGGCGAGTAGAGATGAAGAGACTAGGTTGCTTCGCGCCCAAGTAGAGGCGCTGTGTGTAGAAAATCAGAGCCTGAGGCTCCGTGTCGAAGCTGATGTACAGTCCGGGATGCAGAGCTCGAGACCTGGGGTAAGTAATCCTAGTGGGTTAGGAGGGTTAAGTTGGTTAGGGAGAGGCTTGGGTACCTTGATGGGTCAACAAGGGCTGGAAGGGTTCTGGAATCCTCTCCATCCCCTCCGCCTCCTCCACCGCCTCCTGCGCCCCCGATTTGGCCTCAGCTGAGAGACCGTGCACCACCCGAGACTTCAGCGTATCCTCAGCACTCTTTGGACTTTGGTGTTGGGCCGCCTGGACTTACGGCCGTGCAGCAGCCTAGCTTCGGTTTAGGCCCCAATGTAGGACCCTCTTTAGGTTACGGAGACCGAATCCCTAGCGCAACTGGCCCCGTCGAGCTTAGGCCCATGTCAACCGTGAGGAGTGAAGTAGTGCCTGTTCCCGAATTACCTGACCCGAGATCCTTAGGAGTAGCCCCTGCGAACCCTCCCGAGCCTCCTGCGTCGAGAAGTGGCCAGAGCCACGGGGCGTCTGTTGTGCCTGGCTCTGTGGTGTCAGGGCAGGCTGCGACTTCGGTTCCAGGGCAGGCTGCGACTTCGGTTCCAGGGCATGCTGCGACTTCGGTTCCAGGGCAGGCTGCGACTTCGGTTCCAGGGCAGGCTGCGACTTCGGTTCTAGGGCATGCTGCGACTTCGGTTCTAGGGCATGCTGCGACTTCGGTTCCAGGGCAGGCTGCGACTTCGGTTCTAGGGCATGCTGCGACTTCGGTTCTAGGGCATGCTGCGACTTCGGTTTCAGGGTATGCTGCGACTTCGGTTCTAGGGCATGCTGCGACTTCGGTTCTAGGGCATGCTGCGACTTCGGTTCCAGGGTATGCTGCGACTTCGGTTCCAGCGGATGCTGCGACTTCGGTTCTAGGGCATGCTGCGACGTCAGGTTCAGGGCATGCTGCGACTTCAGGTTCAGGGCATGCTGGAACCCCGGACCCCATGAGTGTGGTTCTAACTGGCATGGCTCAGCTTCAGAGTGTGATAAGCGAACTTACGAGTCCAAAGTCGAACAGCAAACCAGAAGCCATTAAGCCTGGCGTGGTTTCCCTTCCGGCTCTCCCAAGTCATGGGCCAGATAGCTGCTTGTACTTTGCCGACTGGCTCCATGAGACTAAGCCAGCACTAGCCGATGTTTCGGATAGTTCGGAAGAACTCTGGGCATTGACTGTGGCGGAGGCTACCACTTGGTACGCTGCATACTTGAAGCTCGACCCACTCAGTAGGCTAACTTTCAAACCCACACCGTCGTCAGAGCTAAGCCAACCTAAGTGGACTCGTGTATGCCGAAGAATAGAAAACATGATCTTAATGTCCGCCCCGGCCTCGATACGAGAAGAAGTTAGCGCTTCTAGGACCTCTGGATTGCTAGCTGTGCTTTGCAAACTTTTCATTATCTACGGGCCGGGCAGCTTGACAGAGAAAGAAATCGGGCTGCGGCACATCCAGGATCCTCCGGCATGCACAAGTGTCCAGGAGTGCATTGATGGGTTGCGCCGCTGGAAGCGGTGGTGTAGTCGCATGACGGAACTAGGGGGTATACTCCCCGACCCGGCATTGCAGTTGAAAGCTGTGACTAAAATCGCTCGTTCAGTGTTATCTCAGCATTCGGAGCTGGCCTTTAGGGTGAACCTTGCGCGGGCGTCCCTCCAGATAGACTTGATTCCGGATGATGATAAGGTGTCGCGATTCCACGCGCAGGTGTTGAGCGAGCTTGAGTCCATTGTGCACCGAGGGGATAAGGACAAGGATAAGGGGAATAAGGATAATCCTCCTGCGCCTAGTGCCAAAATCAAGGGTGTAGAAGCGCAAGTGTCTGATGTTCCGCCTTCTCCGAAACCGCCTAAGAATCCCCCTAAGGCGCCTCCGAAGGGACCTAGCCCAGCGAAATCCTCTGCAGGACATGACGCCTCTGTCAGGCCACCGTGCACCTTCTATAGTAGCCCAACAGGCTGTAAGAAGGGATCAGAATGTACTTACACTCACGATTGGTCCGCCTTTTCGAATTCTGAGAAGTCGACTAGGTGCAAGAACTGTGGGAGTAAGGCTCATAAGGGGCCAGACTGCACTGCTGGGACGAAGCAAGGTGAATCTCCGAAGGCAAGGGCTAAGGCGAAGGCTCCAGGATCCCAGAGGGGTGTAGCCGACACGTCGCAGGCACCACCGGCGGATGTGAATCAGCAACATATCAAGAGTATGTTGGCGGACGCAGCGATGATCCTTCAACAGGTAATGCCGAATAAGGAGCAGGGTGCTGGGGCGTCTTCGTCAACCGTTCAGGCAGTTCCCATTGCAGGTGCCCCGACGCAAGCCGATCCCGTACAAGGGACCCCAGTGTCTCTAGCTTCCATCCAGGCTCAAATTGAGAGCCTTAAGGCGGCTGCTAGAGATCACGAGGCGAAGGCAAGCATAAGAATGGTTGAGCCTGACACTAGGATCATTAAGGCAGTGGCACTGTTGGATTCTGGCGCAACGCACGCAGTGTCCCTTATCGCGAAAGCGTCACCAATCTTGAAAGGGTTCCCGTAACTTTAGCGGGTGACGCCAAACAAGAGTGGATGCGCACAGCTGGGGGAACGCTCGTGGTCCCTCCTGATCCTGCAGCTGGGTCCGAAGAGCCAAACCTACAGACAATCCTGCCCCTTGGGGCACTCGTAGAATCCCTCCGAGTGTTCCATCCGACTATGGGGTTGCTGAAGACAGGTGTGTCGGGAAATACGTGTCCTTATGTGCAAGAGGACCAAGCATTACGCCTCATATCCGAACTAGAAGATCACAGACTTGAGTCCTTTAAGCAGCGGGTGCAGACATTGGAGAGTCAGTTGGAGGTGTATGACCAACGGCCTGATCCCACTCGGTCGTTGCAGCATTTTGCTGCGACAGGGGACCGTAAGGATCTGCTGTGTGCCTTGATGACCCAACCCTACTTCAAGGATGTGCCTGAGGACCTCGTTGCAACCCTCGCCGAAGGGATTCCAGACTCGAGCCTTGATTCAGGTAAGTCAATCCTGAAAACCCTTCCCCTCAAGCGCGCTGCACGGCGTGGCCTGCTCAGCTCGGATCGCTGGGTAGTTCACTTGTGCTCGGGACCTGAGACCTCTGGGGATCCTATCGCTAGTTGGTGTGACAAGAGTGGTATGGCTTTCTTGAGGGTGGACCTAAGACAACGGGGTGGAAAGGGCTGGGACTTGCTTTGCACGGATGGGGTGTGGAAGGTTCTTCTGTGGGCCGCTGCTCATGGGAAGGTATCTGTGCTGCTTTCTTCCCCACCTACGGTGAGGAATGGAAAGATCAGCCGACTGCACCTGCAGGACATGTTTCTCTGGTCTTTGGCATCGGTATCCCGAGGCCGAGGCATCCCATATGTTGCGGAGGCGGTTGGGATTCAAGAGGAGGTTTGTGAGAGCTTCCGACGCTGGTCTGGAATGAATCGGTTCCTTATTAGCCAAGGGGCTTTGGGTGATGATTACGCACGCCCTACTGTGCTCACAACCAATTTGGATTTCAGCCACGTTGCGAGTCTCCCGTGTGCTGGAAGTTCAGTCCCGCCTCCCAATCTGGAGTAAGGCACTTCGAGAAGAGTTGGTGAAGACCCTTTTGGGGACCCCTTCAGGCCCTGATTGTGAGACCTTGGATAGAGTGACTGCGAAGGGGTTAGCAGAGCGCGGCCCAAGTGCAATCAACAATCCCGATGGTTCAATGATGGTGTGCCCCTCGGCCTTGGCAGCTTCGGAGGCTGAGGCGCTTGCGCGTGCTTTTGAGGCTGAAAGCATCATTGATTCAGACTCCGAAGGGGAACCTGATGAAGCGGTGGCGCTGGATGAGCTAGGTAATGGCACTTCCGGTGAAGGTGTTGAGCCTGAGTGTGTAAAGGGAGTTCAGGGTGGTGACTGTCCACCTGGGAATGCGTCTCAGGAGGAGCCGGGGTTCAAGCCTACAAGCATCTCTGAGGCCGAGGCCGAAAGGTGGCGCCAGCACTTGCTCAACGGGCACCTCCCTTATCGTAGAGATTGTAAGCAATGTATAGAGGGGGCGGGGTTAGGCCCTTTTCATAGACGAATACGCCACCCACGCTCCTTCGCGTTGTCGGTAGACCTTTTCGGCCCAGTGCCCCCACATGAGGCAGGCAGGGACGAAGGTTGCATCACAGGGAAAACAATCCTGCGCTACGGACTTGTCGGTGCCTTTAGGGTACCCCGGTCTTTGATCCAGGACTCAGATAAGCCTCATAAGCCGGATGGAGTGAAGGACTTGTTCAGCAGCGGTAATCCCGAATTGCCCGATGGCGAGAATGAGCTGGCGGAATATGAGCCTTCAGATCCGGGAGGGGAGCTGTTTCCAGAACTGTTTGGTCCAGGCATAGAGGCGAGTCAGCAGCAGGAGGATTCAGATCCATTGCCCAAGGTGAGTGCAGCTTCGGCAGAGGATGCTAAGTCCTCTGTTTGGGATCCTGTTGACCTTCCTGAAGACAAGGAGGAAATGGAACGCTTGATCGAAGAGTTGAATGAGCCTGTTGATCAGGTGGTTTTGCGGTACTTCGTTCCACTGCGCACTAAAACAGGTGTGGAAGTTACGGAAGCCCTTCAACAAATGATCTTGCAAATAAACCAAAGGTTCCCAGTGCGTAGCATCCATCATGATCCTGGGACTGAATTCGGGTCCACCGTCCTCAGTCGCTGGTTGGCGAACCACGGGGTGAGAGTTCAACACTCTCTACCCACCGATAAGAGAGGCAATGGCCTCTCCGAACGCACTGTCGGCTGGGTTAAGTCTCGCATCCGTACATTGCTAAATGGGGCAAGCCTTGGAGTAGTATGGTGGCCTCTAGCAGCACGATGGGCGGTTGCTAAGCATAACGGGATCATTTTAGGAGAGCCTGAGCTTCCAGCCTTCGGGCAACGAGTTCTGCATCGCGTCAAGCGACCTGCCGATGGGACTAAGCAGTTGATGGAGCGTTGGGTCGAGGCAAGATACGCAGCGCCGCATCGATCCATCCCAGAGGGACATGTCTTGATAACTGAGGCAGGCAACTTGGTCGCTTCGCGGGGTTTTAAGTCCAAGGTTGTTGATCCTTTAACTCTTGAGGGGTTAGAACTTCCAATTCTTCAGGAGGAGGAAGCGCCGGAGGGAGAACCAACCGGTGAGGTGATTGATGAGTCCGGAGTTCCCGTAAGGAGACTTAGAGAGAAGACTTCGGTGAAGTTTGTTGAATGCTTGGATTTCCCAACTTCTGAGGAGGTTTCGCAGGAGTTCTTGCTTTCGCAGAATTATAGTATCGAAGCTCTTCGCAAGGTGTTGAGTGCAGTGGCCCAGGAGGAGGAGAGTTCGGTTGACCGAAGGGGAATAGCCGAGGGACGTCAAATCTTTGGTGCATACTGCCATGGCGGTTTGAGAGGGGTGACTAATTTGGCTAAGCGTAAGCCTTGGACCACTAGGTTTACCAACCAGGCCTTGTTATCACGGCAACACTCCCATGACGTACATCCTGACCCGTCGTCTGGAGTTTCTGCTGTTTCCTCAGCCACCTTGTCGTCTCCCGGTTTCGGACACCCAAACCGGGATCTCCCATCATGGTCCGCAGTGATGCTGATGCGAGCTGTAGGTGTACATCGCGATTGGCGGAATGAGTGGAACACAGTTAATGTTGCCATGCATGTTCCGGGTGAGGTCCAATTATGGGTTGAGCCGAGTGGGGACTCTCTGCCAAGGAGCGCCAACCCTCCCACTCCCACGTGGGATCCACGCGACACTCACACATTGACCGAGGTTCCATTCACCTTCGACCCGCGCCAGCATCATGCAGTCCGTATGCAACCGAATTGGCTGTTAGTCGGTTATACTCCTTTGGGAACGCAGAAGTTAAACCCGAGGGATGTCGCACTTCTAGAATCCTGTGATTTTCCATTGGCCTTCAGTGCAACACAAGCACCACCTTCGCCCCATAAGGACGTCAGGTATCAAGTGAGAGCTCTGTCCTCGACCTCGGAGGATACGTCCGAGTCCAGTATCAGTTCCGAGGAGCTCCGGCATCAGATTGCAGTTGCAACGGTGCCCAATGATCAGCAGCTCCCTCCGGGTCAACTAGAGCCACTTGAAGCCGATTTGCAACCAGATGCAAGCGCAGCGTTGGTGGGTTGGGATTTTAGCACAGGGGATCCAGGTGATGTGCCGATTTCAGGTTTGGTCAATGTAGCACTGGCCGACTATCTGCGGGTGCATGGAGTCAGTGATGCCTATGGCCGTTTGTCAGCCCTTGGAGTAGAGTCTCCCAATGATCTGCAATTCCTGTATCTTGAGGACCTATTAGAGTTTGGGTTCACTAGAAGGGTCGCTGAAGGTATAATGCTGGGGATTCATCCTCCTGGGACTCGTCGTCCTGACAGCCCTCAGCTGTCCAGCTTAACCACAGGCGAGGTGAGACTCCTGGATCGCGCTCAGCGGGCCATTCCGTGGATAATTCAGAATCGTACTTTGGCGCAACGGTGTCCCGGTCCACCATTAGCCGACTTGGGATGCAAGCAGCCGGACGCTAAGCGTTCTCTTCTTAGGCCTGAGGCTGAGGTTGCGTTCCCTGAAATGCAGGTGTAGACCCAACGGATTCTCCCACTTCACGATCTTTATGTGATGTACCGAGTTCGTCGCATGAAGCCCCAAGGGTGAAGCATGCAGCAGAGCAAGCCGTAGAGGACTATCAATACATGATGTACATGCAGGCATTGTGGGGGGATGAAGATTGGGTTCCAGGACCAGATTCTGGTGTGCCCACAACTTCCGCGCAGGCCTCTTCATCTCATGAGCCTACTACTGTTCCCGCTCAGGCCTCGTCGTCTTACGAGTTAGATGAGCCCGCTGAACAGCTACAGTCTAGTGCCATGGGGTTGAGCGTAGAGCTTCCGCAGGTAGGTGAGGACGTTGAGGTTGGAAGTTTGCCCAGCGTAGACCCGACGGATTCTTCCACTCCACAGTCTGACTTGTCCTATAGATGTATGGCCGTTCACCACAGTTCTGCTGAGCAAGCTGTAAGGTCGCAGGTCTCATCCGGCTCCGCTGTGACTTCAGGGATGCAGGATCGTCTGTCGTCACTCCACTGCCTCTGGAGCGACCTCTGGCATCGGGGTTCCTACTGATGATCCGCTGTTGTCTCTCCGGGCTACGGGTTCGAGTCATCTTACTGCTCCAGCCGTAAGAAAGGTTGATGAAAGCATCTACACACCTAACCTTGAGGAACTACTCCAAAACCTCAGCGGACCTTTGGAGGTCGTGCATACTGTTGCACCTTCAGAAGTGCGTCGTCATTTACCGAAGTGGCGATCGGCAGCCCAAGCTGAGCTTGAGTCGTTTGAAAAGTTGGGCGTGATTGAGAAGCGCTACGGTCCCGAAGCCAGGAGTGTCATCCGTGATTCGTCAATCGAGGTTATACCCGCCAAAGCAGTTTGTACCATCAAACCTGGAGAGCCATTTAAACGAAAATTCCGTATTGTGTCGTGTGGAAACTTCGCTTCGGCCACAGATGAAGGGCAACTTTATGCGGGTGGTGCTGGGGCGGAGAGCCTTCGCACACTCTTAGCACATTCAAGTCGCCGCGGGAGGCGCTGCTTTGGACTTGATGTGAAATCTGCGTTCCTCCTCGCACCTATTCCGGCGAATGTGACAAGGCGATATGCGATGCGCCCTCCACGAATGCTTATAGAGTTAGGCTTGTGCGCGGAGGACGAGCTTTGGATTATCCATAGAGCATTGTACGGATTTCGTGAAAGTCCGAAGTGGTGGTCGATCCACCGGGATGAGTTCCTTAAGTCCGCCGTGTGGACTAGCCCTTATGGCATGGTCCGTTTGCAGCAGCTCGTCAGTGAGGGCAATATCTGGAGCATGAGGCTTAGTGATGGCTCTTGTGTGGGACACCTCCTGGTGTACGTTGACGACATGCTACTGTTGACGGACTCCGGTGTTGCGGAATCTTTTATCATATGGCTGCGACAGTCCTGGGAGTGCACTGGGCTGAAGGAAGCTACCTCTTCCGAGCCTCTTCGCTTTCTGGGTGTAGACATATATGCCGAAGTTGATAGTGAGGGAGAAGTGATTGGTTATAGCTTGGCACAAGAGGCTTATATTGATGAGTTGTTGCGAAGCCACCAGGTGAAGCCGAGTTCGAGGGCTACAGCTCCTGTTCCACGTGAGTGGGTCAGGGAGGCCCCGGCGTGCGAGGACTTCTCTGAGGAGGAGTTGAGAGCTGGGCAACGAATTACTGGTGAACTCCTGTGGCTCGCGCAGCGTACCCGTTTAGATATAGGCTACTGTGTTGCTTTGATGTCGAGCTGGGTGTCTAGGTTTCCTCGGCAGGTATCCAAGATTGGAGCCCGCACTCTGGAATATCTTGCGAACACCAAAGAGCATCGCCTATTGCTTATCCCGGGAAAGGCTGATGGCATTAGAATCTATACGGACGCCTCCTTCGCTCCGTTTGGAGCGCACTCTATCAGCGGAATATTGTTGCAGTACGACGAGTGCACTGTAGCATGGAAATCAAAACGCCAGAGCCTGGTGACGTTGAGCACAGCAGAATCAGAGCTGTGTGCAGGGTGTGAGGGCGTAACCCTTGCACAATCCCTGGAAGCTTTGATCAGTGAGCTCGATGGATCAACAGGACCCAAGAAGCTGTTGGTCGACAACACAGCTGCGGTGACGATCGCAGAGGGTGGTGGCAGTGTTCGAACGAGGCACTTGCGGGTGAGGGCTGCGTTCCTTCACGACATGAGGGAGCGGCAAGAACTAGTCGTAACTCACTGCCCGGGCGATGTGCAGCTGGCTGATTGCTTGACCAAGGCTTTACTTAGGACCCGCCTGGAAGAGTTGTGCAAGTTGTTAGGCCTAGGCCCCCCGCGTGCTACGCAGCAGGTTGCAACAGTCGCTGTAGACCCTAAGGCCCCTCCTCAACCTTCCACCTCTCTGCAAGGACCTGCCGCTCAGGGTGAGTTAGATAGGACCGTTGTGGGTAGGGGTTCAAGTCAATTAGGTTGGGATCCTGATAAGGTTGGGTTATGGTTGTTAGCTGTAATTATGCTGCTGCAAGCAGAGCGTGGAGAAGCAAGTTCTGTTGAAGAAGAGCCTAACCCAGAGCCTTTGAGCGTTGAGCTGTCCTTGATGGTAGCGCTATTGGTTATGTCTGTACTCTTCATTTGGGAACCTGGAAAGCATTGCCTACGTGCCTGCTGTATGCGGCGTTCAGATGATGACACACGTCGTGCAGGTGATGATACGCGTCGTACAGGTGATGACACGCGTCGTTCAGGTGATGATCCGAGTGTTCGGGTGGTGAGAGCAGATGATGATGATGATGGTGAGCACCGTGCCCGCAGAGGGCGCAGGCAAGATGCAGTCCGAAGGGCTATCGAGCGGGAGCTGCACGGTGAGGGTTTAAGGCATAGGGGCTCAACTTCAGGGTCCTTAGATTTGCGGCCCAGGTCGATTCAAATCCGCCACAGAGGCCGGTGGATTTCGAGCCTCCCTTACCAGCTTTCGCTACGTCTCGAAGCCCTCAGGCTCACTCCGAGATTGGATTTGGAAGAGCCCAGTCGTCTTCCTCGGTTCCAGTCCCTGTGGATGTACCGGCTCCTCAGACCTCCGAGCCCCGAGCTGATCCCTTAGGTGGTGGTTCTAGTCAGGCTAAAAGGGTCATGAGCGATGCATCCACTCAAACTGTAGATCGAACTCTTAGTATCCAAGAACTCTGCGAGCTCCAAGTGTTAACTTCTACTGGTCGAGGACCTGGAGCTTTGCACCTGTTCCCGAACTGCCACGGCCTTCGCAACGTAACAAGTACGCACCAGCGTATGTTTTGCCGTTATTGTTTGCAAGCGGCCAGGGGAGGAACAGGAGGTGGCCTTCCACCCTAAAGGGGAGATGCGGCCAAGGAGGAGTGTTGATGCAGGACCTGGCCGTCAACGACTTCTTCGCGCAGCCTTGATGGCTGAAGTTGGAGCAGAGCTCCATGTGAACAGCAGTTGGCACGTACAGGTTAGTCCAGAGGACAACGTAAGCCAGCAGTTGCTTTGTGTGCGTAAAAGACGTAAGTCCGAGTGCTGAGCCATGGTTCTTTGAAGCTGCTTTTCTGGTGATTCTGGAACGAAACTGAGAAGATTAGCATGGACTCTGCAGACGGCAATCCCAATGCACAGGGCGTCCCAGACGTCCAACACGATTCCAATGTTCAACAAACCTCTATATATATATATATATATATATATATATATATAGTGTTACACGGATTTGGGGGAGTATGTTTCTAGTCTTTAGATTAACACAAACCACAGCAACGGAAGGATCTAGAAACCCATGCGTATCTAGATCTGAGAGGTGCCACTATGCTAGGGTTACCCATATAGATTGTACAGGGTTTGGGCAAGGTAAGTTTCTAGTCTTTAGATTAACACAAACCACCGCAACGGAAGGATCTAGAAACCCATGCGTATCTAGATCTGAGAGGTGCCACTATGCTAGGGTTACCCATATAGATTGTACAGGGTTTGGGCAAGGTAAGTTTCTAGTCTTTAGATTAACACAAACCACAGCAACGGAAGGATCTAGAAACCCATGCGTATCTAGATCCGAAATACAAACAGCAGTGCGGAGCCTTAGGGAGATGAGTTTCTAGTCTTTAGATTGACCAATCCCAAACACGACTAGAGGTTCCAGAATCGACTTCGTATCCACATCCACTCGGCGAAACAATTCCATTGGTATACATAACCTATACGGGAAAGAGTTCTGGAGATTTGGGTAAGTAAGTTTCTAGTCTTTAGATTGACAGAAACCAGCACACTAGGTATCTAGATTTGACTGCGTATCCAGATCATCAATCATGTCTCTTTATTAAATTGATCATCACCACACCATCAAATTTTGGGTTGCGGGTGGCTTGGAATCAGGGCCTTGATACCTCATCGGGGACCTCATCGGGGATCTACTTCGGCTCATCAATATCTGTAGCTCTCTACAGAGCACGACAGCTGGTGCCCAACTAGGGTATACCTCATCGGGGGACCTCATCGGGGATCTACTTCGGCTCATCAAGATCCCTGGCTCTCTATGATCCATGATACCGATGATGCCTCTTCGGGGATACCTCATTGCCTGGTGTTTTGGGCTTCTCACCACACAACACGGATTCGGCGGTTCTCGGCTTATTGTTTTGCACGACGACTTATGGTTTGCATCGAGGACGGATGCGAGCAACCGGCTGCTTCGAACTGGATCCTGGCCTGGCTGCCCCGATGCATCCAATCTGGAACCTCGCCTGAACTTATTACATATATAGAGCCCTAAAGAATACTAAGTAGAACCCTAGGGTATCGAACCCTTCCAACCCTCGCACCCCTCTAAATCCCAGACCCCCAAAAGGATCCAAAAAGTAGAGCCCCTAATTTGGGATCCTATACTACTATAATTAAAGGGTCCTATTATATTATAGGAACCATATCAGCGATCTACTTTTTGGATCGTTTTGGGGGTCTGAATAAGTAGAACCTCGAAAACCCAAGCCCCACACTGTGTGGTACATCAAACCCTGCCAAAGACTGGAACCCCTGAACAACACATAAAGCCTCAGCAAACCAACAATCCCTTTATTACTAGGACCACCAACACGTGCAGCCTGAATAGTATAGCATACCATGGGTCGTCGGCTCATTCTACGACTGCTGGGAAGATGTATATATGTTAGAAGCTGCCCCCACCCTGTAATTAATAGTGGCCTAATAGGAATATAATAGGGCCCTATATAATATGAATATATTCCTTATAGTCACTATTACAGGGTGGGGGCAGCTTCTTATATATATATATATATGCCTGTATATATATGTATATATATGTATATATACACACACAGCAGTATGTATTGTCTCTATCCGTGAGTTCGTGTCGCGCTTGTCGGGGCAGGCTGTACTGCCACATGTTCTCGAGTCCTACAAACATATGATCTGCATCACGGCGAGAAATGTGCATGCCCCCCTCTATCTATATATATATATATATGTGTGTGTAACTTAGTTACATCTTATTATCCTAGGTACACACGGATTTAGACGTCAAGTGTAAGAAGCACAGACCTATGTCAGATGTATACAGGGAATTAGGCCATGTGCAACAGGGGCCGGCGTGCAGGATGCTCGAAGTCTTGTGGTGAGGTCCAGGTGTCTGCGTGCACACAGCGGCTGCCGGGCTACAGATGTATAATGACTGAGTGTTGTAGCTATAGAGTCTAGGGGCACAAACATAGGAAGGATCGGACAGGCATTTCGGCAATCTAGGCACAGAAGGGTCCTGCTATTGATTGGGTTGGGTCCGGGAATATACATATAAGGTTTACGGTTTAGGGGTACAAGTACAGACTATGGTGGTAGGCACGGCACCAGGTCCGCTCAGCACAGCTCAGTGGTGCTCCATTAAAAAAAAAATCTCGAGGGCGATCGCCAGCAGCGGAAGCAAACCGGTGCTGCTAAGATCAAAAGCTTCGGCCCTAGAAACCCCAAGTCGCCGAAGCCCTCAATTCCAAAGCCTTATTATATAGTCCTTACTTAAGCTGGCTGGAACAACAAGCAATCCCAGAAGAGATTACTCCTATCTACACACCCCCAAAGCCAAGAACCCTCCACCTGAATCCTAGCTAAGTTTCAGGTTGCTGGGGTAACGGGTTGTTCCAAATTCCACAAAAGCAATAAAGCACTAAGTTGCAAGCGGTCGGGATGGGTGCGTAGAAACCAAGGACTTCAGGGCTATTGTTCCTAGGCTTATACTGCGATGTGGAAGAGTATTTTACAACCCCGGTCAGTAATCGTTCCTCGATTAGAATATGCACAGCTAGCTGCAAGATTCAAGATAGTTCGGTCTGTATATATATATATATATATATATATATATCGGTATCGATATGTATATGTATGTATTTCGCTGTAACTACCTATATATATATATATATATATATACAGACCGAACTATCTTGAATACATGCATACAGTGTACGGAAACCCTGCACCGGCTGCGTAGCTGTACATGCTGCTGCCTTTTGAAAGAAAGGCTGCTGTCGAAATCTCTCCAAATGGGATCACGGGACTTGGGTTTGCTATAGTATTACGGGCATTTGAACTGTTTGAACGGTCTTTCGGGTTTGCTACGATAGCGGGACCACACAGAGTGCTCTCTGAGGAGTTGAGCTCACAAGGTGCTTTGATAGGTCTTTGAAGGTTTGGCCGCTTGATTCAGATCTACTTCTTACATACATAAGTAGGCTCCATAATGTTGCGGTTTTTTAAAGCCATTGAAAGGACACTAGACCAAATGAGACTACTCGTCGATTGTAGGTGATCCAGAAAACTAGTAGGCCTATATGTGTCCTTCCAGGCTTGCAAAGTACACACAGCAGGGTGCAGGCTTTGGGCTTGTGGTCTCGGGGTTGCCTAGTACCAGGCACTGCTCAATATTAGCATAGCTAGCACAACGGGGCCCACGAAATGATACCTCATCCATCCTGCACCTATTCTACCAATTATATCATATCCCAGTGACATCAATTTCGCTAGGGATTATAGAGCTCACTCCTGAAAGCCTCCTGGAAAGCCGTGCTCACAGCCTGCGTTCGATTGGGCTCAGGGTTTGAAGCTTCTGGGTACTTGGGAATTAGGGCTCCTAGCAAAAGTTCGTGCGACTGGGTATACATCCAGGGGTCGATTGCACCGGAGCACATCTGAGGTTTCGAGGATGTGGCAGATGGTTCTTGGAGGACCTCCGGTGATATCCAGCTTATATATCGAGCCTCGACATATACAGCACAGAACCAACACAAGAAAACTTTTGCATGTGCCTAGTGTAGATCATCTCCGTTGTTCGTCAAAAGATCAGTGGCCGCGGAGCCCAGCCGCTCGAAGCCACCTGAGGTTGCAAAGGGCTTTGCTTAGGATTGGGTTTTGATAGTTGTGATTAGAGTCAGGGCTTGCGGTTTAGTATATTCCAGTCTGTACCTAGACTTAAATTGCTACGATTATGATCACGTGGTAGGGAGCCTTCCACTGTCGGATCCATAGCATTCTCTTCCTCCTCTTCGCCGTCCTCCTCGCCGTCCTCCTCGTCATCCTCCTTGGCGGCTGCTCCGGCCCGCTGCGAAGGCCTTATCGCTGCTCGGTCCCAAAATCTGAATGTATTACAAACCCCAATAAACCGATAGCCGAATAACTCCAAACCAAAAACAATACCCTGCGACCAAGCCTCGCCAGCGGGAAGCCATCCAGCTTCTGCTGGTTCACATACTCCCAAGACATCGGCTTCCTCGCCCAGTCGTGGTTCACAGCCTTGGCGTGCTTGAGCAAGCTGTCCCTGCATCGCCTGAAGTCGATTTCCGCACCATTGAGATTCATCTTCTCGTAGCACGTAGCCATTGTCTGCATCACGTGGGAGGCCTCAACCATTCCCAATGGTGCGTCCTCCTTCAAGACGAACTGCAGCTTCTGCCTCCATGGGCCCATCGAAGGACCGAAGCGGTCCTCTTTGCATTCCAGCTTGAGGACCGGTGACTTCGTCCCCTGGCTGGCATACTTCACTCGCACAGACGGCAGGATGAAGTCCGCCACGGGCCTCGCTTTGGCAGCCGCCTTCGCTTTTTTTTCGGCTGCTCCGGCACATCGCCCACTCGCGGCAGTGCCTCCTGCTCGCCTCTCTTCTCGATGTCGTCCGGCACCAGGTGGGGAACTCGCCAAACTCGCCCGCTTTCGAAGCGTACCATGACCTCGCCGCCCTCCACATACGGACTCGAAGACATCTCACCATTGCACATGGCCTTCTCGTGCAGGTTGGACCAGCTGACCTCTTGGGGTTGCGGCTGCTCGTCCTTCTCGTCCGGCTTCGTCTTCTTCGGCTTCTCCTTCTTTTGCGGCTGCTTGTCCTTCTCGTCCGCCTTGGTCGGCTTCGGCTTCTCCTTCTTGTGCGGCTGCTCGTCCTTCTCGTCCGCCTTGGTCGGCTTCGGCTTCTCGTCCTTCTCGTCCGCCTTGGTCGGCTTCGGCTTCTGTTTCTTTGGCTTCGGCTGCTCGTCCTTCTCGTCCGCCTTCGTCGGCTTCGGCTTCCTCTTTCTTGGCTTTGGCTGCTCCTCCTTCTCGTTCGCCTCCGTGTCATTCTCTCTCGTCGTCTTGCCGTCGTCCTCCTCGTCGTTCTTCTTGTCGTCCTTCTTGTCGTCCTGCTTCTCGTTGTCGACTTCGAAGACAACCTTCGGCTTCGCATCCGCCGCCTGGTTAGGAGCTCGCAAAGCCGATCTTCTGGGCGGCCCTGGCGTTGGCGATGCATAGCCTGAGCTGCAGGTAAGGACCGGTTCAATTATGGTGTGGGCTGATAGGACCAAGGCTTTGGAATTTTGTGGGTTGGGTCTAGGGTCAAGGTCTTCTTGGTTTAGATCAGGATGAAGGCTGCTTTGTCAAAGTTCAAGGCTTGGGGGTTATTAGGGGTTGCATCGAAGGTTAATGGTGTTTTGGCACGGGTTTAGTCGTCAGGGAGTAGTGTGCTGTGGAAGCATATAGGTTATAATAAAGTTAGGAGTGGATGGAAGCTTTAAGGCTGGCACTTTGCAGCTGAGTGGGCGGTTGTTGCACAGCCCTGAACCCTAAACCCAAGTCGATTTAGGGTTTAAAATTTTATTTATTGTATACATGTAGGTGAATATATTGGTGGCACTGATCGAGTGGATCGGGCGTGTCTGGCGATGCGTTCGTTTGGGATATTGGCTACCGAGGTATTAAGCTCGTTGGTTTGGTAAATCTAGCCAATCTAGCCAGCAAGCTAAATAGAGTGAGAGTGAGTGTGAGAGAGAGAGAGAGAGAGAGAGAGAGAGAGAGAGAGAGAGAGAGAGAGAGAGAGAGAGAGAGAGAGAGAGAGAGAGAGAGAGAGAGAGAGAGAGAGAGAAGAAACTTTTCTGCTTGCAGACTTTTCTTTCTTTGAAATCGGCGACAGGCCGCAGGCCGTGTTTGACATTTGGCAACATCACTTTATTCGATTTAACTTTCCGCCTCCCTTTTTTGGGTGGTTTTTCAAGAAGAGTATTTGGCATGCTTTACAGATCATTGTCGCATGCCCATGCTTCTTGCATCACTGACAATATTTGTGTTTGTGACGAAGTGATTGCTCGAGCTGAGCTTTTAAAACTTTTCGGGTGGGTCCAGCCATGGAAGGCCGTACTGCTTCCAGTCGCTTTCTTCGCTGTACCGAACATTACGATGTTGTGCGGCTAGTCTGGATCCACATGTCTCCAGCTGATCGTTGTTACTTTCTGCGTGTCAGCTGGCGTCTTCGAGCCTGCTTCTTCTGCGCTCAGCCTTAGCCAATGAACCATCAGATGCCCCTCGAAGCTTCTGAGATGGAAGGGGGTGATTCGGCAGAAGCTCCTTACAATGTTTGGGGGCTGATACAGGATGGTCCTGCCGCAGCCGGGGACCCATTCGAAGAACACCTTGAGGGTCTGCTTCGGGATGACATGGCAGATGTTCAGCAGTCGGACCTCTTGAGTATGGAAGGACGCGAAACCTATGCTGAAGCCGAGATTTTGGATTTTTCTGCAGATGAGAGAGAGTGGTATTCTCAAGTTCAAGACAATGACTTGGGAAGTTTTGAGTGCGTGGAAGAAGAGATACCTGCTTCCTCTTCTGCTGCTCCTCCACATTTGCCAGGATCGCAATCCAATAAGCTGTCTTGGCTTGAGGGACCGATGGCTGAGCTGGACGCTTCTCAAATGGTGGCTGCAGCAGTTCACAAGAGAAGGAGGTTTGAGTTACCACGTCAGCCCTGGGATTCAAAGCCTTCACACCTTGATCAGTGCTCTGAATTTTTCTTGAGGCTTTCGACTTCTGTTGGGGTGAGCGAAACTTTGTCTATGGCAAAGGAGAAGGCTCCTGAGCCTGATGTGTTCGCCCACATCCCTTGGACGGTGACCAGAAGGTTGGCCAAAGCGAGGCTGCCGAAATCGGATGCAGACATAAGAGATTCTTCTTTGAGGAGGTTCAAGATGCTGATCTTGATTGACCCCGAGGCCACAGCCTTAGGCAGCAGCCTGGTCGATCAAGGAAAGGCTATGGAAGATGACCAAGTCATTATGCAGAGCTTGGCAGACGCTTTCAGGGGAAAGGCGTCCTTGACTTTGCAGAAGAGATCCTTATCGCTGCAGGTTTTTGTGGTGAGGTCCTATGATGCTTCGCTTGATTCACCATGGCGACTTAACGAGGCTCAAGTCTACGCGATCTTTTCAGGATTCAGGGAGCATGGTGCAAAAGCTTCTACGGCTTCTCATATCCTGGAAGCTTTGAGGTTCTTTCATGCCATTGCTCGTTTCAAGTACATGGACTTGGAGGCCATCTTGTCTTCGAGGGTGCGTGGCGTCGCACAGGACTTGAAGCTCAAGAAGGCTCCTCTGAGGCAGAGGGATTCTCTCAGTCGTCGGCGAGTGGAGGCATTGGAGCTTCTGATGGAGAGATGCTCTGATTGGACCCGATGTGTAGTCGGGCAATTTCTCTTTTGTGTACACACATCTTGTCGTTGGAGCGATTCTCAGAACGTTCTGTCCTTGACTCTCACTTCTGAGGGAGAAGGCCAATTGCTAATTGCGGAGGCCCTTGGATCGAAGACGTCTACCACCGTGGAGGCCAAAACGCGCCTGCTGCCGTACGTATGCGTCTCAACTGGGGTGAGCAACACGCCGTGGGCGCAGCTCTGGTTGGAGGCGCGCGAGAGAGAAGGCATCCAGTTTGACCGAGGGTGTTTGCCTTCCTGGTCGCAGAAGTGGGGATGCTGGGGCCAGGAGCGAATGTCCTCAGAGGAGGCCAGTGACATCTTGATCGACATCTTAACCTCATTGGACATGGCCCCTGGACCTGATGAGTCGATAGGGACCCACAGCTTCAAGACTACCTTGATCACGTGGAGCGGCTGGTCTCCTATAATTTCTTTTACCCCGAAGGAGAGGTTGTTGATGGGACATCATCTCAGGAAGGGCGGCCCTTCTTCGACTCTGATTTATAGTCGACAGTTCTACATCAACTTGTCGGGCAAAATCTTGGCCATGTTCAGGACCATCCGTCAGAACCAATTCGATCCGGATGCCGAGGTCACGGACAGAGTAGCTGCAGTGGCATCGGCGCTGACCGGTGACACGACGGCTTCACAGGCCCGCGCTCCTCCTGAAGATCAGCATGTGGGTGCCGCCGATGTGGAGTCTTCTGAGTCTGCCGAGTCCCTTGTGGGGTATGAGCCGATGCCGCGTTCCGGCCGGGAGCTTAGGCCACCCTTCGAATGCACCGTGGCGGAGCTCCGAGTGCATAGCCTGTCTGGCATTGTTCATCGACTTAGGGATGAGGGCACTTTCTTTTGTGGGCGTCCCCTCACAGACAGATACAGGGACTTCGAGGAAGACGATGCCGATGATCCGGACACCTGCCATCAGTGCAGGCGGGCGATGTCGGGCGCTGATTGAATAGATACTTTCGAACGAAAAATCGGCCGAGCTCGTTGGTGGGATGTACCATTGCGGTTCCATTCATCGCCGGCTTTTGGCCCGTGGCGAGCTTGTGGCATGGCCAATTGCAAAATAGACGTCCCGATCCTTCGGATCCGTGGGACTTGCCTTCCCCATTGAGGAGTGAAGTTCATTCGACTTTGGTGTGAACTGTTGGGGCTGTATAACGTGGCTCCGGAGAATACACATGGCACCGGTCTATGACCCGAGGTGACAGACTGCGGATGCCGGCTCTCCGAGTCCGGGGCATACCGAAAACCCAGACCTTATCTCTTGGAGATGTTGCGGGCTAGATCTGATGTAGGACTGTGAAACACAACCCTACAGTATGCACCGGCCTATGGCCCGTGGTGCCTGAGGTTTTGGCGAACATGCGCAAAGTGACGTTGCTGAAATCACGATGTTAGGGTCAGCTTTGCAGTGGCCTTGCTATACGTCGAAGCTCGGATCCGGTGCCCGTTGGCTCAGACAGCGACCGAAGCATTCAGCTTCGATTCTGTGTCGGCGGCCGAGCCCGAGTAGCTTGCAGGTCGAGCCATGTCCTCTGTCATACTAGACAGTGAAGCATCATTCCGTGAAAGATGCAGTAAAATAGGCCTCAGCAACGATCTTCTGGGTCGTTTGATTGATGCTGGATACAACACATTTGGAAAACTGGCTTTCGCCGCATCGGCGACGCCGCAGGGCCTAACAGACGAAGCTGTCGATGCGTGGCTATCCACAGTAGTCACCCCGGCACCCAGCTCCTTTCAGGTCTCGGTGATTCGTAGGCTGCTTTTCGAGTCGCAATCACTCAATGTGGCGGACCTCAAATCTAGGGTCGAAGGCACGCCGGAAGGCTCAGTGCGCCGTCTGCCCCAAGCCGAGAGAAAGGAGCGCATCGAGGCGCAGCATCGTAGGCTGTCGGGTCTCATTCTAACTTCTCATACCACACCGGCCCATAGCTGTATTGACCTTGTGACTGACATGTACGAGAATAATACACTCAAGTACATTCCGATCAACCGATGGATATCCCGCTTCCAAGAGATGTCTCTCCAGAAGAAGGATTCTGCCGTTCAGATGGACAACGAGGGCAACCTAAAGGTGATTCAGAAGAAGCCGGAGCCGACGTGCGACACCGCAGGCATGTATCCTCTCCGGCAGGCTTTTCAGAGACGGTCACTAGCATTTGATCTGGGTCACTTGTGCAGCTTTGAAGCTATGGAGACTTGGATCAACAAGCTCTTCGAAGCCGTTCAGCGTACTGTGCCGAAGGGATATGTGGCAGTTAGCTTGGGGCAAGTTGTTACGGCAGATCGTGAGCTTTTTGTTCGGTTGGCCGACTTGCTTGAAGGACAATTGCAGAAACCCATAGGTGTTGAGAAACCCATGGATGCAGCTTTGCGCGATCTATCGGGTAGCCAGGAGATAACTCAGTTTCTTCAGCCGCTTGTAGCTCCTCCTGCGCCTCACCCCACGAAGCGCCCTTTCAAGGAGCTTGCCACGCCTAACAAAGGTGACGGAAAGGGCAAGACATCCACCAAGGGCGGTGAAAAGGGCGGTGGCAAGGCACCCCGTGTAACCATTCCGGATGGCTGTGCGGCCAAAGATCATCAGGGCAGGCCGAATTGTTTTGGGTTTAACTTGGGCACATGCAAGCTCAAGGTGACAAAGGGAAGATGCCCGCGAGGCTTTCACCAGTGTTGGCGATGTTTTGGGGATCACCCCTTTTCCGAATGCACCAATCAGGTACAGTGATGGGGCCATGCGAGGCCCCAGGGGCCTGACCTCGTGGCCACTTCGGACCCTGCCCCTAGTGATGCTGAAGCCCTCGCGCAGGCCATTTTGGCCAGAGGGTCAGGGATTACTAAGCGAGATGTTGTTCAGATTTTCGAACTTTTGCCCAAGGAAATTCCTTCTAGAGGAGCCTCCTCGCAGCCTCCTAGCAGTTTCAGTTGTGGGGCATACGCAAAGGGTGGATTACAGGGTCTTCGGAGTGAATGTGCTCTTTTTCCATTCTGCGTCAAGCTCTTCACCACTTTTGTTCGCACTTTCTTGCCAGATCATTTCTTCACGACTATCAGTCTGTTTCACAACACTAAAACCGATTTGCATGTTGATTCCAGGAACCATCATACCCCTAACGGGGTCATAGCCGTGACATCTTTTCAGGGAGGTGGCATCTGGATTGCAGATGGATGCGGACCTCACTCACGGTCAATCAAAGGTGACATCGTAAAAGGCTCAATGCTTAGCCTCGAGTCCCCTGTCACTTTCGATGCCTTCAAATACCCTCACGAGACTGAAAGCTGGGTTGGGGATCGTTTGGTTTGCGTGGCCTTCACTGTCGCGAGCCTTGAGAAAATCTCAACTGAGTCAGCAAGGACCCTGCTTAATCTCGGGTTTAGGCCCCCGCCTGATCTCTCCTTTCCCATTCCTGTGACTGCCCAGGAACAGCCGCCTGTGAAATCAGACTCCTGGGTTTACGAGCTTTTCGCTGGCAGTGCCCGTTTCAGCAAGGCTTGCAAGGATTTGGGTTTTCGGGTCTTAGGGTTGGATAGTTCTTGCTACCGAGCAGTCTCTCCCGTAGCCAAGCTTGATCTGACCTTAGATGCAGCACAGGAAATCTTTTGGGATCTCATCAAGGAGTGCCCTCCTTTTCACTTGCATGCATCGCCCCCTGCGGGCACGGCTTCTCGCTCGCGCGAGCGCCCCCTGCCAAAGAACCATGCCCTTGCCTCTAAGGCCCCTAAACCTCTGCGGTCCGATGATTTCCCGTTAGGTCTGCCGTCATTGAGTGCCGCGTCTCAGCAGAGCCTTGCGGTGCGTAAAGACAACGTCCTGTACCGCTTCGTCTACAAGCTTCTCCTTCATTGTTCTGCTTTGGGCATCAATGTCAGCGTTGAGAATCCTCGGACTTCGTTGTTCTGGAAGGTTCTTCAATGCTTTGCTGAGGCCGACGGCTTGCTTTGGCCTCCCGCTGCCCTCGAACACGTTGATTTCGACCAGTGTTGTCATGGTTCCGATCGACCGAAGTCAACTCGTTTCTTGTGCACTCGAGGCTTGTTCACCTCGCTTCGAGCTACTTGCCCAGGCAATCACGAACACCGCCCGTGGGGCCTCGTGTTCCATGAGCGTTCTATGCAGCTGTCATCTTCTCTTGTGTCGGCTTACCCAGTTCTGCTTTGCAAGCGTATGGCCTCCTGTCTGGAGAGCGCGGCTTCTTTCATGGGTTTGTCTTTGCAAGCATCTCCTGACTTGGCAGCCAGCTCCGTTGCTGTTCTCGGTCGGCAGCATCGCCGCTTCCCTCCTTTGATTCCTGAGTTCCGCAAGGTCACGTGGGAGCCGCCCTCTTTCCAGCCTGACGATTTTTGTCGCATCCTTCTCTCTCAGGCTGCTGGGGAGGATAGCGGGAGAGAGAAGGCAGCCGAAGACAGCCATGCAGTTGACAATGTAGCTGTGTCTGACGGTTGGGTTGCTAGTGATAAAGCGGTTTACCCTCCTGCTAAGCTCCCTAGAGTTTCGGATGAGGCTTCCAGCAAGGTTCCCTCAGGTTTCCTTAAGAGTTCCGATCCGCCCAAAGGCTCGGTCAAGGTGGGGTGGTACTTGTCAATGCAGGATCATGTTGCAAAGGCCTTGACGCTAAAGTCGCTAAAGCATCCCGTCGACACTGCCGTAGCCCTTGACCAGGATCAGCTCGATGCAATCAGCTTCTGCATGAAAAACACTGAGAAAGAGGTGGTCGATCATCGAAAGCTTCAGCTTCTGAAAATAAAGATTCTTGCCAGAAAGTTCGAGGCCGACGAAGCTCGATTACATTCTTCGTTCGACCCCTGGTTCGAAAAGGTTGTGGCGGGAAAGCGTCTTCTTCTGTGGAAGCATCTTCTTGAGCAGAACGGTTTTGACGACATGCAAGTCTGCGACTTCATGACGTCAGGCGTCCCGATTGTAGGGCAGTCAGCCTGCCCTCAGCCGTTCAACCGAAAGATTGTGCCGGCTACCATGTCGGAACAGGATCTCAAGGGCACGGCTTCGTTCCGCCGAAAGGTGATGCTTGGGTCCAGTGGCACGCAGGCAGCCGACCTTCAAGAGTTGCTGTCGAAGGCTACCATGGACGAAGTCGATTTGGGCTTCCTGGAAGGCCCTTACACCGAAAGCCAAGTGTCTTCTTTCTTTCACTCAGACGATTGGAACTGCATACGAAGGTTCCTAATCCTTCAGGGAGCCGAGAACAAACCTAGACCCATTGATGACGGGCACGAGGCTTTGATCAACAACTGCTTTACGGCCACCATCAAGTTGGAGCTCCAGAGTTCCGACTTCGTTGCAGCTCTAGCGGCAAGAATTGCCATCGAGGAGGCCGAGAGATCACGCGCCACGGGCGAGCCCCCTCGGTCGTGGTAGGGCAAGTGCCTTGACTTGTCGAAGGCGTACAAGCAGATGCCAATGAAGAAGGAGCACCGCTCTCTTGCTGTGATCTACCACAAAGGCCCTTCTGGCGAGGATCAATTTTTCATTGCAAATTCGCTGCTCTTCGGTCTTACTGCTTCGGTTTATGGGTTCGTGCGAACGAGCAGAAGCCTTCACAAGCTGCTATTGAAGATATTCAAGCTGCCCAGCTCAGTGTACTTTGATGACTACCCGATGTTTTCGACATCGCTTTCTTCCAGTGACACTGATGGCATCATCAGCGAATTCTTAGACATTCTGGGCTGGGGCCACGCCAAGACAGGCAGCAAATCACATCCTTTCGCGGAGGTTTTCTCCGTCTTGGGAATGCAGATTGACTTGAGCAACTTGTCGAAGAGAAGCATCGTCCTCTCGAACAAACCTGGCAGGATCGATCGGATCGTGGAGAAGCTTGAATCTGTGGCTGCTTCTGGTTTCCTTACGGTTCATCAGGCTCAGATTTTGCTGGGCTTGCTCAACTTTTCATCTGGTTTCTTTGCCGGTCGTGCCCTCAAGCATTCGTGCAAATGGCTATCTGGCTTTCTGGCTGGAGACAGGCCTTCGCCAAAGACCGTCAGCGAGATGTGCGAGCACACGATCAAAATTCTTGTGAGCACGCCGCCCCGCTTCATAAGCTGCGATTCGACCGGAGAGCCTCCTATCCTGGTGTGGACTGATGGGGCTTGGGAGCCTGCCAAAGCCTTCGCCGGGATCGGTGCAGTGATTCTTGATGCGAGCAGCGGAGTTTCCAGAGTTTTCCAAGGACAGGTCCCTGAGCGCCTAGTGGTTCGCTGGCGAGAGGAGGTCGGAGAACAAATCATCTGTGAGGTAGAGCTGTATGCCCTCTTGATGATCAGGGCCTGCCTTCAGAATTTTCTTTCAGGAAAGAGAATCATATTCTTCATTGACAACGATGCCGCTAGATCTGTGGTATTGCGTGGTCAAAGCAGAAGTGACGCGATGCATCGCTTGGCCATGGCCTTGTCTATGGTCGAGGCCGTCGCCCCTTGCATCTCGTGGATAGAGAGGGTGCCATCCTCTTCGAACATCGCCGACTGGCCCTCTAGGGGCGAAGGTTGGAAAGCACAGAAGGTCGTTCGTGCGGCAGAGGTGGAGCCTTACTTTGTTGATCAATCTTTGATTGACGCCTACCTGCTCTGAGTTCGTCGATCCGAGGGGGTGTGTTCGGGACAAACTCTGAGCGGCTTCAGGCCCGTGCTCTTCGCATCGGCTGCGGCCCGGATGCAATGGTTCCCGAATTCCGAATTCGTTCAAACCCCTGATCGCTGAAGAGAAAACGAAGAGTGCGCGACCTTCTCTGCTGTCAATTTTTAACTTGACCGGAAATACTATTGAGCATCGAGCTCGACTCTTTTGATAGAGTCACATTCATATCGAGCTGGATTCATTTGAATATATCGGATTGCGAAGTTTTTAAATATTCTTATTGTGAATATCACTGAGATAATACTTTGTACAGGATCGTCGGTAATTGCCTTTCTCAAACATCGCTGATTTTAAAGAAGAAACTTTTCTGCTTGCAGACTTTTCTTTCTTTGAAATCGGCGACAGGCCGCAGGCCGTGTTTGACATTTGGCAACATCACTTTATTCGATTTAACTTTCCGCCTCCCTTTTTTGGGTGGTTTTTCAAGAAGAGTATTTGGCATGCTTTACAGATCATTGTCGCATGCCCATGCTTCTTGCATCACTGACAATATTTGTGTTTGTGACGAAGTGATTGCTCGAGCTGAGCTTTTAAAACTTTTCCCCGCCCGCCCGACCCGGACATCTATGGGGGGGGGTGTGTTCGGGACAAACTCTGAGCGGCTTCAGGCCCGTGCTCTTCGCATCGGCTGCGGCCCGGATGCAATGGTTCCCGAATTCCGAATTCGTTCAAACCCCTGATCGCTGAAGAGAAAACGAAGAGTGCGCGACCTTCTCTGCTGTCAATTTTTAACTTGACCGGAAATACCATTGAGCATCGAGCTCGACTCTTTTGATAGAGTCACATTCATATCGAGCTGGATTCATTTGAATATATCGGATTGCGAAGTTTTTAAATATTCTTATTGTGAATATCACTGAGATAATACTTTGTACAGGATCGTCGGTAATTGCCTTTCTCAAACATCGCTGATTTTAAAGAAGGAGAGATATATCAAAGTATGTAGAAAATACATGCCTAAAGAGGCCGAGCTTTGGAGCACCACCGCACACCTGCCACGGCAGCAAACAAGAACCCTACCCCTGGAACCCAAAACCTTAAAGTATCTCGCCCTCGCCGTCCAAACAAGGATATATCAATGGATCTCTGGGACTGAAGGCCAAATGCTCCCTGAATGCAGCTCGGATTGAAAGTCATTTTCCTATGCAGCAGATGCGACAGCATACACGAAGAACGGCCCTTGCATCCTCGACGTGGATTCTCCGCCAGCAGCGATGTTCTTGCAGTCAGAGTGCTCACTGAAAGTGGCGATCAAGGAAGCCTCCAGAAATGCTGCAGATTCGCCGTGCTCCACAATGGCGAGAAGCCGCATGGTTGCAAATAAGGCCTTGGGGATCTCGCGGAGGTATGCATGCTCAGCCTTTCGCCAGCGGTGGGCGGGGTCGCCTGTGATGCCAATCTTAAATTTAAGATGGGCTTGATGAAGAAGTTGAACACGACTCACAGCATGACCCAGCACTTTAGAAGCCAACTGATGCGATGCACAGAACTCGATCAAGATTGTAGGGTCCTGCAACACTGCTCGCATGACGGGCTCAAGTCGAGGCATCCAGCGCAAAGAAGCCGGCACGAGCATTTTGTAAAAGTTTGCACTGACAAGCTGCTGACGACGACCATCAATCATCACGAAAGGCCCTTGGCCATTTTCAGCAGCAACAGGATTGTCATCGTAACGGCTCGCCGCCGATTCAAAACGCCTGAAGCTCCTCTCAGTGCAAAATTCGGCACCCGCCGCCTCAAGATCCTTCAAGGAAATTTGTGACGGGTCTCCCGAACAATCGTCCTCGTGCAACAGCCGTTCCAGCGAATCGACTTCCATATCACCAGAGTCACGATCACGATTGTTATTGTTCTTGGCAGTGAGCATGAACAGACTTTGACTGTGCGAGTGTATGTCATCCACGACATCCGGCAGCCATGCTGGCTGGAAGGGGCCAAAGAGGGAAGGGTCCAGGTTCGGGTCTCGTTGTACCTCAGGTGGCCTGTAGAGTTCAGTATGTTCTCACCTTGATATCTAGATGCTACGAATCTGATAGACTTTGTGGAGCAGAGTTGTTCTGTACAGATCAGGTAGTATCTGCACTTCGTTGATGTCTTTCGTTCGCTGAGTGTGAAAACAAGGGCATAAGTCCGCGGCTGCTCATTTCCTGTTCCGCACAACGGGCAGGTTATGAGCCCAAGCGGCTCCCTGTGATCTCCGCCATGGAATCCGCTGGTTCTGGTTTAGAGCCGGAGTATCGTCGTGATGACGGTAACCGAATGGGTGCTCGGGATGAGGCATCTGATGAAAGGTCTGAGAATGACCAGGGTATGGCTGGCATCAATCTTGAGGCTCAGAGTGGTCTTGGGGATGCTGGGAATGAGCAAAATATTTCAAGAACACCGGAACAGGAAGCAGCTGATCTGTTGCAACAGGCTTCTGGTTTGGAGCCGGATTATGACTTTGAGTCTGCAGAGGGAGGCGTGGGTTCGCCTCATGCAGAGGTGAGTCAGGACGTTGAGGATCCAAACACAGCAGCTGCGTCAGGCGCAGTGGATGATCAGCGTGTTGAGCGTGTTGCTCGAGCTGATTCTGCAAGCTGGTTTTCCAATCTGGGAGAAGTGATGGAAAGATTCACCCAGTCTGTGGAAGGCCGGGGAAGCCATAGCAGAAGACCTGTGGAATATCAGGGGAGCCATGGGCTCCCAAATGGTGTAACTGGTCGTGAATTGGCTGGATCTAGACGAGATGCGGATATGGGAACCCGGCCGGACTATAGTGTTCGTGGCATGGGCCTGGGTCTTGAGAGTTCTGCGTCGAGTACAGAGAGAGCCGAAGCTTTGGAATTCCTTGTGGGTCAGTTGCTTGAGCAGAATGAGCGTTTGAAACGTGAGATGCGGCTAGAGCAGCGAGGAGTCCTGAGAGAATCTCAGGGCAGTAGGGTAGCGGATGTACATAGAGCTGAGGAACAGATGATTCCGCAGGGTAGGGAGCAGAGGCCACCTGGGATTGGTCGGGTTAAGAATGGCAAGGGTATAGGGGTTCAGGGGGAAGATAGACGGGCCCCAACTCTTAGGTCGTTTCAGCCGCCGTGGACTGCGTTTCAAGTCGGCCAGGATTCAACTGCCTCTGTCCTACCGCCGGTTGGTCCGGGGGATAATCTTCTTGCTGCTACCAGGGCGCTCCAAGATCTGTCATTGTTGGAGGCGTCTGAGGTTCAGGGAGCCTGTGCTTCTGTGGAGCTGCAAGGGGTGAGCAATGCAGGAGACCTTCAAACTGATCCCAGGATGGGTTTAGAAGTTGGGTTTAGAGAGGGTGGAGGTTGGGATAGAGGTTGGGTTTCAAGAGGTGAGGCTCAGGCACATTTGCAAATGTCGAGTGCACTGCCTGTGCAACCTCCCAATCCTCCCAAGCCGCTCCAGGACTCGGCCGAAGGATGGGTTCAGGGTGCAACTGTGACTGTGATGATTAATGGGATGCCTAGATCCGGGACGATCGATGAACGAGGCAATGTAGTTCTTGTATCTGAGTCGCCTAAGTACTTTGACATACAGGATACTGAGGAAACTGGTGGTGTGCAAGAGGCCAAGCCGCCCGAAAAACCTGGGAACTGTATGCAAGGCAGAGGTGCTAGGGACTCCCGAAATACAAGTGTTGGCAATCCTTTTAGTGCTAACGCCGCATCGCCTTTCAGGTCCAGCAGTCAAGGGGTCCCTGTGGATTGTTCTGCATCACCGCCTCCTCCACCCCCTCCTGTGCCAAGTTCTCATTATGGGTTTGCTAGGGGGTCGAGGTCACCTAGTGGGTATAGGTCAGGAATTCCTAGACGACCATCCAGGTCACCCAATCCCAGTCCGCCGAGGAACATTGTTGCACCGCGTAATCAGGTGAACGTGTCACCGGCCACGCCGGGCGGCACCAGGTTACCTTCAGGACCTCCGCCGAAGACCCCTACGAGTAGTGGTGCGACTGATGTCAGGATTGGCGTTCAGGGTTCTCAGGAGGTTGTGGACAGTCAGGGTTCTGGGTCAAGGGAATATGTGCCGGGAGAACGTACGTATTGGGAGTTACCAGTGTTAGCGAGCCCGAATAGTGAACAGAATCCTGCTATGAGGTGTAATGATTGGATCTACAAGATAGGTCCACTGATGAGCGATCTCGCTCCAAAGGCGAATGCTTGGTGGCAAATTGTGCTACAGGAAGCTCAGGAAGCATACCGGCGTTGGTCTGTCGCTAAGCCACTGGATCGTGCGAGGGTCGTTGGAAAGCCAAGTGAGCTCCTTCAAGATGATCGGTTCACTCGTATCGAATCACGGGCAGTTGCAATGCTTACAAAAGCGCTCCCTAGCGTGGTATATGAACAGGCCTTGGCCAGTCGCAATGTGTCGACGGTGGGGTTATTGTTCCTCACTCTTAGGATTTATCAACCAGGTGGACTTAACGAAAGGGCCGAGTTGCTGCGCGGATTGACTTCGTTGCAAGTGTTTGATTCAGCCGCTTCAGCTGTCAGTGGACTTCAGAAGTGGTTCCGACACCTTGAAAGAGCTAACTCTATGGGGATATCGATTCCTGATAGCTCTCTTCTGCTGCAAGGAGTTGATAAGGGAGTGGAATCATTGCTTCAGTCTCATGCTTCTTTGTCCTTCAGAATGCACAGTGTTCGGATGCATCTGCAGTTGGACTCGGTGCCAACACATGAGCGAGTGGAAGAGTACGTGAATACTCTGTTGGCCGAGTTCGAGCTCTTAGCCGTTGCTGTACCGGAGAGTCATGCCAAGAGACAGAGAGTAGCAGCGCTTGGGGAAGACCTACCTAAAGGAAAGGGTAATGGGAAACCTTCAGGCGGCAATGGCAAGGGCAAGGAGTCAGCTGGAGCACCGGCACCGAGTGCAGCACCCAATAAAGGTGATGTTCCTCCTAAGAAGGCCTGTAATGCTTGGCTTACAGACAGAGGCTGCAAGTTTGGCAAAACCTGCACCTTCTCTCACGCAGCTGAACGTGTCGGTAAATGTTGGGCCTGTGGAGGGAGTCACCAGAAGGCTGATTGCGTAGCGCCGGGGGGAGGAAAACACCAGAAGCCATCAAATGCAGAGGCCCAGGCTAAAGGAAAGGGTAAAAATGCATCTTCGGAGAGTTCGGCTGGTGCGGCTAAGGGCAAACCAGCAAATCCTAAGGGCTCTAGTGGTGCAGCAGCCGGGTTGTCCCAGGAGGCAATAAAGGAGGCGACTCAATTGTTGCAGAGTCTCCGTCTTGCATCGTTGAGACCACATGTGAAGAGCATGTCTGAGCTCTTATGCAAAGCCCAGCGTGGAGAGCCGAGAGGCTTGATCGATGGAGGCGCGACGGCTTGCCTCAGAGTTGCGCTGGATCACGAGGTTGGACTTCCTCAGGTGGTGGTGAAGTTGGCCTGTGGGGAGACTTCGTTGTGTGTAAATCCACAGGGTACCCTCCTAAGTAAGGTCTACGTATCGCCAATCTTGTCAGTCAGAGCGTTATTGTCGTTGGGTTACCGAATAGAATGGGACTCCGCAAAATGCAGGATCTACCATGCAGTGAAAGGCGACCTAGACATTGATGTGAGTAGCGGCTGTCCGGAGGTCACGGAGGCCAAAGCACTTGAACTGATATCCCAGTATGAAGATCTGGTGCGCAGCCGTGAGTTGCGGAGCATCCGGGTTCACTCCATTATGCAGGACCTGTCGTCTAGGACCGATGATGAATTGGCAAGCTTGATCATTCAGGGAGACACCCAGGCAGATGCATCGCTGCAGATGCTGCTGACCAGATTGTTTCCGGAGACCAGCAGTGACTTGACCGCGCAGGCGGCGATATCTTTGCAGGACCAGGAAGGTGAGCCGTATGCGTGGAATAGGCGCATGAGACGCAAGTGTGATAAATCGGATGGGGTTCTTGTTCACTTGTTTCGCGGAAGCAATAAGAGGGTCTTTGAGGGCTTAGCTGAGCGCAGCAAGGTGACTGTGCTCTCAGTGGACAAGCCTGAGGATTTGCTTTCAGACAACACATTCAGGTACCTGATGCAGCAAGCTTCTAAGGGTAGAGTGAAGGGAATAGTGGCTTCTCCTCCTTACAGAACTTTTGCATTGTGCAGATATCTGAGTGGGACTGGTGATGATGGACTTCGTCCGTTGAGAGTTCGAGGGGAAAGCATTGGGGAGACCAGGTCCATTGAGCTGGGATGCAAGGAACAGGCGCAAAGGCGCACGGATGATCTTGTGCTGATGCGAACTATGGTTCTGATGATCGTTGCCGCTGCATCCAATAGGGCGCTGAGGATTCATCATCCTTTGTGTGCCGTTGTGCATCCGGAGGATCCCACGGAGGATCCGGTTGAGTGCTGGGATAATCGGGAATTGGAGGATCCGGGTACTGGGTATGCGACCTTGTGGGAGACGCCGGAGTGGAAGTCAGTGGAACGATTCTTGGGGTTGCAGGGAATTTCCTTCAGACAGGGAGTGAAGGGTCAGGGTATGGTGCGACCGACTAGGATGTGCACCAATATGGCTCCAGACCCTTTGCTGATCAATGGCCGCGAGGGACTTCAGTACTTTAATGGGCTGGAGAGCTCGATGAGACCCGAATGCGGTTCGGAAGTTTCCGGTTACGACTGTTGGGGAGAATGGTCGTGTGCTCTACAGTCTGCCATTTGCAGCATGCTTTGGAGGGAACTCCGGGAGCAAGGCTTATGGGGGGAAGGCAGACTTCGGGCATTGGATCCTGGGTTCATTGAGCACGTACGGCAGGGCCACATGCCTTTTCGTCGCGACTGCAAGCAATGCTTGCAGGGCAGTGCCAGACACAGGCAGCACCGCAAAGTTCTTGCGCCTCAGGCATGGACTCTAAGTCTTGATACGGCCGGGCCTTTTCCGGCGGGTGTCGATGAATCGGAGTGCCAGGCGAAATACTTGATCGTAGCAGTGTTGTCAGTTCCAATTCTGTCTACAGAGGGTCATGTGGTGACTGAGCCAGCCGATCGAGATCCTGCTATTACGGTCGAGGCTTTTGCAGAATCCCTTGATGATAAGGAGTGGTTTCTTGGCAAGGGCATGGAACTGGAGGATCCACCTGATGAGTTCACGGCTGCAGAACTTAAAGAGGCGAAGGAGGCTTGGAATAGCTGGCAAAAGATTGTTGCTATGAGCCGAAAGGAGTGGATGGAGGAAGCAAAGGTTCATTACCTTCCAAAAGTGGAAATGGTAGATATGGTTTATACTGAGCCGGTCGCGTCGAAAAAACAGCAGATTGTTCTAGGGGCTCTCAGTAGGATCTACGCAAGAGCGCTATCAGACGGCTTCAGTGTGCAAAGGGTCCATACAGACCGCGGCAGGGAGTTCAGGAATGCTTCGGTCCAGGCCTTTTGTCAGAAATTCGGGCTGCACAGAACATTCGCTATTGCGGAGGAACACCAAACAAATGGACGCGCGGAAGGCGCAATTTTGAGGCTGAAGAATAGTACCCGTACCATCCTACAAACTGCTAGTTGTGAGGATTTGAACGAGTGGCCGTTGGCGGCCAAATTGGCGGCATACCAGATGCGTGGTCAGGCGCGGAAGCGCCTCAAGATGTCGACTGAACCGACTCTTCCTTTCAATACAGAGGTACAAATCCTTCAACGGTCCTGGCATCGAGGTGTATGGGAGACCAAAACCATTGCTGCGCACACGAAGTGCCCGTCTACGGACAGCTCAAAGGGATGGGTCGTGAGGACCACTGATGGATCTCTGCTTACTACCAGTAAGGTGTTTCCTGCTGTTAGTGCTCCCAGGGTTAAGTTTAGTGTTGAGGGGCCCCCTGTAGACGCAGATGCACCTCCTGCAAGACTTCGGGAAAAGACTAAGGTTAGAAGGGTAGAATCGGCTGTGGATTGTGGTGCTCCCACGCACCCTGCAGACTGTATGGCAAAGCAGTTGTTGGAGAGTGACAGCTGGGACCCGAAGCATTTGGCTAGATTGGCATTGTGTATGGCCAAGACTCTGTCGTCAAATGAGCGTGCGATCCGAAAGGACAGTGATCAGGCTGTTGGACAAGGTCGTCCTGTGTGCAACTTCTTGAGTGGTGCATTTACCTTCAGTGGGATGTCTGGGGTGAGGTGCGACACCAAAGATCACTTGTATCTCACAAAGTATTTGACAGGGTACTTGGCTAGACATACTGATGAGCCTTTTGCTGGTGTAGGACTGTCGCTTAATTCCGATCACCAGTTGCATAGAGATGTGCACAATCAAAGGTCAGTGCCAAACATTGTCTTGCCTATAGTTGCCTCGGGTGGAGGCTTGTGGATTCAGGATCGCCCCGATGCGGGCTTGCAAGGGGTGAGTCCATCTGCTGAGGAGGCTCGGTGCTTGGCCGATGGGACGTCACTTCGGGGGAAAGTTGTTCGCTACAAGTCACATCAGGCGTTCACCTTCAATCCTCATGTGTGGCATGAGTCTGTTGCTGTTGAGGGTCCCCAACTCCTTCTGTTCGGGTATACCGCTCGAGGGCTGCATAAGCTGGAGCAGCCGGATAGAAAGTTGCTGTGGGATGCAGGGTTTACGTACATACCAGGAACTAAGAATGAGTACTGGGGTTACCAAACGTCCTCTAGCACTCTGGTTCGCTATCACCCTGTCCCTAGGCGCCAGATGTATGCCCCCACCGCTCAGGATGCCTTGCCGATATCAGGATGTGTGTCCAGCATGTCCCGGGACGGCCTGCTGTGAGGACTTTTCATCGCTGGCGTGATGGCAGGGGTAAGGCTGCGAGTTCGGCATGGACGGGCTGTTCTGTGTTTAAGCTTCGGGCGTCTGGCAGCACCCATCATGGTGATGGGGGGGGGGATCCGCACCCTTCGCAAAATCTGCACCCTTCGAAAAATTCCTTGCAACCGGTGGCTTCAGAAATCTCGTCTCTGAATCCTGAAGGAGATGGGGTTGTTGAGATTCCGCATGATCAGGAGAGGCTATCCATGTTGCGAGGACCTGGTTTCGAGCAAGGTAGCATCCTGGGTGGTAGTGTTCAGCTGCTAGAAAATCCTCGGAGATTGTATGGACCAGAGGGCTACGCGAAGATGCGGCGTAATGGGTGCGTGTTTGATGGTAAAGATGGAAGCTGTTGTGCATTAAACTGTTCGTCTGAAAGAACTCAGCCGAGTTCTCGGACAGTTCAGCCAGCCAGGGTTAGAGCTGTGAGTAGGGTTAGAGGGGAAAACCTAGCTGAGGTAGGTCCGGGTTTGGTTGCACAAGGAGCTGAGGCTAGAGGTAGAGGTGCAGAGGTTGCTGTGCACGCGCGTGAAAGAAATGCTGGGTCACCCGTGCCAATCGTGAACTGGGGTGTTAGGTTCGCTGGCCGCTATAGCTTGAGAAGTTTGCACTCTAGTGCTGAGCCGATTGGAATGGGTTCGGAAGGCTTGCCTATGAATGCGACTCAGAGTGGTTGCAGGCCTGACAGGGAAAAACGAGGGAATCCATCGATCAGCGGTGAAGGTCCAAGCATGCGTTGCGATAATCTTGTGGATGGGATTCGGAATAAGTGCATTGAGTACTGTGTTCGTCCAAGGCACAAGGTCGCTGTGTGTGAGGAGTTTCCAGCTCGGTGTCCCAAGAAGGTCATGCATGCGTGCCTGGCAATTGAACTTCAGCGTCTCTGTAAACGCCTGCAATTTGAAAGCGGTAGCTCTGAATGTGACCGTGATCGTGAGGATGACCCACTTCCTTATGAGGTTCCAAAGGTCCTGCAGCGTCTTTCCTTGTGCCCATCGTCGGGGTCTGCCGAGGGTGTAAGCTATAGCCTTGATCGGGTTAGCTGGCAAATGGGTGAGGAACTGGAGGAGGTTGTCGACGCCATGACCAATGCGCACTATGTCCGAAGTAAAATGCTAGAGGTTTCCTATGAGGATGTTGAAGGTTGGCTTAAAGGCTGCGACGAAGCTATCTTCAATGAGGTTCAGGAACTAGAAAGGGAGCTTCAAATTCTTCAGGGCGGCGAACAAGAAGCTTTGAGGAGGCTTGTGCAAGTCGAAGGTGGTAGGGCTCGGCAGCCGCGTGTTTGCAGCGCAACAGTGTCAGATGAGGGCGATGATGGACCAGCGTCTCAAGGAGCAGATGATTCCCCGCCTCTTCAGACCAAGATTGTGTCGCAGCAGCAGGTCCGACAGGAGCTGGGGAAGTGGCAAAGTTCAATGAGTGAAGAAGTGGAGTCTTTGGTTCAGAAGACAGAAGCTGTTGAAGATCTCACAGAGGCTCAGTACAACGAGTTGGTAAGTGACGGTTCAGTGCATGTTGAGTTGATCCCCGGAAAAATGGTATATGTTTGGAAGCCCAGCGGGAGACGCAGGGCGAGGATGGTTGGCTGTGGGAATTTCTGTGAGCATGATAGCAGCGCTCCCAAAGCAGACCTCTTTGCCAGTGGAGCTGGGGCAGAATCCATTCGTATGATGATCCGTAAATGTGCTATGGAATCATCTTGGAGCCTGGTTTCGGTTGATGTGAAAACGGCCTTCTTGCAGGCGCCACTCATGGAAATGCAGAAAGGTGGTAGGGAGAAGGTTACTGTGGTTAAGGTTCCAAGCATATTGAGGGAGGCAGGGGTTACTACAACCAAGTACTGGAAAGTCAAGAAGGCCCTTTACGGCCTGAACTCGGCCCCGCGCTCGTGGAGTACTTACAGAGACAGGGTTATGACAGATCTTTGTATTGAACATGGTGATAGCTTTCTGAGGCTTCAAAAGTTACCGGAGGATGCCAACCTCTGGCACATCCTTAAGTATCCGCGGGAAGGCATAGATCCTAAGACGAGCGCTGGCGCACCAGGGTCTCAGCGAGGTCAGCACATTGGGATCATAGCTTTGTACGTGGACGATATCTTGATTGCATCAGAGAAGGATGTATCCCAAGCTATTGTTCAAGGACTGGAGTCACATTGGGAATTGTCAACTCCAGACTGGTTGTCAGTGGAAGGCGATTGCCTGAAGTTTGCAGGCTTCGAACTTGAAAAAACAAGCTTGGGAATCCGTCTCCACCAGGAAAGCTACACCAAGGACCTCCTTGATCAATGTCGTGATACTGTACAGGGGGTGGAGCGAGTGCCAGCAGTCAAGATGAGTGAATGTGAGGACCCGGCTGATCGGGATGAGCAGCTGAAACTTACAAAGAGAGCTCAGTCCCTCGTGGGGCAGCTGCTGTGGCTTTCGGGTCGGACACGCCCGGATATAAGTTATGCTGTAAGTGTTGCTGCGCAAAAGATCGTGCCATCCCCTCGGGAAGCAGTGGAAAGGGCAGAGCATGTGATCAAGTACCTCCGGTATGCCCCTGGAATAGGCCTTCACTACAAGATGCCGACGGGTCGGTGCGGCAAGTGGGAACAGCTGAAATTCCGGGAGCTGGGAGAAAGCTTGGATGCTTTTTCAGATGCTTCATTTGCTGCGGATGAAAGGAGTCGCAGTTATGGGTGCATTCAACTGTTTTGGGGAGGTGCTCTGATTTTTTGGGCGTGCAGCAGGCAGACTCTTATAGCATCCCACACAGCAGAGAGTGAGCTGTACTCGTTGAGCGAGGCGCACTTGCTTGGCAAAGCTATGAGACCTACCGTTGCAGCGTTGATGAATCTTCCTGAAAGGGAAATAGATTGCCGACTGCATTGCGATAACTGTGCAGCAATCCAACTCTGTGTGTTAGAATCAGGGTCGTGGCGCACACGTCACTTACGTCTGAGAGCTGCAGTGGTTCGTCAGGACTTAGAAGAGGGTCGTTGGCAACTGACGCATCTTGACGGAGTCTACATGCCAGCGGACCTTGGAACGAAACCCGTAGGCCCGTCTAGGCTAGAAGACCTTGTCAGGGTATGTGATTTATGGGCTCCTCATCTAGCTGAATCCCAAGAGCCCCCTAGGCCTCAAGTGGCGTCCATGAGCTGTGAACAGACCAGTGTTGCGAAGGCTCTTCTTGCACTGTTGCTTTTGGTTCAAGTGTCAGGGGTACAAGCCATGCCGACAGGTCCTTCAACAGAGCTGCGTACTTTTCTGCAGAGCTTTGTTGTGGGCTTTGGGATAGGATGCGGTTGGTGGTTAGCCGGTAAGGTTGGTAGCTGGGTTGAGAGGTGCTGTTGTAGGAGACAGGTGATGTCTGTAGGACCTCGTAGGCCGCCGCGCCCTACAGTCTCTTCCGTTGAAGTACAGACTGTTGCAACTGAGTCTAGGGATGACCTCCTTATGGGGGAGCGTGAAGCGGATCAAAGGTCTGTGCAGTCTGAGGCGGTTGCTCCTCCCGTGTCGGAGACTGAACAGCAAATGCTTTGGGACATGTACGAGCGGTTGTATGCAGAACAGGTTGCCGAGAATCTTAGGGTTGATGGTCCGGGTGGTTCTAGTAGGGTTGAGTGGAGGCCCCTGCCTGGAGCTGTGGATGAAAGTGGTTCGCCGGAGGTCCTGTTTCCGGTGCATGATCCACAAATTGATGCTCTAGGGGCATACTTCCAAGCTAGTGGTAGTGCAGAGGTTCCCTTTGTAAGGCCCCCAGAAGAGATGATTGCGCAGGCTAGAGCACCAACCGTTCCCATGCCTCCCGAAAACCGCTATCCTATTGTGTTGCTTCAGCCCGATCCTGAGCCCCAGCTTCCACCTCGGGTGAACCGAATTGCGTATGTCGATGACGAAGTGGAGCTGGACAGCAGTGCCGATGAGGCGGAATCGACTCTCGGAGAATGGTCTACGGATTCAGGAATGCCAAGGGGTCCTAGTGGGGATAGCCGGGAATCTAGTCTGGATAGGGCGCATGGGTCCAACAGGTCCTTGGGCAGTAGTCGGAGCGTTGCTGCTGTCAGTCTTATCGCTTCGGTGAGTTCTGTAGAGGGACACCGCGTTGAGGAGTCAAACGATGGTTCTTGGGAGTTGTGGTGTGTGCTTGGAGCGGTAGCAATTTTGTTTGGGGTGTTGGGAGCAGGGATTGCTTGTATGGTAATTAAATGTTCCCGTGCAGAGCATCTGTCGACCATGTCGTCTACTGGTGGTGACGAAGCGCACAAAGTGATTGCAAAGGCACCCTTGACTCATGTAGATCAACTGACTCCTGGCGGAACTCAGTTCTCTCCAGTGGTAAATATCACGATAAAAAATGAGGGCTTGAGGACTCAGACATTGCGGGACTCCGAGTTGTCAGGGGTGAGCGAGGATGGCTTGGAAGCTGCTGAAGATAGGAGGGACGCGGATGGTGTGATCGAGCGGCCGGTCGACGATGACGAGGAACGCCCAGTAGTCCCCCCTAGTGGTTTAGTCCCCGAGGTTGCCCTGAGACGACGACAGCCGATGCCCAATAGTGACCCTAGTGGTTTAGTTCCCGAGGTTGCCCCAGGACGACGACAGCCAACTCCCAGTAGTGTCCCTAGGGGTTTAGTCCCGGAGGTTGCCCTAGGCGGACGACGACGGCAAAAGCCCAGTAGCCCCCCTAGTGGTTTAGTCCCGGAGGTTACCCTAGATGGACGACGACAGCCGAAACTCAGTAGCCCCCCTAGTGGTTTAGTCCCCAGAGGTGCCCAAGACCAGCTTGAGGCTGGTGAAGCTCAAGGCGGTCTTGTGGGTCCTCGAAATAAGGGAGTCGATAGGCCCCTAAATCCTGAAGAAGGTTTGCGTAACCAGCCGAGAGAAGACCCTGTGACCCAAGTCATAGATCCTAGTGGTTTAACTCCTGAGAGTAGTGTGCCTAGGAGACAGAAGCCTTTCTCACGAGAGGAAAGGGCATCTGGAAGCGGCCATATCGATGGAGCTGAGGAGAGTCGACACGACATTGGGCGCTCAACTGAGGTTACTAGACCTGCAGGTGTGCCGTTGGATAGGTTTCCAAGGCCTTGGGGAACAAAGAAGTCGGTTCTGTTGAGTTCCCGTGGAGATGATATTAAGCCTTTTGTGTACCTGACCCCTAACGGGGAATGCATTCACAGTGGGACTACTTGTAGACCCATGCAATGTGCTAGTGTTCCGGCACAAAGGAGCATTTGTGGATTCTGCTTGAGGGCAGGAGAGCTGCCGACGCGTCGTGGACAGGATGGTCAAGATCGCATATTGTGCTTCACGAGATCGGGGCACTATGTACATTCAACAGCGAGTTGCGAATGTGTGGATAAGAGCGAGGAGGTACAGTTTCGCAAGTTATGCCGCTGTTGTCGCTGGGGTTGATCCTCGGCGTGCGTGGAGCGATACGATGCTTCACTGTGTAAGGAATGGACGTAAGCTTCATTCCGGGGGAGTGGCAGTGAGCATGAACAGACTTTGACTGTGCGAGTGTATGTCATCCACGACATCCGGCAGCCATGCTGGCTGGAAGGGGCCAAAGAGGGAAGGGTCCAGGTTCGGGTCTCGTTGTACCTCAGGTGGCCTGTAGAGTTCAGTATGTTCTCACCTTGATATCTAGATGCTACGAATCTGATAGACTTTGTGGAGCAGAGTTGTTCTGTACAGATCAGGTAGTATCTGCACTTCGTTGATGTCTTTCGTTCGCTGAGTGTGAAAACAAGGGCATAAGTCCGCGGCTGCTCATTTCCTGTTCCGCACAACGGGCAGTTCTCATTGGCAGAACCAGCACTACAAGAAGCTTTGCCAGGCAAGCACAGTTCCATCAGCCACTCATGGTCAGAATCCGAGCCATCCCGACGAACTTCACTCGACCCTTGACTAGGACCCGACATAAGCCCAAAAGCTTCGGAGAGCAAGAAGCACTTGAATCCAATCGCCAAACCCCACAGCAACTAGGCCAGAGACCCCCAACTTCCAACAAGCTTCAGAAATGTATCCAATCGCCAAACCCCACAGCTAGACCCGAGACCCCCGAACCTCGCAAAGCTAGATATTAGAGCAATCAGCCCACGACTAGACCAGAAACCCTGAACCTCCCAAAGCTAGGTTAAAGCAAGGGCGAGAAACTGAAGGATGTGCTCCCGGTGGGATCCTCGCCATCCAGCATCCCGCCCAAAGCGCTGAGGAACCAGTCGTTGGCGATGGCAGCTTGGGCCGCTTCCTGGGCGAATCAGAGTTTCTTAGGTATGGGGCAGTCGTGCGGGGAGGCTTATTTCGCTTCGGTGAGTATACTACGACACGAGCATGTAAACAAAGTGCTTTAAGAATCCAGGGTCCGACATGTTTGGTACATCCTGCTTGGTGCTCGCTTGTGCTGTTGGCTGGGGTTCTGGAGCTTGCGACTGCGGGCTTGCTTTCGTTGGCTGGGGTTCTGGAGCTTGCGACTGCGGGCTTGCTTTTGTTGGCTGGGCTTCTGGAGCTTGCGGCTGTTGGGCTTCCACGGATGGCTCGGGCTTCCCATTCGTGCTTTGCTTTCCTTTGCTGCTGCTGCTGCTGCCTGATGAGGATGAACTGGAGCTGCTGCTACTGATGCTAACATCGTCCTCGCTTCCATCATCCTGCTCACCATCGTTGTTTGCATCCTGCTCATCATCGTTCTCATCGGCATCTTCCTCCTGCTCCTGCTGCTCAGCGGCTGGCTTCTGTGGGTCCTGTTGTTTTCCCTTTATCCTGAGTTTCACTGTAGCCGTATTCTGCTTCCTCTGGGCTGCTTTCCGGTCAGATGGCGCTTTCGTACTTCTGCGATGCTCCTGATCAGGGGTATTAAATTTCAAGCCCCGGTAAATCATGATTCTCTAGATTGGGATCGCTGCATTTCTTGTTAGTCTAGCTTGATATCTGTTGAGAGATCGCAGAGATGAGCCTCGGGTACCCAAGATCGCCTCCTCAAAGAGCTTTGCGAGTAGTGGCGAAAAGCAGCTGATAGTCTCAATGCATTCGTGGCAGCCCACGACTCTTTTTCGGAATCGGGGATCTTGGAACTCAAAGAGGCCTTGTCCTCTAGCAAGATAATAATAACATAAGGTTGCGGGATGGACGAAAGAAAAATAATTCGGCTCATAACACTAACAAATACAACTAGAAATACTTTGAGGTCCTCCATCTTCAAGATCTGAAGCAGACCCTTCTTCAGCACCGTGTCGGGGAAATTCCAAGTCGGGCTCAGGGATATCGTAGCTTGGAAAACCCCCTTGAAGAACCTGGACTCGGAAAGCACAACCGGGATAAGAAACCACATACCTGTATAAGCCTAGGCCCTACCTAGAAAAAACATTCAAATCGATTCCTATGCAAATCTGGATGGCCGAGATGTCAGTTTGGCTCTGTCGAGGTCCTTCATGTCCCTGCTACTCGTGTATGTCGTCACGGTTTTCTGTGTCACGAAAGGTGCAAGGCGGGAGGCCAACTCTTTGTAGTTCTTGAACCCCACCCTTCGTACTCTTCGCCCAGCTGCTCTGGGCTTCTTCATCACAGCTCTGCCAGCCATTGCTAGCAAAACCGAGGTCGAGATCTACACTAGGAACTGAAATGCCGTAGCAAGTATTCTAGGTCCAGAGCAGGATGCCTATAGAGCTGGCCTTGGTATAGGAACAGTAAGGATTGATAGTACGGTTTGGCTCGAGGCCCCGCAAGCAATCGCAAGAAGCTTCAGATGCTGAATCGAGACTGCCCAGGCCTAAGTCCTACCCGAAAGGCAACAACCCTATTATTAAGGTTATCCTGAAAATCTGAAGGAAACCCTCAGCACTGCCGAATCTAAAGTGTTCAGTCAAGGTATTCTGCACCACGACAACTTCTGCACTGCGCTACATCGGCTGGGAAGCTGAAACTTGTAAGCATTTTGGAATGCCCTTGCGGGCCCATGCCCGTGCTGATGGAGAGCTCCGGCGGATGGCGACATTTGGCCGTGGGGTTGGGGCTTCAGGGCAGGGTTGTGGCTTCGAGGCTGTGCTTCACGAGTTACAGGGCTATTGGAACTCAATTCTTAATGCCCTCTACCACCAAACAGCTATAAAAGCCTAATACCCAAGCTAAGGCCAAGGAAGCTGGGGGTTTCGGAGTTGAAAAGGCTTTGGCTCTGAGAGACCTAGCGTGATATGTGCTCATGATGCGAATATAATGCACAAAGCTACCCTGGGTAAATGACATGGAATACTTCTGCAGCCCTGTGTTCTGGAAATGTGTGTGTTTTACGGACTATATGACTATATGAGAATACACGAATTAAGCTTTGATCTGTTTTATCTCCAAAACTTCGAAACAGCCCCCTGAAATCCGAATGTCCGAAATTCCGAAGTGACACATATCTCCAAAACTCCGAAACAACCCTCTGAAATCCGAATGTCCGAAATTCCGAAGTGACACCTCGAAGAAACAAAAACACAGGAAAATTCTGAAGGGTTTTCTGATACAAAGTTGTTGTTGCTCTCTCTGTCTCATTAAAAAATCGCTCTTAGGGCCTCGTTCTCTTCTTCTTCTTTTTTTCAGCGGATTTCTTGAATTAGATTACATGAGTTCCAGGCAAATCGCATGATCCCAAGGCTTTTTGAGCCATACTACATGAGTTCCAGGCAAATCGCATGATCCCAAGGCTTTTGGCCAGACAGGCTGTTTTGCTATCGATCTAGATACGCCCTCGCTTTTGGAAACGGTCATGCATATCTAGATACGCAGCGAACTTCGGATCTACTTTTTAGATCCGCGAGGTGGTCTGGGTACTGGATAAGCCTGCCGCTGCTTTCTTGCTACAACTTGTGCGCATCTCCCCAGTCCGTTAGAATGACTAGCGTTTCCTTAAGGTACATGTTAGGGCGGAACCGGCGGCCACAAATTGCTATTGCCGTACGGCTGATGGATGGCTTCCATCGTAGGCTTCTACCTGCCAGGCGGGGTGACTTTGACCCCCAAATGTTCTCTTACCCGGGCGTGTGCAAAGGCACTTTTCAACTCTTGCTCCCGCTGGACAATGTTCCCCTGGGTCTGCAAGCGCAACCGTTGCTCCCATCCAGTCCGCTGGTAAAGAACTTCTATTTTCCGGTGCGCCTGTGGCGCCACGCCCATTTCGACGCGTGGGATACGAGGGCCAAGGTTCTCATCCACCACTTGGTGGCCCAGAAGTCGAACAATAAAACCATGGCCGATGGAAACCGCGCATGGTTTCGACTTGGTGATTCTTGGTGCCAGGAACGCTGGAGAGACGAAGCCTTCATTGCACGGGGTGGCCGTTTATCTCCACGGAGTTGATGCCTTATCTACATGAGGCTGATCAAGACACACTCCGTTATGGCTTTCACCGCCTCCAAGATCTGTATGAGCAGCGCAATTACCAGCTGCTGTCCGCCCAGCGGCACTGACATGCAGCGCAGGCTAGATGCTTGGCCGCCGCCTGCAACACTGGAAAGTGCCCGGTGACGGCGTGGGCAGCATCCCAACCGCCAGAGTCGCCTATAACCATCGACATACGTCGTAGGGTCTGTGTCCGGTTCTTTCCACCGGTCAGCATCCTCGTGGACTTGTGGATTTTATGTGCACGATCGAAACACAACAGGACCCCGGGGCTGACCGTTGTTCGACGGAACTAGAACGGCGGCTCCGATTTGGGCTCCACCGGTGGTCTTGGACAGCTCTAGGCAACGGCCTTTTGCTGTTGTGGATCGGTCGCTGAGGCCCCGTAGCTCATGCTGAACGGCCAACACCGGCAAAGCCTGTTCGCCGCAGCTAGCTTTTTGCGTCTCTTATCGAGCCGCCCTGTTTCACCGCTGTTTTTGGTTCCTGTTTGTTGGTTTGTCTCGTTTGTAGGGACCGAGTGCTACAGCCGTAGTCGACGAGGCCCGCTCACGCCAAAAAAAGCAGATCGTATCCTCCCTGTTGGGCCCATTGTCGGACTCTGGCCAAGGCGCTAGACAAGAGTTCGGCAGGCTGCAAGTTCAGTTCAGCAGCAGCAGGGTTAAGAGTGCTGCCCACATTGTTTATCGCGAATTCGGTTTCTACGAACAATAGAACCACCAGGTGAGTGGGAAAAATGCTATTTCTACTGAAAATGTGCACTGCGCCACAGCGGGAGACACAGAACAGAACGGTTTTTCAGCGTTTCACAGCAGCGCGGCCCCCGCGCTGCTGGAAAATGCCAGATTTCGCTATCACACAAGCCTGGAACTGTGGAAACAGTGCGATTCCTGCGCAAGATGCTGCGAGAGCAGGGCTGGACCTGTGAAAATATTGCAACTTTGATGGAGGATGTCCTAAAGAATACCACAATTTCGCTGTTAAACATGCCTGGGACCAGAAGCAAGTTCCATTTTTGGGTGAAGACACACAGAAACACGTGCTTTCACTTCCGGTTTGTAAGCCTCGGAGCAAACCGGTCTCTCTCTTGTGTAGCAGGGTGTTGGGCCCACAATCGATCGTCGACAAATCGACAGGGCTCAGGCGCGTAGGACGATCTTCGACCTTTTAGCCCCAAAATTTTCCTTGCAATCGGAGCTCTACGATTGTGGACTCTCTCGCTCCCATCATATTTTGGGGCTAAAAGGCCGAAGATCGTTGCGTCCTGCGCACCTGAGCCCTGTCGATCTTTCGTTTTGGTCCGAGGCTGTAGGCTCAACACCCTTTCGATTTTGAATGCTGCGCAAGAGAGAGGCCGCAGCTTTTTCGCGGTTTCTGGGCTGTGCGAGTCAGTTTGTCAACCCAACCCGCGTCGCGTTAGATGTCAACCCAGATGTCAACCTAGATGGGCCAAGGAAGCAGAAGAGAAGGACCAAGCAACAGAGGCCAAGGAAGCAGAAGAGAAGGACCAAGCAACAGAGGTCAAGATGCAGAAGAGAAGGTCCAGGACGACGATGATGAAGGTGTCGATGAATTGGAGCTCAAAGAAGGCTATGACATAGCGTCTGACTTCATATGGGAAGCTATCATTCACACAGCTTACGCCAAGCAGATCGAAGTGCGTGAGGTCACAATGCGTCCTCCGAACAGCCTTCCAAGTGGCTACTCGGCTAAACTTGCTGACCTGCGAACGCTGTTAGAAGTTAGAAGGCATGGTGATCGAGCATGAAGAGTCACTCAGCACTTTGTGCGAAGATGAAGTGAAGGTTGAAAAAGAGCTGAAAGTTATGGAAGTTGATTGCGAGAACTTCGAGATGGAGCTGCAAAGAGAGCTCCAGGAGAAGCCTTCCAAAAGGAAGAAGCAGATTGAAGAGCTGCGAGACGGCTTTGATGATGCCAAGATGCACGTTGATCAGGTATCAAGGTCGAAACAATGCTTGGAACAATTGATGGAAATTGTTACAAACGCGCAGTCTGTATCGCTGAGTTAACCAAGGCCTTCCCCAGCTTAACAAGCAGCAAGCACGGCTGGAAGCGCGGCTGGAACGCCACGAGGCGGAGATGAGAAAGAGAAGGAGAAAGGGAAGCCAAAGCCGCAGCCGAAGAAAATGCCGGTGTTGATTGCTGAGAAGCAAGGTGAAAGTGCGGCGACGAAGAAAGTTGAAGAGCTCAAGAGACGGCTTGATGATAAGAAGACGAAAGGAAGCGAGAAGCCGAACGAGCCGGAAGGAGGGCCCAGGAGAAAAAGAGAAGAAAAGAGAGAAGAGCCGGGCACACCAAAGCAGTGGTGGAGGGAATCTTCCGCCGTGGCGTGTTTCTACTGTAAGAAGGGCCACAATCGTGCCGCCGCATGTTTCAAGACGCTAAGCGGTTAACGGATATATACCGTCTGATGACCGTATACAGAAGCCCAAGCACATGTTTTGCCGCTACTGTTTTATCAAACAAGTTCGGCTGCACGGGTTACCGGAAAGTGTAGCAAAGGACCGCTGCACAGGTTGGGGATCGCACTCCCCCGATACCTGTTGGTATGAGGCTGAAGTCAGAGAGTACGAGAAAAAGCAAGATGAGGAGCTGAAGAAGCGGCAGCCCAATCCGAGTTGGGGCCAACAGCCGATGGCAAAGAAGAAGAAGAAAGTTGCAGATGGAGAAGTTATCAAAGTTGATGACGATGCTGACAAGAAAGAAGCTGAAAAGACAGGTGCTGGTGAAAGTGGAGGTGCCGGATCGAGCAAGGATCATGAGAAGAAGAAAGAAGAAAAGCCAAAGGGCACCAAGAAGAAGGAAGAGCAGAAGAAGAAAGATGATCGGAAGAAGGAGAAGAAAGATGAAAAGCAGAAGGACAAGAAGAAGGAGAAGAAAGAGGAAAAGAAGACAATGGAGAGTCCCGGGAAGAGGGACGATGATGAATAAAATCTGAGCTGAGGGCAAAGACCCTAGGACGTTTCACAAGTGTGAAAAGGGAGAAAGCACCGAGACTTGGTGGGTAAACAACGGTCCATCGGGCGAAAAGAGAGGATTCCAAATCCCACGATATGCACAACGAGCACAGTGAGCACAACGAAGGCTAAAAAGCAAAAAGTGCATTTGGCACAAGCATCTGGACAGTGATAGGTCTAAGACCAAAGCTGAGGGCAGAGTTTCTTTGAAGTCACTTCAACGACCTCGACGACCTAGCGTTGCCGAAAAAAATAAGCGCGACTGCCAGTGAGCGTAGTTTGCCTATGCAGTTTCAGGACATGTCAGACCTGGGATTGTATGTTTTTCATATCGTTTTTCAAGACATCCACAAAAAAGAAAGATGAGGATGAAGAATGATGGATCAAGTGAAGATTACGCTCAATGGAGCATGGGAAAAGAGTCAAGGCTCTGCGTGAGCGTGAGACAATGGTGAAGTGGATGGTAGAATGGTAGAAAGTGTTTGAAGATCGAACCAAGTTGTAAAATACAACCTGAGTCGGACCTGAGTCGATGAGGGCGTAACAAACATTTCACTTTTTAGTAGGTATGCCCAATTTAGCACGTTTCACTGCGTACCGCCGAAGGTCATACGGCGGCTCAAGAAACACATCGCGGAGCGATAAATCTTTATTGCCTAGTGTGATCCGCCAATGAAATCTAACCTTTGAAAACTTGCTTTGTGCAAATTGAACGTCTCAAACATACTTGTGTTTGTCTCCTTGCCCAAAAGTTTTTGCCCCTTTTTGCATGTCATCAACCACTTGTTGTGTTGATCCATGAATGCAAGCCGGGCAGCTTTGTGCTCGAAGTGCCCTGCTGGCAAAGTTGGGGCTTGAAATTTTCAGGGCCCCTCTAGGTCTCGGGCTCTTGTATCGCAAGGCTGCTCTTAGAGCCCGTGCACAGAGCCGCCTGTAAGGCGGCTCTAGATGGATCGTCCTCTGGCGGAGCGCTCAGAGTGCCTCTTTCTGACCTCGCCGTGGTGTTTCCGGGGCCGTCATGTCAGTTTTAACGCGTGTTGCGCTTTGGCGCCATGATGGCTTGCATGGCATAGCAGCAATCCCCGTGAGAACACAGCTCGATTCGCCGAGCATCTGGCCGAACGCATGTATGGAGACGTGAGGTGGACTTGTCCATCAGAATGAGATTAAGAAACATAACTTGCTCACATTTTCATGTGCCAATATCGAAAATGCTTTCCATTTGTTGAGTCGGGTTTCGACTCTTTTATGGATTGATTTTCATGTCACACGGTGTTTTGTTTTACATGAACTTTTTCATGTGCGGTTGTTGTTCCCTCCTGCTGGAGGAACAGATGACAATCATTATTCGTCCGAACCTTTGGGCTCGGCTCTGCGGAGTCCAAAAGGGGAGGGGGGGGACTCATTTGTGTATGGGTCGGAGTGATCGTCATGCGCGATGGGTGACGAGGAGCCTCTGCAAGAGGCTGACCCCAGTCTGTCGTGGCGGGATTTACCTGAATGTGTCAAGAAGGCTCTTGATCAGGAGTCGCGACAGCCTTCTCCCGAGATTTTGTCGAACTTGTTTTCGGATGATTCAGACATCAAAGATTTTGTGGAATCACCGGGACTTACAATGGGCTCAGCTGAATGGTTCAGTGCATGCGAGATTCTTGAAAAGGTCTGTGCTGATGTATCACAGGCTGCAGATCGCGTCGTGAGGACTAGAGCTGTGCAAGGTCAGCTGGCGCAAACGTCCTCATCGATTTCGGCTGGGCCTCAGCAGCAGCTTGAAGTAAGCACTGGATGGCTTCAGACAAGGGCCGGTGCAAAGAGATCTCTTACATCGTGGCCGTGCAGGTTGGCCAAGAAACTTGCCCTGGCTAAGCACGATCGTGCGAGGGCCGATGCTGAGGCTGCAGAGCTCCGACGCTGGAGGCGGGCTTTAGCGAAGGAGCTCAAAAGAGCTTGTATGCCGGTATGCTCAATGGCAGGCTACGCCCTTGATAGCCAGGCTGTTCTGGAGGCATCAGCAGGAACACTTAGAGCATCCACCTTGAGACGGCATGTGAGGGAATGGTCCAAGTTTTCGGCATGGGTTTTTGCTGTGGAGGGAACGGTGTTCCCCTCGCATCTGGGCCTCTAGATGAATTATGTGGAAGAGCTGGCGCAGGAACCATGTGCCAGGACTAGGCTACAGTCTGTGCTCTCTGCAGTGATTTTCTTCGAGAGGGTCGGAGGAGTCAAGGTCGAGGCCTCCATCTCCTCTCATGTTCTGGTGCGGAACTTGGTTCGGGTTCGCACTGCTGAGCTTGAAGCAGGGGCGCCACCTACCAAGCAAGCTCCAGCATTGGCCCTCATCATGGTCATGTCTTTAGAGGCCGTGGTTGTGAACACTGCGCATAAGAAGTTCGTCAGAGCGTATGCATGGGCACGGCTATTGAAACTATGGACATCTAGCAGGGCCAATGACCTACAGGGCATTTTACCGGAGCAGATGACGATGTCTTCACAAGGATTACGAGGAGTTTTCGATAGAACGAAAACCTCGGGAGCTGGTAAACGCATCCGATGGCTGCCGTTCTTTGTTTGCAAGGGTGCCTGGCTTTTGCATAGTGATTGGCTGGCTGCCGGATATGAGATCTGGGCTTCTGATGGATTTGACTTCTCCAGAGATTATCTGGTGCCTCGGCCTACAAAGGGACTGACTTCTTGCCTGCCAGTCATGGCGAGCTATGTGGATATGTCAACGATGTCCAAGCAGCTCCTGTGGGAGCTAAAGCGGCCGGAGCTGACCGAGGCTGGGAGTGTGCGTCATACTGATGTTGCGCTTTTCGAGGATCCGAGTGTTGTTGCTGCTTTTACCGAACATTCCGAGAGAAACTTCATTGCCACACTTGCATCATGGTCGGGTATCGATCGCGAGCGTCGTTCCTATCTGGGACGTTGGCATGTCGTGGAAGCCTCAGATGAGTACATTCGGAGTGCTTGGTTCATTGTCACTTCGTTGCAGCAACATGTTATTCAGAGCCTTTGCAGCAGCCCCGCCTTGCTGGAGGTAGGTCTTGATGATTTGTTTCAGGCGCTACAGAGGGCCGGTGTCGAGAGCTCGGTGCGTGACAGGGCTCTTGACCTCTTGCGGCCGTTGGAGGGCTGGGCCGAGTTTCGGGCCCAACATCTCGCTGAAAGCAGCGGGAACGGCGTCAAGCCTGGTGATCTTGTGATGCCTGCCAGGACTCCTGAGGTCAAGGATGCATGCAAGTTCTTTGTATCAGTTTTAGGAAAGGTTGGGTCTCGAAGGGACGAACCCTTTATTTTCCGTTCGAAAATGGTTTTGAAACTTTTGTTTTAAAACCAAGCATGTTTGTTTTCAGTCACGTCAATGTGTTGCCTTTGCGAACACTTGTTGTGCTGAAACATTTCCCTCTTCAAGGGAGGGAGGGCGGGAAACCCTTGTGTACATTCACCAATGTGTGTTTTGTGCATGGGGGTGTAGTGTAGCGTAGAGAAGGTGCTCCGAGCACACGGTAGGGGGGGGCCATGGCAAATAGTCCAGAGCCTCAAGGTGCCAGGAGCAAGCCTTTCTCTGATCTTGAGGTTGATTGGGGCGACGGCCAGTCAAGTGTGTCCGACCTGCCTGAATCAGGGATGCCTCAGGAAATCGTCCCAGCAGGGCCTTCATCGAGCGATTTGCATGCAGCTTCCTTAGACGAGTGGTTCGCTGAAGTTTCTCTTGATGACCACGTCTCTGCAAGCAGCGTCGTGGAGCCAGCAATAGTTGCCAAGGATAGTGGTGTTCCGAGTGTTGCAGCGACCGCCGTCTTGTCATCTAGGGAGTATGCTGCTCGTCTACGGAGCTCCCACCTGAGCTTGCAAGATGCCACACCGAAGTTCTTTTGGGAGCAGGGGTTTTGGTCCGATTTCTTCGGTCCTGCCTCAGTGCCGGAAACCATCATGCCGAGATTCAAGGACAGGCGGCCAGACCCTTATCACTTGCCTTCGTCAGAGCCTGTTGAGCTGGGTCAGTCGCAATCTTCAAAGAAAGCACGTCGAGAGTTCGCAGCAGTCTTCCAGAAAGTTGTGGTTCAGCGACAGGTGATTTCTTGGAGGGATGCTCGTGAGGCCTCCTTTGAAACGGCCATTGTGAAATGGGTTGCTCTGTTTGGGTCTTGGGATTCTAATAGGGATGAGTCGCTGGATGGCTTTGCACAATTGTCGGAGCTTGAGCAGAGGAACGTCATCGATCACAGCATTGCACGCAAAGCGCCATCAACTGCCTTGAAAAGAGCAAACTCGCTGATCAAACTCACGAAGTTGGCCGGAGCCGCAAACATTGTCATGCCTGCTTCCGAAGGCGAGATCTATATCATTTTGACCGATGCCAAGTCGGGAGGGGCCCCATTATCCCAGCTGCGGGGGTTCATGGAAGCCATTACCTTCTCGCGACATGTCTTCGAAATCAGGAGCCTTCATCTAGTCAGTGTCAGCAAAAGATGTTGGGGTGTCACTGTTGCCAGGGTTGCAACTCCTGCAAGACAGGCTGACCCCCTGCGGGTCAAGGACCTCAAGGAGCTTCATAGGGTGTTGGATGAGGCGCCAGACCCCTGGGACCGATGCTTCGCAGGCAGCGCGCTGTTTTGCGCGTACGGCCGTTGCCGATGGTCTGACTCGCAGCACTTGGATGATATCGAACTTGAATATGAAGAGGGCCCTGATTCTCCCCTTGCATACGTAGGAGGTGTCATCGACATTCACAAAACAATGAACCTGCAGGGTCAGCAGCCCCGTGTTCTTGAAATCATTGCACCGGCGCAAGGAATCTATGAAGGTGACTGGGCCTTGAAGGGGCTCGCTGCACGTGCGGAGGTAGGCTGTGCCTGGTCGCAGGGCCACCCGACCATGCCTGCACCCAATCATCTGGGTGAGCCTACTGTCAGGGCTCTGGGCAGTGACGAGTGTGGTGCCTGGCTCAGGGCTCTCTTGCCGACGAGGCTGGACATGAGAACAACTTCGCACTCTCTGAAGGCAACGTTCTTGAGTTATTGTGCAAAGAGGGGCATGAGCCATCTTGACAGACTTGCGCTGGGAGGGCACTCCCATGGAGCGAAGAGTGCCGATACCTATGCGAGGGATGCCCTTGCTCGCCCGTTAAGGTTGCTTCAAGGTGTCATCAGAGAGATCAGTATGGGCGTCTTCATTCCGGATGCCAACCGTGCTGGCAGGCTAATCGTCAGTGCTGAGACTTCAGAGCTTGCACAGGAGCTGGGCCATGAAGTCCCGAGAGTTTCGCCACTGCCTTTGAAGACCGCAGGGCCTCTTCCTGCCCGGCCCAAAGACGAGGTCGTGTCGTTGAGTTCGTTTGAGCCTTCTCCATCACAGCACGCCGAGCCCGCTTCTGAGTCCCATGAGTGCGAGGGAGATGTGTCAGAGGCCGATGATGGAGATTCGAGCCGTAAATCAAGCTCAAAATCGTCTGTCGAGGGCACCACAAGCTCAGATTCTGATGCAAGCTCAAGCTCTGAAGAGGAGAGCCCAGGACCCAGGATGCCTCAGTTCGTCCCGCGCCTACCAGAGCCTCCTGAAGGTTTCCGGTTTGTGCAGCACGCAAAGTTGAAGACCTTGCATTATGTCATGCAGGGTCACTTGAACTTCACCGTTTGCGGGCGGCGCATTACAGACTCGCTCACAGGATCCTTATCACTCAAGTGGGACAGCCCGGTCTGTCGAAATTGCAAGAAGTCCGTAGGACCACTGAAGTAGGGTACGTTGTGAACCTTAAGCGCGATGGAAAAGAGTGAAGTCACATTTCGAGTGCTCTTGTCTTTGAGCAAGCCGCTGAGTTGAGTGGATGGCGAACATGTTTCGTGTGTATTCTTGAACGCTCAGGTTCCATTTACATGCGACTTCTGTCTCATCATGCTCAAGCCCACCTTTATGCCTGAGGGTTGAGGGAAGGGTGCCACACGTGTGGTGTCATGTCGCTGATAGACTCAAAAGCTGAGTTTGAGAGCAGATGCAAGGATGTCTGTGGAAGCAGTACGCTTCTTGAGAATCTACGCGCGAAAGGGATCGAGAGCTTTTCGAGTTTGGCATTTGCCTGCGGCACTCCCCAAACGCCTCCGACCGAGACAGAGTTCACTTCATTTGCTGAGAACGTGTGTGGGCCATCAGTTGCCCTGGGAACTGCTGCCCAGCTTAGGAGGCTTCATTTTGAGGCCATCACACTTGTTGTGGCGCAGTTGAAACAGCAAGCGATTGCAGATCCTGCCGAGGCGGTTAAGAAACTGCCTTTGGCAGAAAAACAGGCCCGCATCGAAGATCAACGACGCAGGCTCCATGGGCTCTTGTTGGAGGATGAGTTGCAACCATCGCATGCATTAATTGATGCATGCGCGCACATGATTGAGCAGAACCACATAACATGGGTCCCGCCCTCAAAATGCACGAAGAGGGACCAAGAACTGCGAGTTGGGATCAAGGACAAATCCAAGTTCCTTGTTGCAGCTGAGGGTGGTGTCACTCTTGCATCGGCCCCCACCGTGTTGACGGCCGATCATCAGACTCCGCTACAGCTCCAGTGGTGCTTGCAAAGGCGAGGACTTGCGCTCGACCTCAACAACATCATCGGCTGGACCTCTCACGAAAGGTGGGTCTCATACCTTATGCAGACCCTTGCTCAGGAGGTTCCGGCAGGTTACCAGAGTGTCACCGTTGATCAACTCTTGAAGGCCGATTGTGAGCTTTTCCTTCTGATATCAAAGGAGACGAAGCGAGTCAAGGTCGGTTCTGATGGCACGATGGAAGCTGAGGCAAAGCTAAATCAGCTGAAGACCGACCCGAGGGTGACCATGCATCTGCTGCCACTCCGTGGTGGTGGGAGGCCAGGTGGATCCCAGGCCCAAGTTGAAATGCCAGATCTTGATGATGCAAATGCTCGTCTCAAGAAGACGAGGACCCTTGAAAAGAAGCGCGGGCTCCTGGCCCCGGTTAAGACTGCTACGATGCCTCAGGAGCTGAAGGCTTGTCAGCATCACACTGATTCTGCAGGACGGCGTGCATGCTGGGGATTCAACCTCGGCCAGTGTTCACTTGCTACGCAGGGTTCGCCTCCGACCTGCCAGAAAGGGGTCCACATCTGCATGACATGTCGCAAACCGGGGCATGGGCATTTTCAGTGTTGGCATGCTAACAAAGGCAAGGGTGCCGGCAAAGGCAAGAAAGGGGCAAAGGCAGCCGCAGAAGCGGCAAAAGAGTCGTGACTAGGCAATTTGCCTGACCGTGCACGCAGCAGGACGCCTTCAAAGGCGTTGGATGCCGAAACTTCCGGCTCCCTCTCTTGCAGAATTCAAAACTCAAGTCAAGAAATCACGCCAAGCGACCCGTCCTCAAGGGACGCTCGCATTCCGAAAGATGATTGCCAGTCCGCTGACCACCCTGCGGTTGATCGCGACAGGCATACAACACCGCTTGATGCAAGCAATCCCGTTGATGCTGCCTCGTCGTGCAGCTCCGGGTTGCATAATGCTGCTGCTCATTCTGAGCCAGCATGTTCCAATGCCGAAAACAAAATCTTTCACTTTCCACCAGACTCTCCTTCAGACGAGAGCGGATCCAATGAGTCGGAGATGCTTGCTTGCCAGATTCTTGCGGCTGGGCGATGCACTTCTTTGCAACCGCTCCAGCTCATGACCTCGCTACCCTGTGAAGACATGGCCCGAAGCTCCGGCAGAGTCGGGACTGAGAAGTCTTTCACTAGTGGAGCGTATGGTCAGGGCCCCTTGGTTGGACTGCGAAAACACGTAAGCAGCCATGCGCATGTCACCAGACTTCTGGTGAAATTGGCAGTGCAGTTCTTTCCAGCATTGACTTTTACAACTGTGGCCTTGTTTCGTGATGTCCAAACAACCCGACATTCAGATAAAGGCAATTTGCCTGGTTCTCTGAATGGCGTGGCGGCGCTCAGTAACTTCTCAGCTGGGCATATCAAGTTGCACACTTCAGATGGTGAAAGACGCCTCGATGTGGCGACTTGCCCAGTGGTGTTTGATCCGGCAGTGGAGCACGAAACTTGCTCTTGGGAGGGCACCCGCCTTGTGCTGGTTGCTTTCTCAGCGAATCGGCTTGATCTCATGTCCGCTGAGGACACTGCCTCGCTGCTTAATTTGGGGTTTCCTCTTCCCTCTCTAGGTCCCCCTTCGGTTTCCCATAGGTCGCAGCCCAAAGTTACATCAGCTATGGCTGGTGACCGAGGCCTTGTGTTGCATTACTTCGCTGGCCCTGCGCGTCTTGCTCAGTCCTTGCAAAAGAATGGCTTCGACGTCTTGGCCTTCGATCGCGGCACTGCCCGTGCCCGCTTTCCAGTCCAGTCTATCGACTTGTGTGACCTGCAGGACCGAAATCTTTGCTGCAGCATTTTGACCGAACAGGCCGACCGCATTGAGCTAGTTTTCTTGTCGCCGCCTCTGCTGTCTTCGTGCAGTGATTCAGATCCGCTCGCAGTGGCAGTGGCCGCTGTTGTTCAGCATGCAGTCGAACTTGGACTCAGAGTGTGCATTGAAAGCCCAATGAAATCAGCTTTGTGGACCCACTCTGCCACGGCTGCTCTCTTCGCTTCAGGTCTTTTCAGGGACGTTGCTTTTGACATGTGCATGCATGGAGGGCATCAGAATCGTCGAGTCCGCTTCAGCTGCAACTCTGATATCTTTGAGCCTCTTGCCTTGCTTTGCAACCGTTCGCATAAACATGCCTCGGATGCCATGCTGCATCCTACGGAGAAAGGTGCATACCCTTGGCTCCTTTGCCATCGCATTTCCGATCTGCTGCTTCAGCAGACGACCTCACGGGCGCCGCCGACCTCTTTGCTCGGCCCCGCTCCTACAGAATTGCGAGTTGCCTTGGATCGCCAAGGCAAGTATCGACGACCTCTTGTTTCAGAATTTCAGAGTTACGATGCTTGGGCTTTCTCTCCTGAGCTCGAGGCCGAACGCTCTCAGGTCCTTGCTTTGTACCCGAAAGGAGCTCGCATTGTCCGACGCAAACTCTGCAAGGGGGGTGCCGTCCGTGTTTGCCATCGTCCACTGCTGTCAGAATCTGGGCCCCTTGATAGGATGTCCGGGGACTGGGTCATTGGGCCTGGGTCTTTTGAGGAGCATCTGCCAAGTGGGGTTGTTAGTGTTTGTGGCATGCGAAGGCCCCGGCTTTCGGCGGAAAATCAGATGGTCGAAGTGGCTTGGATTGGCATCCCGCGGGAACCTCTTGACTTTCTTCGAGAGGCGGTCAAAGTGGGGCACCCCAAGTCTTTCTTGGACCAGGACGAGCCCAGCATTGAGCGTCTCGTGGAGAATTTGCTAGGTAATGATTCGGTCGAGTCTAGTGCTCAACTCCTAGACGAGTGGCAAGAATTGCAAGTTGAGCTGGAGCCACACGAACAAGGATTGAGGCTGGCATGGCCCACTCATGTGCAAAACATCCTTCGAGACAAGAAAACTGAACTCTTGAAGCGCCTTCTGTGCAAGCATGGATACCCAGATCACAAGGTTGTCGATCACATGCGTGAGGGTTTTCGGTTGTCAGGCTGGATGTTCCGGACAGGTGTTTATCCGGCCGAGGCCCGACCTCCTTCGGTCAGCATGGAGAGGCAGCTTGCTACTGCTAGGTCTAGAAATCTTTCGACTTTGGCTAAACTGCGAGCGCAGCCTTGCGATGAGGTTACAACTCGAGCTTGGGAAGAGACCAAAGCTGAGCTCGAACGGGGATGGATTTTCGAGGCCCCATGCTGCGAAAACGACTGCATTTCCGAGGGCTCCCAATCGGGACGTCCAACCAAAGACTTCACGGGATGCTTTGGCATAGGAGGTGTGTTGATCGCACGACGGTTTGGGATTCTGCAGTCGCTCAAGGTTCGGGTGATTGACGATTGCAAAGCCTCGGGGTACAACCAGACCACTGGTCTCCCGGAACGCTTCCGTCTCCATGGCCTTGAGTTCTTGAGTGCCTTTCTTGTCAAAGCCATGAGAGACGTCAGGTCAAGATGCACCCCGATCCTTGGCAGGACGTACGACCTCTCTTCTGCATACAAACAGTATGCGGTGCACACAGAAGATCGGAATGTATTGCGCATCGGGGCCAAAGACACAGAGTCAGGATCGGTCCGCCTTTTCGGTGTGAACTCACTGCCGTTGCCCACAGGCTCCGTCGCAGGATTCTTGAGGACGGCAGCTGCGACTTGGTTCTTGGGAGCTCAGGTTTTGAGGCTTGCTTGGGGATGCTACTTTGACGATTACCCTTGTCTGTGCAAAGCCAAATTGTCCGATGACGTGAGCAGCATTGTTCATCGATTCTTCGGGCTTCTTGGCATTGTCTATGCAACCACGGGCAAGAAAGCAGTTGGGTTCGCCGCTCAGTTCAAAGTACTGGGGATCCTAGTCGACCTCTCATCCTTCACCGAGGGCACCGTTCTGCTCAAACACACTGAAGAAAGGATTGCCACCCTGTCCGCTGCACTTCAGGATGTGCTTGACCGGGATGCGATCAGTCAGACCGAGGCAGACCGATTGCGTGGAAGGATGCACTGGTTCTCATCTTTCTTGTTTGGCCGCCGATCGTGCTTGGCACTGCAAGTCTTGAGCCGTCGTGCCCGAGGTTTCGGCTGTTCTAAGAAGCTTGATCCTGAGCTGCGGCAAGCCTTGATTTACCTGAAGGATGTTGCGTTGCACGCGGAGCCCATTTCCCTTGACAGGCACATGGGTCGCACGTACCTCATCTTCACTGATGGTAGTCTCGAGGGCCCGACCGCTAGTTTGGGTGGTGCGTTGTTTGATGGGAGTGGTTCAGCACTCTCTTTCTTCAGCCTTGATCTCCCGGATCGGGTCTTGAACAAACTTCGCCAGACCTCCAAGCATCCTATATACGAAATCGAGATGCTTGCAGTATGGGCCGCTCTGTCCATCTGGTCAGAGCAGTTGGCCAATACCTATTCCGTTTTGTACATCGATAACGAAGCTGCTCGAGGAGCGTTCACTTCTTGCAAATCCGGTACTTTGCCGGGAAGCACGATCCTTGAGGCCTGTGTCACGCTCGAAGAAGCGTCGCGATGCAGGTTATGGTTCGGGAGAGTGCCAACTTCGAGCAACATAGCAGACAATCCCAGTCGCGGTGATTGCAGTCAACTTGTGGCCATGGGAGCGTCTCGGTCAGTGTTGCGACATCCGTTCCCGCTTTGACACTGCTTGCATGTGGGGCGGTGGTGCTGTGTCACGCATTGCTGTCTCGGAGTGGTGGCATGCCGTTCATTCGGCTCCGCCCTTCTGCAGCATGCTCTGATTCCAACGAGACTGTTAACCCCTGTGCCCGTTTCGAGAACAAAATGAAGATGCGCGAGTGATTGTCTGCATTGCAAGTTGAGTGATTGCATTCTTGACTTCGCAACATGTTCACTCCAGCTTGCTCTCATGTTCTCTCTCTTTTACATGCGGTTTTCGATAAGGAAAATAAGGTTGGGTCTCGAAGGGACGAACCCTTTATTTTCCGTTCGAAAATGGTTTTGAAACTTTTGTTTTAAAACCAAGCATGTTTGTTTTCAGTCACGTCAATGTGTTGCCTTTGCGAACACTTGTTGTGCTGAAACATTTCCCTCTTCAAGGGAGGGAGGGCGGGAAACCCTTGTGTACATTCACCAATGTGTGTTTTGTCCCACCCGCCCTACCCCAGGGCGGTGGTGCTGTGTCACGCATTGCTGTCTCGGAGTGGTGGCATGCCGTTCATTCGGCTCCGCCCTTCTGCAGCATGCTCTGATTCCAACGAGACTGTTAACCCCTGTGCCCGTTTCGAGAACAAAATGAAGATGCGCGAGTGATTGTCTGCATTGCAAGTTGAGTGATTGCATTCTTGACTTCGCAACATGTTCACTCCAGCTTGCTCTCATGTTCTCTCTCTTTTACATGCGGTTTTCGATAAGGAAAATAAGAAGAAGCTGCGGCGGCTTCATCGTGTAGGTGGATGCGGCAGCACGCCTGAGTCTGTGGCAAACTGTGAATTGTTTGAGTCGCTGGAGGGCGTTTCTTACGACTGGCAATGCAAGCACTGCTTCAAGCCTGAGCAGGGACAGCAGGCAGCACAGGCGGACGCTTCGGGATCGGAGGACTTCTCCTCCAGCACCTCCGATGAGGCACAGACCTCAGGAGAGAGCTCGAGCGAGTCGTGATTGCTCGGACTGCAAAATGTGTGCACACCTAGGGTCGATCGTGCTCATATTGAGAGTGCTACTGCTGCTTGCAAGTGTACGTCAAGGGATCATGCATCCACATGGAAGTGTACGCCAAAGGATTGTGATCTCGAGCTGGGAAAGGAACGACCAGTTTCTTCGTCACGCGTCTTGAGGGCCTCATGGAGCCGGAGCCTGCTTCAGAGCCGTCTGCTGAGCTTCACGAGAGGGAAAGCACAGATGATACTTTCTTGCTGCTTTCTGATCATGTGTGGGAGCTAGAGCAGCGGGTGGCAGTTCTGGAGCGGCGACTGATTGCGGTCGACCCGGTGCCTAGGGAGGATCTTCGGCGAGAGATCACAGGGATCTCACGAGCCTTTTTCGGGCTGGCCGATAGGGTATCGGGCCTGGAGCTTCGTGTCACTGAGCTGGTGAGGGCGCTTCGGAGTTGCTTCGCAGGATTGCGCAGCTAGGCTCCTGAATGCACAGTGTACTGCGACGCGAGGGAAGGGTGTCAGGCCTGGCAAACTTCGGTGCGTGCGCGAGTGATCGCATCAGCATGGTGAGATCGGCAATCAGCACAAAGGTTTCGCCGGTGACGGTTCAACCAGGGTGCGTTGCTGAATTGAGTATTGTCCTGCCTTAGATTCTTAGGGTTTTCCTTGCGTCACATGGCGGCGCCGGCTGCTCTGACGGCCGCGCAGAGAGGGCACTTGGAGACGTTGGGGCCGGATCTCAGGTTCCAGCTTGAGCAGGCGGATGTTCCGGCTGTGTGGCAGGCTAGGCTGGGAGAGCTGGGAATCCGCAATGTGGCTTTGTTCTCGGGGCTAGATGAGTCTCGGGAGCGGGTGAGAGCAGCACTGATTGCGGAGCTGCCCATCGATCCTACAGCGGGGGTCGCAGAGCGGCTCGTGGTGGCACGCCTATTGGCGGCTTGGGAAGCATCCAGGCTTCACTTGCAGGTTTCGGAGAGAAACAAAGCTGAAGCGCGGCTGGGGACTCAGCAGCGACTTGTGCAGCCTAGCGAGCATCATGCCATGCGGTTGGCAGTTGAAGCATCGCTCGGAAAGTTGAAGGACAAGGAGGTTCCTGCCAAGTCCTTGCTAGCGGCCAAGCTGGAGCAGATCGAGAACAATCAGCCGGTAGCCGAGCTGCTTACCGAAGTGGCGTCGCTCGAAGATTCAGAACTCGAGGCGTACTCGGCGGTGATCGATCCTACTACCAATGTGCTTAAAATAAAGCCTGGGAAGACTCTTACTGGCATGCCCAACAATCCTGAGGAGCTGCGGTTGCGCCACAGGCGCATCGGGCTAGCTTGGGACTTCTTGGCGACCAAGCATGCTCTCAGGCCCTGGCTGTCTAGAAACTCCACGGATGTCCTGCGGAGGTTCAGTGATTATGTGTTGGGATCACAAGTCGCTGGATTGGTGGCTGGTGACGGGCACACTCCAACTTGGGAGCTCGTCTTGAGCTTCGAGCTCGAGGCTCGCAAAACCCTGTATCGCTGGATCCGGGACGGCGAGGTGGGCACTATCGAGGAAGCCTTTACAAAGGCCATGCATGATATGGAGCTTCTCAATCGACATCTTGTCATCCCTTTCTCGCTTCGGGCCGTGCCGCCTCCCCCGTCTGTTCCGGCTGACGGGAGGCGCGAGTCCAAGGGAAAGGGCAAAGGCAAAGCCCTGAAACGTGCATTGGCTGCTGCGGCAGCCGAAGAGGCCCCTGGCAAGAAGGCTGCAAAGCTCATGAAGACTCCAGATGGCAAGCCTATTTGTTGGAAGTTCAACCGGAAAGAAGGGTGCAAGAACAGCGCCTGTCGCTTCCTTCATGTATGTCAACGTTGTCTCGGCAAACACCCTTATCATGCTTGCATGCAAGTTCGTCGTCCGGAGGCGGCTACAGCATCATCTAACTGACTCTCGGACGGCGGCGACACCGAGGAGAACGTCTCTCAAGGACTCGATTCGCCTCCACAATCCGACATTTCTTTCCTCTATCTATTCGCGGGAGAGTCTCGCCGGGCTGACTTGAAATCATTCCTGGCGGCTGCCTGCGAGAAAGCCGGGCTGTCATTCCGCTATCAGGAAGTTGATATCGGGGAGTCGGCTCCGGATGTTCTTTCAGACTCTTTTTGGTTGAGATTGCTCAATCAAGTTCGACGACATGAATTCAATCTTCTTTTCATGAGCCCGCCATATTCTACATTCAACCGGGCCACGTTCGTCAATCGCACAGGACCACCGCCTCTGCGGAACTCGGACTGGCCGGAAGGTTTTCCCTGGCTATCCGGTGTATGGAAATCCAGAGCAGAGGCTGGAACGAGTTTGGTGCGCCGGGTATTGTCCTTAGCCACCCTGGCCTCCAATGAGCATGTACCCTGGTTGATCGAGCATCCGGAATTTTTGGGTGCTACGGCGGCTGGCACCCCGGCTTCAATCTGGACTTGGGAAGAAGCTGTTCGTGTTTTCCAGGAGACTCGCGCCACTTCCGTGGCCCTTCATCTTTGTGCCTTCGGCGCCGCTCAGAGGCGGCCGACACGATTAGCTGGAACCTGGCACGGTCTACGATCGGTTGGTGTGGCCGGTTGGCCGCGACTTGACCCTCAGCAGCACTATCGAGGGCCGTTGTCTCGCAAATGCGGGCATGCACATGCCCCTCTCATCGGTACCGACGAAAATGGTCATTTTCTCGCCGGGCCGGCTGCTTACCCTTCGGGCTTCTGTGAAGCGCTGGCCAGTATTGCGGTTCTCACCTTCAGGCAAAGAGTGTCCTCCGAATCGGTGTTGGGGGAGGAGCAAGCTCGTTCTTCAGACACTCTTGAGAATGCGACTTCGACAGCTGTGGTCCACCAGGCTGAAGCTCTGGCACTGCGTTTGCAACACTCGGCGGTCTCGAAGGAGTCTTTACTTCAGATCTTCGACTTACTTCCCGGCGAGGAATTGGCCCGAGATGGAGTCACTTGGAAGGATTCGAAATCTTTTGCTGTCGGGGCTTATGCCGTGGGCGGTAGCCTTGCCGGCCTTCGTAGGAACTCCAGGTTGTTTCCCGGGGTGGCTAGGGTTTTGTGTATAGGTTCGTTCGGGGTCTGGACGCGAGCTTTACATTCTCTGCCATTGCGATTTTTCGCAACCTTCAGACGGCCCCGCATCGAGATACAGGCAATGAGCGAGGATCGAGAAATCTCGTGGCAGGGCTCTCGTCCTTTCGGGGCGGGGGCATCTGGACTCAGGATGGCGGAGGTCAGGAACCGTGCCCTTCGAATCCCTCATTAGGCTTGGGACATACTCTCGAGTTCGATGATGGCTGTCATGCTTGCTTCGATCCCACCGCTTGGCACTGCACGCAGGCTTGGGAAGGGACTAGAACAGTACTCGTGGCATACACCCCTCGGGTGAATCCTTCCTTTCCTTCGGCCGACTGGAGGTTTCTGGAGGAGCTGGGATTCAACTTGCCGCCCCAGCCGGGGGTTGCGTCGAACCGCTCCGACTTGTCGGTAGCGCTTTCTAAGTAGACAGAACTGTAGGCTCGCAGAGCGAGCCGGGGCGGCTCCAGTATCGTGTACAGTCTTGCGGTATGTGGTAGTCTCACTCAAAGCAGAATTTTTACATGTGATTTTCACGGTGAATTTTCATGAATGTTTTTTCCTGGCATTTTCGGCATGCGAGATTCATTTTGTAATTTGATCTCAATCAGCATGGCCGCGCTCGCCCTCTCAAGCAACAGAAGGGCGGGGCCCAACATTCATGAAATTTTTTTGAACCGGCCTAGGGGGGGCCGCGCATGGACCGGCGTCTTCGACGCCCGCCGCCGGCTCGCCGCCGCTTGCTTCTGCTGCACTTGTGCCAGTGCTTACTCGTGAGGGGCTGGCAATCTGAGATTCTTCGGCCGGAGCCTCCCTTGCGAATCAACCTTGTGCAATTGCTTGGGGCCACGGCTCCCGGGGCTCGGTTCCTTTTACTTGCAGGGGTCACTTGTTTTGACAGTTTGCAGCCCGTGAGCCGCGCAATTGCTGCTATCTTTGCAGCCATCCGAGAGCAGGTGCAGTCTGCTCGCCGGCGCCTGGCTCTTGCTTACAACCGTCCTTGACATGAGTGACTCCGCTCGCCAGGTCGATGAGCTTCTCAGCACCATTGATCTTACAGATGTCGGGGGGATTGAGGATCAAGAAGCCTGTTCAGTCGTGCCAGAGTCTGACCAGAACATTCCTGCTGCACCAAGCTTAGATCAAGAGATTCCGGACAACCAGCTGTTGTCATTTCTTGAAGATGATGAGGTGTGGGACGGCCGATCCCCTAGCGCCCCAGACCCTTCTTGTGCTGCTGAGATTTCTGAATCGGAGAGGGAGTGGTACTTGATTGCGGGGTCGTTCGGGGCAGCCGCTGCGGAGTGCGCGCCTAGTGAGCCGTCACCACCGAGCTTGGAGCCAGAGCAAACTCTGGCGGTCCCGGCCCTGGACAGCATCGCCGAGGACCAGTTGCAGCAGAGTGCCGTGGGGCATATCCATAAGAGGCTCCGCTTGGAAGCCCCACTCCTCCCGTGGGAGACACAACCGTTTGCTACAATCTTCGGGGGCCCATCTTGGCATGACACCTTGCAGCGCCGGATCAATTTGGATCTAATGCCTGGGGTAGGTAGTGCCGACGTCCTTAAGCCTGCCGTGCCTAAGGTTCCTGCCGCTAAGCCCCAGATCGTAGCAGCGTCACTTGCGAACCGTCTTCACCGCTTCCGGCCGGAGGCTTCAGACGAAGATGTTCGCAATCTTGCCTTAGCCAAGCTCAAGGTATTGATTACTAGTGACCCTCTTGCCAGTGAGCTGGGTAAGTCCTTGATTGATAAGCTGGGAGGTCTGGTGCAAGAGGCTGTGGTAGCTCAGTCCTTTGCAGATGCTTTCCGTGCCAAGGCATCATCCACGCTCAATGGGCATGCTTGTGCGCTCACACGGTTCAGCGCGTGGTGTGCTCGCCAGGCGGCAGAACCTCTTCGAGTTGATGAGGAGCAGCTATATGCGTACTTGTGTGAAATGCGGTCCTCCAACCGGGGGGCTACTTCAGGAAACAAGTTTTTGCAGTCGCTGACTTTCTTGGAGTACTCCGTTGGATTGATCTTCTTGTCAACTGATGTGGTGGTATCTGCGAGGGTTCGGGGCGTAGCTCGTGACATGGCCCTCACCAAGGCTCCGCTGTCTCAGAGGCCCCCACTCACTGTGGAACAGGTTGCGGCACTTGAGGCCCTACTTGTTAACGACCTGAACGATACCGACGCCTGTGTGCTGGGCCAGATACTCTTTGCTGTCCACTCTGCCGGCAGGTGGAGGGATGTCCAGGGGTTGCAGTCCGTGGATGTCTCCGAAGGTTCTGAGACCACCCTGTTGCTTGCAAATGGCCTGAAGAGCAAGACCACCCATACGGCTGAGGCGCAAAGGAGGCTCTTGCCGTACGTCGCAATCTCCACTGGTGTCTCGGGTTATGACTGGGGTGACCGGTGGCTCACCGCCCGAAGGAACGAGGGCCTTCAGTGGGGAGGCGACTTCTGCCTCCCTTCGTTCTCCTTGAGGCTGGGGCGGTGGAGCACGGCCCGCATGGGTTCCGGAGAGGCATCAGCATACCTTAGAGATTTTCTCGAGGCCGTTAATCTGCCGAACAGCAAAGTTGGGACCCATAGTCTTAAGACCACCTTATTGACGTGGGCGAGCCGCTCAGTTCGAATCGACTTCAGTGAGCCCGAAAGGCTGCACCTGGGCCACCACTCGGCCCCGGGCACCAGGTCGATGCTCGTATACAGCAGGGAGGCTTACTCCAAACTTTACGCTAAAGTCCTAGCGATGTTCAAGACGATTGAGGAGGGATCGTTCAATCCAGATTTGCCACCGGCCCGCCGGGTGGAGCACCTCGCCGAGGCCATCATGGTAGGGAGCTCGCAGGCGTCCAACTTGGGGCAGCACGCCCCAGCCGGGGAGGACAGTGCCTCCTCCGACGATTCCGAGGCGGGGATCCCAGAAGGTCACGGCGGGCGGCAGGCCGCAGACTTGGTTCGGGGGGCGTTCCCAGATCAGTTCCTTCAGGACATCGTGGTGCACAGGTTCTCGGGCATATCGCATGTCGTTAAGGACTCCGGCATGCTTTGGTGCCATCGGCCTGTAAGTTCGAACTACACGCCACTGTCCGAAGCCGGCGTTGCTGCTGAGTTCCCTACTGCATGCCATCAGTGCTCGAGAGCCCTGGGCCTGGTAGGTGACTAGATCTATAAACCCGTTGCGGCGGAACTGCGAAAAGAATCGCCTGTGTCGTGTCTGTCATGCTCTCTTTGACTCTCTTGTAAGTGCATGGGCGTAGTCTTCCTGAGGGGGACGACCCAAACGATGCGCTACCTTTGGAGCCGGGACAGCGAGCGTTGGCATGTCACTTGCCGCTTGTTACCCGTAGGCTCAGGAATCACGAGTCAAGCTGGAGAGTTAGCGACGGTCATGCATGGGTCCATGTCACACTTGATGCTGAGATAGGATGCAGGCTGACATTCTTAACACATTGCTGCATACATCATTAGCATCCAGCGCTGATCATGGCTTCAGGTCTCGACTCTTCTGCTTACTTCCTCGAGCGGCTCGCGAAGGTTGGCTTGTCAAATGAGCTGAGGGACGCGCTGGCCCGAGCCGGGTACACGACCTTTGGGGCTCTTGCTTTTGCGGTCTCCTCGACCCCGGGTGCAGCTAGCGATGAGGCCGTCTCCCGGTGGGCGCTGCACCTTGCAGATCCGCTACCGAGTGAGCACCAAATGTCAGTGTTGCGCCGCTTGCTCTTCGAAGCGCAGTCAATGTCGATTGCCGAGATGCGTGACCGGGTGAATCAGGCGCCAGGCGAGGCTCCCACTCGCAAGCTGCCAATGATAGAGCGGGCTGAAAGACTCAAAGCCCTGCGTCGAAAGTTGCCTGGACTTATCTTGACCCCGGACACTCTGCCAGCAAACCGCTTAGTGGATAACTACGTTGACCAGCTTGATTCGGGTGTGCTCAGCTACGTGAAGCCAGACGCGTGCATCAGCCGAGCACAGGAGATGGACTCCAACAAGAGGGATCCGACCTTGCAGGTACAGGGAAATGAGCTGAAGCTTGCCGCCAAGCAAGTGGAGCTGAGGTGCTCCATCAGCACTGACATGCAGTTGAGGCAAGCTTGGACTCGGAGGTCCCTTGCGATGGAGCTTGCGCAGCTTGCCTCATACACCGTGCTAGAAACCTGGGTTCAAAGCCTGTTCTCGAGGATGCAGCGGGAGCCTCCTGCGGGGTATCACTCAGTCTCGCTCTCTCAGGTTATGGCTGCAGACCGGGAGCTTTTTCAGCTGTTGTCGCACAACCTTATGGGGCAGATCCAGGCGTCGGCTGGCGCTGCTCGACCCCTCGATCTCGAGATCGAAAGCTTAAGCAAGAGCACTGACGTGCTTGTGCACTTGCTGCCGCTTGTGAAGCCTCCTCCGATGCCTCACCCGACAAAGCGACCTCATCCCGATCCTAAGCTCCCGCATAAGACTCCCAAGGGGAAAGGCAAAGGTAAGGCCGCTGATCAAAACCAGGACGATGGGAAGGCGCCTAAGTACACATTGCCCGATGGATGTGTTCCCAAGAGCGAGGACGGCAAACCCTGGTGTTTCCTGTGGAATCAGGGCCGATGCAAGTTCAAGAATCCAAAGAAGGGCCGATGCCCTCGGGGCTTCCACGGGTGCTATTACCGAGGGTGTGGCAGGCCAGTGCCATTCATCGAGTGCACTCACACCGATCCCGCCTGAATGGCGGGGGCCCCCGCGGGTCCTGAGCATGAGACCATGCCCGAGGGGGCCGCGTCTCCCAATCCAATTTTGGCTGAGGGCCTCAGTGGCCCCGAACCACAGGATGCCGAGAGCTTCGCGCTGAACCTCCTGGCGAAGGCCGAGATCCCTGCATCTTCTGTGGCTCAATTGTCATTCCTTTTGCCATGCGATTCCAGTGTTCGGCCGTCAAGCGGCCCCAATGCCTTCCTTTTCAGCTGTGGTGCTTATGTCCACGGGGGTGTCACGGGTACTTTTGCTAATACTCGAACCCTGCCTGCATGCACCCAGCTCCTTGCACGTTTTGCAAAGCAGTTCGTCGGGGACTCTTTTCCATTTACATCCCTTGTGCTCCTTCGGGACAACCTCACTCGCATGCATCGTGATCGTAATAATACCGGCCTTAGCGGCCTTAGCGCGTTGATCCGATGTTCAGATTTTGAGGGTGCAGGTCCATGGGTTGCCGACCCCAAGGGCTCCTCGCCCATGCAGTTCGAAGGCAAGGTGCATCAGGGCTCCACTCGGGAGCTTGACCGCTGCCTGTACTTTGATCCGTGTCTCCTGCATTGCACCTTACCATGGTCCACGGGTCCTCGAATTGTCCTTGCAGCCTACTCGGTTCGAGATGCTTGTAAACTCCCACAGGCCGATGCTGACTTGCTGTTCAAGCTTGGATTCGTTCGGGGCCCGGGCAAAGTTGAAGTGCCCTCGACTTTGGACTTGCAGCCAAATACCCAGGCTTCCCCTAGTGGTTTAGGCCCTGCTTGCAGTCTCCCTTTGGGTGTTGGCGAGCCAACTTCTACGAGCCCAGCAAAGCTGGATCCGCCTGCCCAGCGACCCTTGTTCATCGAGCTCTTCGCTGGATCCGCAGGACTGTCTCGGGCCATGCTTGACTTTGGGTTCGAAGTCGTTACCTTTGATCATTATGCGAACGGACTGCGATGCCTTGTCATGTTCTAAGGTGTCACTATAAGAGCTGTGAGCAAGACCGTGTAAAGTGCAAGAGAAGGGGGCACGCTACGCGTCCCTCGACTCTAGGGGGCATGCTACGCATCCCTCATCTTTACCTTTCTATGTGACCGCCAACGCAACGTTTGGCTCAAGTCAATGCCCATAGCTAAGTGCTATATGTGTCTTCTATCCTGAGCAATCAGAGCTATCCCGTTGCACAGACGAACCGCCGCCGGCAGTGAGTGCAAAAGGAACGGCCGCCGGTTCTGCCTGCATAGGATTGCACGTGTGGAAGTAAGAGGGAGAGACAGGGTCCAGTCTGTGGAGAGTGCTAGCCAGCCACACCTACATTCATTACAGCTCTGGTGGGGAGAGCAGCAACCAAGTCGAGATCAATCCCCCACGCAGGTTATCAGCCGTACGCGGCTCTGCCTTTCTACAGCAACGACTACTTGATCTACTACGACCACAATGAACTCAGGATCAAGCCAAGATACGACAATGACTTTCGGTGCCGATGTGGCAGCGCCAGCCGTTGGTGAGTCAACAGCTGATGACACAGTGGTGCAATCCGTTGATAGCTCCACGGAAGATGACAAAGGTCAATCTTCTGCGCTTGCCATTGCAAAGGCAGTTCCCAAGGGGAAAGCAAAGAGTCTACCAAGAGCATCTACGCCTTCACGTCCGACATCCACAGGTTCGAGGACGGGCAAGGCTTCAGAACGACGGGCCGAAGCGTCTGGTTTTCAGGCACCTCGGACTACGTCCAGGGCTAAGGACAAAGGAGTCAAGACCTTGGAAAAGAAGTCAAGACCATCATCTTCGAGAAGCTCTTCAGCACGATCGAGGACTTCGGCTACTCGTGGGCGTGACAAGTCCATGACTTGGAATCGGATGGTTACCAATCAACCACGCGATACTGACGATCTGGACATGACTCTGGATACGATTCCTGCACGTGGTGATGCGTCATCCGTGGCCACGCCTGCAATAGCTGACGGTCCGAATGCCTACCAGGAACTGACGATTTCGCAACAGTTCGAAGCATCGAACCTTGCACAGCAGATGTACTATCGCAGTCAGGTGCAAGAATACGAAGGAATCGTCCAGACCCTGATGGACAAGATCAAGGAGATGCAACAAGAAGATGAAGGATCTGGAATTCGCATTGAGGAATTGGAACGACAACGTGATCATGCATGCTTAGCCATGAGGCACATCAACAATGTCAATCAGGAGATGAAGCGAGACTATGAAACAGCTTTGTTTCGCATGGATGAGCAGAACTCTGCTCAACAACGTCAAGCACATGCCGTTGCCGAGGATTTAGCTCAACAGCTACACGTGTTCCGCACGGAGGCAGCCACCAACTTTGTGCAGTTGGAGGCAAGAGCGCAAGGTGATGGTGAGCTTATGGCACGTGAGTATGAGCGTCTGACTCATGAACTTCATGAACACGCCAGAGAGAACTTGGTCCTCCGGTCAAACACAGCAAGTTCGGAACAAGCCTTACAAGCAATGCAGGAACGATTCCACTTGGTCAAGAACCAGGAGTTGCGGGCTGTGAACGAGATCCAAGGGCTAGCTGGAAACAGCGCAGCCATTGAACAAGAACGATTTCGGCTTCGCGAACGTCTTGGTGAAGAGGAAGAGTACCGCAAAATGGCTGTGAAGAGGATGCAAGAAGCAGAGGAACGACTTCATCAGAATGAAGATCATGCAAGGCGATCATTGCCTACCTTGCACGACGAGCTGAGTGAACTCAGGAAAACGCTCAAAGCACAAGAAGATCTTCAAGCGAGGACACGCAGCGAATTGGAGGCAGCACGAAACTCCAATCAAGGAGGAGCGACGCGACCTTCGAGCATGCCCATGTCTTCGAGGACTACTGAGTCTGGCTGGGAGCACGTAGGAAAGGAAGTAATGCCTGCATTTTCCGTAGGAGATGAGGTACGATCCCCTGAAATACGGTCCCCAAGTCAAGTTAGTCCAGTCGCCAAAGAGAAGTTCGCATTCTCGGAATCGGACAAGGACAAGAACCTTGTGATGGACGGAATTCCATTCACCGGTGGAAACTTCTTCACTGGCCGCAGTTCAATGCCAATCGTGGCGGATGCAATGCCCGAGCACCACGTGCCAGGTATTAGCAGCCCAGCACTTGCGCGTTCCACGCCTAGTGCAGCCACTTTGTTTGGCATACCAAGCGGATTTCATGGGAAAAGTGATGCGGCAGCCGTGCGTGATCGACAGCTACGCGAACTCTTGGGGGATCGCGGGATGTTGGGATCGAAGTCCACAGCATCGGCCAGCTCCTCAAGACCTGTTGGCATCGACGGTGTCACCGCATCTACTAAGGGCAACGACCTCGTTGGTCCCCCTGTCGCCTATGACGATTCCATCCATGAGGCAAGGAGGCGTCAGATCGAGAAAGAGATCGCGGAACAGTACGAGGAGAAGATTGCTGATCTGCGAAGTGAAGTACTCAAGGCTCAGAAAGCCGAACAACGTCTCAGAGCTGATCGTGATGAGTGGAGATTATTCGCTGAAACGATTCAGGAAAACAATGGAGACGATGACGGTGATGAAGCTGGCGACGAGAACGGAGAGGAAGAGCATGATGAAGGTACCGGCACGGGGTATGATCCTCCAGATCCGCCTGATGATGATGATGACAAGAAGAAAGGCGGAGGGGGCAAACCCGAATCGGATCCTGGCTCGCATGCGCGTGATCCTGATGGAGACGCGGATCCTGAAGTCACAGAGGTGAGAATTTCCAGGAGGGAAGCCGACAAAGTGACTGTTCCTCCATGGCCTACTCTCACTCATCTCAACAACTGGCGATCTGTGTGCACGGCAAATGTCTTAGGGGCATCAGCCGACCCACATCATGAGGACTGGATGTTATGGCTGGCACCAGCGTTCAACCCATTCCCTGATGTCGAAGCATTGAATGATTCAGGACACAAGAAGTTCAAGAGCATAGACGTCAAATTGGGAATTGCCATGGTCGCAATGCTACGTGCCGGTGGTGACAAGTCAGCTGACCTGTACCTCGAGGTGAACCGGAAGGCCAACGATTACATCAGCAGGCCTGACGTGAAGATCATCAAAGGACGACAAGTCATCGCGATGATGTACGAAAGTTTTCGAACGCATGATCGTCTTGACATGATCATCACTCTTGAGTATTTGGTGAAGCTCCAGTACCAAGGCGACAACAAGCTCCATACGTTCAAGCAGACGTGGTTGGAAGTTCTGGGACGGATGAGACCAGAGGACATTCCATCCAAAACAGCTCTCCGTGATTGCTTGTACAGCAAGATCAAGGACTCGCCCGCAATGAAAATGGACTTGGGCATGCACTATGAACACTTGCCCTACAATCATGAAGATCGATCGTACGACAACCTGATGAAGATCATTGATCGTACCATCATGCGGAAACGAGAACAGTCAAATCTCACTCAGACTCAAATTGGCTTGCGCCAGATGCTTGAGGGCAAGGATTTGCTTGCTGCACCGGCCAAGGTACCCGAGAAACCTACGCCTAACGCAGCTCCATCCGCAAAGGTCAAGGCTTCGCCGACCAAGCCGGACAAAGCAACACCTGTACTACCTCAAAGCAAAGCGAAGAGTCATGCGAAGACCAAGCCGAAGCCCAAGAAGAAGACGAGGAGTGAGTCAGCGGACAACAGAGGTGACAAAAGCAAGAAGCAAATCCGCTGCAAGTTCCATTTCACAGATGCAGGGTGTCGAAATGGCGATAAGTGTCCATTCAGTCACTCGAAGAAGACTCCAGAACGACCCTTCACGCCGAGGACGAGAACTCCAAGTCCATCTGGAGGAGGAGGAAACAGGATATGCTACTCGTTCAAGAACACAGGCTCGTGCTCAAGAGAGAATTGTCCTTTCAAGCATGAGGCAGCAGCTACCCCAGCTCCGGAACCAAAGGCAAAAGCTAAAGCCAAATCCGAAGCGAAGGCAGCTCCAGCGAAGCCGAATGCCAAGGCCAAGGCACTCCCTGCTGCACC